ACGCTTAAGTTTTTTTTTAGTTTAGTACTTATTTTGGTTGAGATTTGACTTGTAATTTTCAGTAACAAATTCTTTAAGAACTTATCTTATTTTAGCTACATATAAAATATCTACCTACACATTGTGTTTGGTTATGAATAAGTACGACTGAAATTTTCGCCCACGCGCTTCTTACCTAAATTTCAAAATACCTAAAATAACAATTAATATTTTAATGCTATGTTGCTGCGTCCACAGTCTCGATACAACTAAGATGAGTACTGAGTGGGTGTCTTAAAGTGCAGATAGGTATAAAGTCTAACTACCGACGTCTGCTACTGTTATTGATGAGTTTAAAGTGTAATAAAATAATTTACTTAATACGGTAGTTGATAGGTAGTCAAATTCAATACTTTTATTGAAATGTCAAAAACTTTATGAATTTTATATTGGATCGCAACTTATGACGTCATCATATTTCTACGTCAAATAGCATACTTGTTTCCTTAAAATTAGCGAGAAATAATCCAAAAGTAAGTAAATTGTCAAAACAATGGATGAGAGTAGGTACGATTATTTTTTAATTATTTAAGTAAACTAGCCAATTATATGCGTTTATGAAACAGACATTATTTGATTGTTAATGATATGTCGTATTATCGTAAAAATACATCATCGAGTTGAAGATCGCAATTGAAAGGTATCACGTTGATGAGAAAGCGCTGCTGCCCGGTCTCAGTCTCTTGCGACACCCACGTGAAGACTAAAGTTGGTGACAAGTGGATTTTATATACCTATACTACTCTGTTATCGCGGAGAACCTAACGAGTTACCGGGGCTCCGGCTCGAAGTGCGGGAGAAGGAACGGGGTGGTTTTTAGTCAGCAAGAGTCTGACTCTCCCTCCCGCCTCACTCAGGCGGGAGAAGTTTTTCGATGATTTTCCCCGCTTAAAAAAAACAAATACTACTCTGTCGCTTCAGGCTAGATTCTATGTTACGTCAGAACTTAAACTGTCAAACACCGTGAGGACACCGTTGACCACTGTCTATAATGACGGTACTCAAAGAGTTAAATTAAACTCCGTCAACATTTGACAAATCCTATAAAAGCCAATGAAGTCATTTCACGGTTCAAAACCAAAGCACTTCGTAAGTGTTCGACTCAAAATACTAAGTTTTGTTCTACATGTTAAGACATTAGCGTACATCGTACTTTTCTTAAGACCTCACAACATTTTAGAAGTAAACAGTTGTGTGTGGCATATATGTACACACTACACATGGAGATAAACAATCCAATATATCATGGTCCCGCTATGTATGATCTTTGCGCAAAACCAACGGTCAGTTTACATTGGTTCTGTATAACTTGATCTGTAGTCGTATATACTTCAGGAAATGTAACAAATGTCATGTTACTGGGAACGTTGCCTTAATGCGTTGGCTCAAGTTCGAGTAATTTAGTATAGGAGTCATATACTTAGGTAAATAGGTATGTAGTAAGAGAAAATTGTCGGTATTTTCTTCAATGAGGCACGTTGTTATGACTGTGAGGTTTTAGGGTATGGTTGCTAAGTTTTTATTTTGTCGCTATCACTACATAGTATATAAAACAAAGTCGCTTTCTCTGTCCCTAAGTCCCTTTTTAACTACGCAACGGATTTTGATGCGGTTTTTTGAAGGCTTATATGTAGTACTCTGAGGTACCTACTCTCTAGCGAGGAAAATATCAATATGAAACATGTTTGTATTGTCTAATGACAAAATAGCTGTGAACGTGGTGTATAAGGCCATTTTGTTGTAGGTATTTTTACATAAGTATTGCACCCGTGCGAAGCCGGGGCGGGTCGCTAGTTGATAATATGACAGTGCCTTTGTTTGTTTTGGTTTGTTACCTAAAATGATTAGCTGATGTTGATGAGTTTTGATATAGAAAGATGGGAGCTTAGAGTTGATATTATAGGATAAGAAAGATTCTCGAGTAGAGGCGACGTACCGGAGCGCAGAGTAAGACGTCCACCCACCCGCATGGTGGACAGAACTAAGTATATTTAGGGGAGGCCTATGTTCAGCAGTGCATGCCCTATGGCTAATATGATGATGATGATGACGAAGTAAAACCTAAAGATGCTAACGCGATAAAATTGTATAGTCAATCATGGTCACTATATCCATATGGAAATCAAACAAAACTTCAACACGTTTAGGTAACTCTTTCTCGAAATCTTCCAGAACGATTACTTGAAGTCGACCTGCTGCAGTTTTATAAAGAATATTATTTTAAGCAACAACTTTAGCTCATAGTTACCCATGAATACAAAGTAGGTACTGAAGACACAATTCGAAATCAAAACACACACTATTACTTTACGAAAACCCAAAAAGAACATTGTTTTTTTACTTAAGTAGGATCATCTATTTCTGGACGAACGACCGAATGCGTAACCCATACCGAAGTGTTGCATTTTCAAATTCGAAAATAAGACGAATCAACGGCTATTAAAAGCTCTCGTGAGTTATGACCTATTAATTCTAATTCCTATTATATTTTCGTAAAGCTATGGTTTAATCTTTATTGTTTTCTATGAAGTATGAGGAAGGCGTAAATTGGGAATGTGTGTTAGAGAATTCCTTTGTTTTCGTATAATAATCAGTTAATTTGAATCTATTTTGGTTAAGAAACTATTGTGTATTTCATCATAGCTAGCACGTTTCCGTGGAGTCGCGGAGAACCTAACGGGTAACCGGGGCTCCGGCTCGACGTGCAGGAGAAGGAATGTGGTGGTTTTTAGTCAGTAAGAGTCTGACACTCCGTCCCGCCTCACCCAGGCGGGAGCAGTCATTCGATGATTTTAAACCCTTAAAAAAAAAGTGTTTCCGTGATTGACTTTTGTAACAACTTTTGTTTTAATTTATCTGACTGCATAGTTGGCGCAGCAGTTAAGCGATAGGTTGCTGTTTACCATTGCGCTGGTACAGTTCCCAATGATGAAATGATGAGAACTTGCAATATAAATAATCTATATTTTTTTGAATTGTGGGAAAGCTAGTAAATTTCAGGTAGGTATGTATATTATTGTGTGGAATATTTACTCACACATAGCACACACTATTAATGCAGGATACTTACTTTTAATATCCACAACAATTATAACATATACCTACACTACATAGTATGCCTCTGGACTCTGGCCTACCAATTCCCTACCTTTCGAGTAGACTAATAATGAACCATACGCCGCAGATGGTATTCCAATTATGTGCCAACCGTCGATAACCACTAGTATTATTACTACGTGACACTTCCTAACACTCGATTCTAACCGAATATCTTAAACCAGAAGTGTCTATTTCTCTAATGATTATTGGATATTTTAACACACCTGTGTATTATAGGGACCTAATGCACAGGTGTGAAAGTATCTAGGTAATCTGATTTTGTACCGACGAAGTAAGTTACATTCGAAAATAGTCACCATCTTTTTGTACTTGGGGGGAGGATTATCCAATAACTTCTCCTGCCACGGGTTAGAAAGCGAGAAGGAGTGTCAGGCTCTTACTGACTAAATACCACCTCGGGACGAGGAATACCAGAACTCCTGCTTCAAGCTGGAGTTCTGTTATTCCGCTAGATCGGTCCGGTAGATCGTCCGCTGCTTCAGGATACTAATCACCACCTAAAACGGATCTTAAAGCATTCATATTAATTTCCATTGAAATTTGAGTTCTATATAAAATGTTTATAAAAAAAATTGCTATGTGTAAAAACTCAGTAAACTAACTTGACGTTTATCAGATTTCGGCACACATCCATAGAAATTAATGAAAATAAAAATGAAATAGCGTTCGGAAACAACATACGACGACTCACGATTCCAAACGCAATTTCTTATATGGCATTGACATTCAGGGTTGCCAATCTGTGGGGAATTCCCCAAACTGCGGGGAATCTCAAGTTGGTTGGGGATTTATTGGGGATTGGCATTATGTGGGGAAAATGCGGGGATTTTGACATCTTTTGGCATTTGACACAAATTGGAAAATATTTCATCGTTTATTATCGATAACAACATTTTTTTAAATCACAAAGCATGAAGGCTGGAGAGAATATGGAAGATTTGAAAAAATATGAAAATCGAGGTACATTTTGCAGCTATTGCAGATTTCTATAAGACATGCTAAGAATTTTATATGGAATTCACGTCGGACATTATTAAGATATTTGATTTCCGAGATCCTTTATTTTCTATTATATCTGTTTCAAATCCATAAGAAGCTCAACAGTTTCAAATTAAATCACTGGTGCCTGTATTGAAGTGATGTCCAGTGCTTTATAAATTTGTGACAGTACAAACATTAGAAGATGAGTGGCGAACTCACGCTAAGCTGGATTTTCATCAACATGGGCTTGAAGTTCATGGAGATAACATTATTGATGAATGTTACTGGGGTAAAGGGTTTTGCATGAAAAACGCTGCGGGAGAATACCTATCCTCAAACATAAAAATTGTTATTTCATTATTGCTGATATTGCCTTTATCAAATGCATCAGTCGAGTGCTAGTGTCCTTAAACATTTTCAAACTGAAAACCGCAATAGATTGAATACAGATACGCAATAGATTAAAAAACTGGGCGACAGTATCAAGTTGAACCCTTCGAATAAAATGCTTTCGACTAATATTATGGAAAAAAAAAAGATAAACAATCAATATTATTTAAATAATTGATTACAGTTTTATTTTATAAAAAACTTTTGAGGGGAATTTGTGGGGAATCAGCGGATTTTTATTCCCCAATTTGGGGAATTCGATCAGGAATTTTGGGGATTTTGATGAATTAGCTTTGGCAACCCTGTTGACATTTCAATTAACAACTGACAGTACTGACACGTGACACCGTATGTCAAATTTAAAGTCAATGAATGTCAGTGGTTTCGGATCCAAGATTAAAATTAGATTTCGATGTCTAATTAATAAAAAATAGTATTGCGCTAAGTTAAAATATGCTGAATAAGTTGCGATGACTTCTCAATATAAGAAATTCACTAGACTTTTAGCTAAATGGCCCGTCGACCCAACTAAAGGCGAAAGGTAACAATAATAAGTGAGGTTATGCGTAATAATGATTTATACTAGTCCTTTCTTATTTATTTACCAAAAATTACATTTCAGAGACCTCGGAAAATTCATCAGGGATAAAATAAAAGCTGCATTTGAGTCATCAGAGAGACAGAACTTAAATTCGGAGCTCTGTAAAAGTCAGTACAACTCCTTGAACAAAATAGCCGAAAACCATTACAGAAATAAATACAAACGAACGCACAATAGCACAGCTACAGGTCTGAGCACTGAAGAGTGCAACGTAATCCTATCAAACGAAGTTCTCGAATATTTGAAAGAAGAAAATAAAGGATTCTTTAGCAAAATATTTGGTAGAGACAAATGATGATTCTAAGACACTTTCAGCGCCTGAACAGGGCAGTTCTTGCCCGTACACTGTCCACAAAACAAGTCCAATACAGAGACCATACACCAGTAATGTTAAATGAGTCCATAAAACACCTAAATCCACAAAACAATGACCTTATTATTGATATGACATTTGGAGCTGGTGGACATTCAAGGAAAATTCTAGAAGCTGCTGACTGTAGGCTTATAACACTAGACAGAGACCCTGTAGCATATGAAAAAGCTCAAAAACTAGCTGAAGAATATCCAAATAGAGTGATACCATTATTAGGAAGATTCAGTGAGCTCCCAGCTCTTTTAAAAGCCAAAGGTATAAAGCAGTCTTCTATAGATGGTATGCTCTTTGATTTTGGATGTTCATCAATGCAATTAGATGTAGGTGAGAGAGGGTTTTCTATCAGTAAAAATGGTTACTTAGACATGAGAATGGATGCTGGCAGAGACCCAAATCAAATAACAGCAAGAGAAGTCTTAGCAACTGCAAATGAGCATGAACTGTACAAAATATTCAAAATATATGGAGAAGAAAAACAAGCAGCAAAAATAGCTCAGACCATTATACAAGCTAGGTACATGATCAAAAATATTGAGACCACAGAAGAATTAGTAGAGCTTGTCAACTCTTGCTGTCCAGAAGAAAAAAGGTTGGACAAACTACAGAGGCCGCAGTCCAATGCTACAAAAGTGTTCCAAGCTTTACGTATATTTGTGAATAATGAACTTAACGAAATGAATTATGGAATGTTGCTAGCTAAATATTACTTGAAAATCAATGGGAAATTGGTGACAATATGCTTTCACTCATTAGAAGATACCATAGTTAAGCGGCATATAGCAGGAAATATAATTAACGAGATGGCAAATCCAGTTCCATTAAAGTACTTGAATCCAAGCATAGTGCAGAATCAGGATACTATAGACCAGTTTTTGAATTCTCCTTGGAAAGCTGTTAACAAGCATGTAGAGGTACCAAGCGATGAGGAAGTGGAAAGGAATCCTAGGAGCCGTAGTGCTAGGCTCCGCGCTGCTATCAAAGTCAAATGATATTTTAGTATCAAGTCTTTGACAGGCTTTCATTAACTCGTCGAGTACCGGTTTTATAGACACAATTAAAGAACAATAGGTCGCGGTCACCGGTGACCGCTTGGTGTTTGACAGTTTAAAATGTATAGATTAGTGAAGTAGTTTGTAAATACATTTTTTTTAAGTATTTTATTTTGTTTGTAATACCACACCAAAACCTTAATTACTTGAAATAAAAAACAAAATATGAAATAGACTCATTTATTATCTTCTTAAACCTGATTAATGTAACTAATACTAATTTTATACTATGGATCTGCTCGAATTTCCAAACTTTGTATTAACGATAACATGTGTTTAGTAATGTCCTAAGTTACTTTTAATTATCAAGTTAACTTTAACATCTCTTGTTAAAGGCCACTTTACATTATTTTGATAAAAAACTTTACATTTACGACCACCATTTGTAAAAATAAAATCGATAGACAATTTTCATTTATTTCAACAAGGGAAGACATTAGTGCACTCAACTATATTTATTTTAAATTAACATAATATTCACAATTATTTTTTTCATAGTTTATGCGGGACGTACGCTAATGTAAAGTGGCACTAGTAATAGTCATAATAAAATTATCAATAATTTTCTATACACCTAAATGCAATAGATAGCACATAGAGTCATAGACTATGATTTCCGAAAGAGACTAGACCAATTTTTTTTATTAGTATAATAAAAATATACTCTCCATAAACAAATATTGATATCATATCATCCTTCTTATATTTTCATAATTATAATTTTACCCCAAGGTTCTCATTAGATTTTTTATTTTAATATAATAGATTTTTATTTTAATTATCCTATTTCAAATGTGCTAGATTTTTAAAGAGAATATTAAAAATACTTATTTTTATTGTAATTTAAACTTTATTCCTATGTAAATAAAGTAAATAAAACATTTGGAACAATTAAGTATTGTTATTAATAGATTTTTAAGATATTAACATTGTTATAATATCAATTTGTATGTTAAGCAAAATAGTAATTGCTATCCCATGATATAGAAAAATTCTGCTTATTATTTAGAAAGCAGAAGCGAAGGGGAAAAGTATAAATTAATTTTGAATTTAAATAAATACATAATAAATAAAATTTACAAACCATTTATTTTATGGTTAGCGAGATGGAGCTGTAATCAACAACAATCCACTAAATTTCAAAAATATTCAATACCTTGAAATCCTAGCGTACATTCCGAAACTACCTATACATAATACTGTCAAATAACATCGGTGACATTTCGAATCTTACAAACACTTCGATCAAATTTATTATTTAACAAAATCAATCGAAGCCGCACCTTAAAACATTTCAAAAATAATCATTTAACTCTGCCTATATAATTTGAACTTTCAAAGTTTTACAATAAACCCTAATATGTATTGTGGTGAATTATAAATAATTCATTACCATACAAACATTTTAAAACAATTGAATACAGACTTGCACATCAAGTTACATCTGTCAAAAAAATTCACCTTTATTACAAACACATAAGTTCCAAATTCATCGAAGAAATGTAAAAGGTTAAGAGTATGTGCACCTGTTAGTGTTTAACACAATTTCATCAAAATAGGTTACAGAAAATAGGCCAAATAAATATTGTAACGTCAAAGAAATATGTGAGCACGCCTTAATTTTATCGCAGTCTCGATAAGGTATCGAAAACTTCAAATTTGTGTCACCGTGATGTGAATTTTGCACGAAAAATATGCCTTTATAATCCTGGATTGTTGTGATAAATAATAATATTTTAAACTCGAGTCCAATGCATAGAAATGGCCAGCCATTTCGGACACTTCAATAGAGCAGCTCGCAAAATCGCTAACCTTATATACAATCCAAATAAAGTCAATCAAAATACAGCGTAGAGAGAAAAGCTGATTACCAACTTTACTAAAATCCATATTATTATTACCCATAATATAGAGAATTAACAAATGATCTACTTAAAAGGGATGATGACAACCAATTCAATACTTCATTCTCAAAACGTCAAACCGCCATATTGCATCGTAGTGACGTCACACTTTCGTTGTCATACACATTCCTAGCTTAAATAAAATAAACTAGTATAATCAAACCGGTGATTTAATTAATCGCTATTTAATCAATACGTTTAAACTTTACATCTATGTATGCGTGTAGTGTACTAAAATGATTTCCGATTCGTTCTTGCCTTGTCGGTGCTCCATTCTCTCTATGCAAAGCTTATTCATACATAATATACATATTGAACCACACGGCTGGAATGTGGCGAAGGTACAAGTAGCGTCGTGTGCAAAAGACGAAAATGGCAGTGAAAATAAAAGAAATACAGGTTCACTATAAACATTAAAATAACGAGCTCAATTTAAACTGGGCAGCAACGACGGACGACTTCTCGGACAGTACTTTTGTTCTACATACTTCTATAGACAGAGATTACAAAACAACAAGTACCAGTGAAAAGAGAGCTCATTAAAAGTCTTATTGTCAACAAGCTAGTGCTACATGCTTTCGATAGACCTCTTCACAATAAAACACAATTTCTATACTCTGTAAATACAATAAACCTCTAAAAGCAGTCCTTCACTTGCGTTACTCTTCTGTTGTACTTCCCAATAAGGCGACACTGCCACGGACGATTGAAACATGGAGTGTTCAATGTTCACTACCAAAAAATTTGTGACCAAAACTTTTGTCCGGTAATTTCACTAACGCTGAACCGGAATGCTAGTCAAGATAACGAACTACGTTGAAGCACATTCTGGTCACTCCATTTTTTCACTAGTGTTTGGCTTGGTTATGTTGTAAGAGTGGTTTCACTTAGTCCTTAGCTCCTAGGTCAGTCGGCGTCGTGTTATGTCCTGTTGACAGTGGACAGTACGTTGGCCTTGGCGCGGTCGGTGGCTGCGGCGGCGGCCTCGCGCATCTCCTTCAGCGTGTGCGTCATACTGTGCTGCGAGGGTACCTGACGCGGGAACATACTGTGCAGGACGTGGTTGAAGCCGCTTACCTGGAGTACGGGGAAGAGGACCGTTATTCATCATGTTTGTAATAATAAAACTCATCGAAATTAGATGTAGCAAAGTCCTCTGGTGTTCGAGTACAGAAAGAAATTCAAATCTTCATTTTTGTGAAAAGAGATTATAAAGAGATTTTTCTAGGTACGTACCATTTGATTGCAATTCTTCTTGAACCTGTCGACTCCGAAGGCGCGGATGGCTCGTGAAAAGCCGAACACTTGTGAATCTATCCATGCGGAGCGACGCGCCACCGTCAGTCCCGGACCTGCCGAGCGGTACTCCACGCGTTCCACCACACTCTGTGATAAATACAATAGGAAATATGTAAAAATATAAGTTAATTTTCTGACCTAGACCTGAAGAATATTATTAAATTAATCGATCAGATGGACAGAAAAAATAACATTATTCTTATTCCTGTGCCGATTTGGAGACGCGGAGAACCTAACGGGTTACCGGGGCTCCGGCTCGACGTGCAGAAGAAGGAACGGGGTGGTTTTTAGTCAGTAAGAGTCTGACACTCCCTCCCGCCTCACCCGAGCGGGAGCAGTCCAGTCATTCGATGAATTTCCCCCTTTAAAAAAATCCCTATTCCTGTGCTATGCGCATATAATAAATAAAACTCTCACCATAACTTTCGTGTATCCTAGGTTCCTTGTGTAGGTCACAAATATTTTCTTCTCTGGATCTAGCACGCTCTCCTCGATGATCTTCACTGATTTCGCGTTGAAAAACCTGAAACAAACAATACAAATATGTTATTAATATTTCTTTTAGAGAATTAGAAATGTTGCCTTATAATTTTGATGGACAGTAGCCCAAGTATGATTTTTTATGGGGTAAGCCGGTAAACGAGCGGACGGATCACCTGATGGCAAACAATCGGCGTTGCCCATGGGCATCTGAAACACCTGAGGCGTTACAAGTGCGTTTGATTCGGGAATTGGGAAAATTGGGGCTCGTAATTGAGCTTCCGAAAATGATTACCTAACCAGTAGCCTGGTCAGTGGATACTCTGTTTTCCTACTTTTGAAGGCACATTCCATTTCCTAAAACCGTAATAATTTAACCGATAGAAGGTGCCTACAACATGTAGCTTTTTTTTTATTATATTTGATGAGTCGAATGTTTGACGACTATCTTGCCTGGTAGTAAGCGATTATGCGGCCTACGATAGAGCACGTCTGCCCATAAGCAACCTATTCACTCGGGCCTTGAAGAAAGAAATGTGACGAAACCTATAAACCCAACATTTTACGGTGCATATTGGACGTAATTATTCAATCGAAGATTTTATTTCATACATGAAGTTGCATAATATTATGAGAAAGCCAGACGGTGCAGAAACCGTCGCAGCAACATGTTCCATTTAAACTAAATTGGCTTAAGTGGGCAACACTCAATTGAGTGGCGGTTGGACACAATTGAAGGCGAGAGATTTATTCATTGGCAGAAGTTGGATGCCTTATACAGTAGCTTTGCTTTTAAATAATTTGATTTGTCTAGTTTTCCTTCTAATATTTGGTTGGTCTACTTTGTCTAATTATATTGTGTAGGACTAGTAGACTACCATGTAAGTAGAGATCTCGAATCTTATTTTTGAATTGACTAATTATTAATTTCTCGATTTTATAATTAGCAAAGAACTGTGGAGTTCAATAAAACCTCATTGGTTGGTAATTGGTATTTCTTTGATAGAAAATTCACGAATCTCTGTACACAGAATTATATACTTGTCGTTATCTTTTGGTACCTATGTATTGAAATCGTCACAGGTCGACGAGAATGATAAGTGAGATCCAAGATAATCACTGTTTAGTAATAGGATGTTTATCAAATCTTACAAGTATTATCTACAGGTCTTATTATCATGAAAGAGATAAACCGAGTCTTATACTACATCAAAAGATAAACAAAAAGTAATAGATTAGGTTGCAAACAAGCACAGGGCATAAATATCCGTATACAATCTTCGACCTAAGATAATTTGTTAGGTCTTACACGGTGTTTTCAATAGAAACAGTGGCACAAACTTCTTTACCTCACACTCAATTTTTTCCTGTATCGTAGGTACATTTACAATCATACAAGTTCACATACACATGACACCCAGACCTGGAACAACAATCTGTGGATCACACAAACCGTTGCTCGGTGAGGGAATCGAACCCGCTACCCGTTGTGCGGCAGCCGGTTGCCCAGCCACCGCGCCAACGGTGCAGTCAAAATGATAATAGAAGCGACGAAACGCTCTGATGACATGGACCTGGCAGAGCGCTTAAAACCTTTTAAACAGTAATCCTTTCACATATATGGTCAAAAATATCACTTCAGGTGTTCCAACTGAGTTGGAAATAGGATCACCGAGAAATATCTAGGTACTAAAATACAAATTGGCTAAAATATTCATAGAATAATTTCACTGACGAGCCCACAATGTGGGTCATTGTAAGATAATAAACTAGATATCACCTATACCCTTCAAACCGGCCCAGGGGGCTTACTCTTGAATCCAATTCCGATCGATCGACATTGGTATTGTGAAATTTCGTACTCTTGAGTTACAACATTGGCGCCCATTGCATCCGTATTGCGTGGATATTGAATGAACTAAATGGTATTGAGTTTGCCTTTATATCCCGTACTCTAAATGCCATATTAACAGCTACGATAGTGGTTGTATAGTTTTGACATTGAATAAGTATTAAGATTTTATTGGATTGAAAATGGATTAACATTGAGAACGGTTTCAAGAGTAAGCACCCAGACCTGGGCATACATAACACATTATATAATTCTAAATATCTGATAACACATGGCTTTCTCTTTATCGCTACAAATATTACAAACATGTGCAATTAATATAAACTTTATCTCAACGGTGTAAACTGTAATTTCCTGTGGCATCAATATTGTTTGTAATATAATTTTTGAGTCTTAGTAAGAACTTAATACTTTGGGATATAATGATAATAATTCAATGTACTAAGTAACTTATTCACTTCGTCTGTGTTCAGCCATTGTTATTGTACCTGCATATCCGTACCGAATACTTTCTTACACTAATGTTTAGAAAACAAATCTAACATTAGCCGTTAGACCGGAACACGTCACATGGCCACGGTTAATCGATATCGACACCACGCAGTATTTTAATTTCATTAAAGAACAAGTAGTAATTACACAAATTGTTAACATATTTCCTGTAATACACTAAAAATGTCGTCGGACAGAAATGTGTTAGTTTGCTTTGATAATTAGCATGATCTAAACTTCACCGATAGAAGATGAGATCACATTAGATTTTCTCCAAAATACTCAAATTGAATCTTTTGTTTTTTTTTTATGAATAGGACGGCATACGTGGGGGCCAAATGGTAAGCGATCAGCGCCACTCCTGGACACTTGCAACACTCTAGTTATTAAAAAGTTACAGCTTTAAAAAAATGTTCCCTCTTTCCTTATATTTCTAAGTCGGCTGTTTTACAGTCTCACTTAAACATCTTCTGAAAATATTTATTATTTTTGTCTAAAAGGCAATTTTCATACAGATACGTTTCGTTACTACACCAAGCAACAAAACATCGACAGCACAACAAACAACAGTATTTCCTGTGTACTTATAAGATATTTAAAGGTCACAGTGAAGGTTGCACTAACAATAACAACAACTATTTATTGTAAACATGATAAGTTTTAAAACTATGCTACTATTCATCGACCTATCTGCAGCAAAAATTGGCTGATTATACTATTTTTTTTTGCTTTTATAATGCGGGCACAGATCTTTATGAAATTAAATTTTAGAAACAATAAGTTTCTGCTGCACCTGTTTGAAACCAGAGTGATATACAAGAATAATAAATATGATAATTTATACTTTATTGAGTAAATAGGTTGGCCAAAAACCAACCTTTTTTGGAGATGTATTTTAAATACTGTTCAGATACCTATTCTTGTTTCTTTTTTTTATTCAATAGGTCAGGGTTTGATCATTGGTAGTACTGGAGTAAACTTCTAAAATACATAGAATGCACAACGTACACCCACACCTCCTTTAAATTTAGAATTTAACTATTTGTACTTTGAGCCGAGCAGGTACATGTTCTACATTTCTAGATTTTGTTCTTGAACTAACTCTAATAAGATTTTTGGATGTGTGGAACTCCTTATCAATTTTAAAACTCATGGCGTCGCTCATTAGGCACAGAAATTCCAAAATTAATTTTGTCTTTTTCAAATATACAACTAAATAGTCTGCAACATTGGTGTGCTTGATATGAATAAATATTTATAAAATTACACCTATTCCCCAAGCTCTAGCTGAGTGAGACAAACAAATAAGTTTACTGACACTGCAAGAGCATTTTCTAGAAAACAAAACTGTTTGAAAAGAGGAAAATTCTGCTGAATTGCAACATTGAAGTTATTCCGACGAGACATACGAAACGAAGTTAATCTGACGACACGTACATACACATTATGAAAATATTTTCCACTCACCACGTTAAATATTATTTTGAAGACGTAGTAAATTACTATCAATATGTCACACGTAAGCTGAACCTGTGTAATAATTTCATAACGCCTATTATATGAATAGGATTACGGAGTAACTCAATTAACAATTTTGTTGACGTTTATTCTGTTTTTCCTCTTGTCTGCACAAAAATTTTGAATATGTTTTTAAGATTAGATGAGGTAAGTAATTGGGCTTGGGCATGGTAGTCCCATAGGCCAGACTGTTTCCAAAAAATATGTTCGGCAGACGATATCGTCAGAGTCGCTGTAAGATAATGAATGAGGGATGCAAAAACAATGAAGTATTGCAGAAAAATAGGGAGACCCATACCCAGAAGTAACACGGGCTCTAATGATAATCTTTGAGCTCTAATGTTTATCAAAACCTTAAAAGTATTTTATAAACATTTTTATTCATCTTATTAGACATAAAATGAGTCATTAGTGTTCAATGATTTTGAATATTTTCCAAAACACAAACATCATAATTATGTAAAGTCAAGAACCATCGGAAAATAAAACGAAAAATCAAAATATTGACAATGTACATACCCCACATACTAAATAGGTACATAAAATTAAAGATTATACGTCACTTTCGTAGAAATTGATAAGGCAAATATTATCGCGGAGGTGAATGTTTGTTTACTTAATTTTGGCAACTTATTATCTAAGTTTAAAGTTAATTTTACAAGGGGCCATGTTAAAGGCTATGAAAACATTTATGATACTAGATGTTAGGTATAGTGAAAATTGTATAACTATAACAAATAGCATTGCTAGAAGAAAGGGACACCCTTTCTTCTAACAAACTAGTATACGTAGTTTATTGGCATTTGAATAATCAATCGGTATTCTGATAGACTACCATTATTGAGGGTTGTGTAATAACTCAGAATATATTATTATCTAACAACACGCTATGGTATCTAGAAACCACAGTACACACCGAAGCATTTTTTTATAAATAAGTATTTGCTTGTTTTAATCAGTATCTAAGACACATGTGTATGTGTACATAACCCTGCCTCCCATGGGGTAGGCTTACCTTTTGCGCATCATCAAATCATTAGTATTTTCATGCACGCTTGTTGGTTAACGGTACTTTTAATTTGGCTGTTCTTTATAATTATTAGTATCTGAGAATGATACAATAAAAACAGAAGGTATAAAAGTAATACGCAGTAACGCAATATTGGCAATTTTACGCGAATTGATAATAAACAAAGTAACAATGAAACAATAAATCTGTTAATAAAATAATGAACATAATAAAGCACTTCAAGGAAAAAAATAAGATTAATTCCTCAACGAAATCGAAAAACATGGTATGCAATAGTTTATGAGCCTGATTATTGACCATGTACTGTATAATGACTGGGAATTTATGTACAATAGTAAAGTAACCATTATCAAAACTCAAGGGAATAAATCCCCAGACCGTTTGTGCAATTATTCAAAACACACATGAACCCTAGTTGACAAACAAGGCAGTCTTGTAGATCTGATTTAAAAAAAAAAATAATTATCTCTCATACAAGTTACATAAAAAATAAACTAAAACATCATGTTATCACCACTAGAGGTCTGACAGTGACTGATACAGTCTTGTATCTCGCTTCACTGAGATTATTCATTTCACCTTGACCAATAATAATGGCCGCTTTATATTTAGATCCAATCTGATGCTACTGCACCCATTTTATTTATTAAAGGCATCATCCTGTTCAGGATGCAATCATGTTTATTGCATTTGAAGGGGGCACTGTGTGTAACTTGTCCAGTTGGATTTATAAAGACTCATTGTTTCTTTCATGACATTAAAATAAAATTTGTATTTATTAACTGGATTTAACAACATATCATCTATTTCTGAGTCTCATCTTGTTTAGGTCGGACCTATAATTGTTCACTAACATAGTAGCAACTCCAAAATCTAAATCATACTAGTTTTATATTTGATGAGCCGACGTTTTACCACTATCTCGCCTATACTTGCTCTCATGGAACAAACTATGTCTGTGCCGACCACAAACAGACATTCTTTTTCACAGTATGGTGTTAATTTTTGACATGGGCACCTGGTTATAGGTATTGCACTGAAGTTTAACTTGTCAATAAGATATTTCAAAAGGTTTGACATCCTAAGTGTATGTTTATACCAAACCTACCACAACAAAGCAACCCAACCCAAGCAACAGTTTTTCCACTTTGTTACTAATATATTTTAAAGGAAAAAACCTAATAAAGAAATTGGACATAGAGGAACTTTATGTGCCACCTGTACAACCAGTATGTTATATTATTTATCTGTATGCAATATTCCAATTATCTAATCAATGCCTACATTGTGGTAAGAATCAGAGATAATAATTATCTTATTTCATAAACAATTTAGACAATGAGACTAATTGAATAAGTCGTTATTTAATCAGAGTATTAATAATTAAAATTATACTTAACTACGTCATAAGTAGTAGCAATGACCCTGTTAGTACTTAGTACAATGTCTAGATGATTCATTTAATAATTACTTTTAGCTAATCTTTCATACTGATGCTAAAAAGTATTTCTTATGATCATAGAACAAATTTTTGTTCCAGGTCTGGGTGTTTATGTGTGTATGAAATTTTATGTTAGTAAACACACCCACATCACAGCCCACGGTTCAAAAACATCTGATTGAAATTCGATGTGATTATCACCAGTAAAAAAATACAGATTTGAGTACCGTATGTAGCCTAAACTAAGTTCTAATAGAAAATAAGTTGTAATAATAATAATAAGTACTAACTTACTGAAAGACTAATGTATACTTGGTAAAGATTTCACTACCATAATTGTGTAGACGAAAATAAGTTCTAATACCTATAATAAAAAGACGAAACTCACCTTTCTCCCCATTTAGGTACTCTGTTTGTCTTCGTTAAAACTCTCTTTGTGTATAGACATCCATCTTTCACTTCTCTACTCCATGTATCTTCTGACAGGACATGAGTACTGAAAGCAGAGAAATTGTGTAAAGCAATGCAGTATAAAATACCCTAATTTTGACCATTGGGCTATTCAAATTTTTTTATATACCTAGTTGTTCTTTATCAATAACAGCACATAGACCGTTGTTGAGCAATAAGCCTCATCCACTGAAGAGAGTTTGCAAAAACAATAAGAGTATTGATTGTAGGAAGGGTCCTACAGTCGGTAATAATCTGATTGCTTTGGTAGGTAGGTTAGAGATTGGAAGTTTAAAAGGTTCATGTTTGGTACAACATAAAATACCCAAATTCAGGTACAAGACTGTTAATATTGTTATTTCTTATTGATATTTTATTTTCCATCATTCATAACCATTTGAAATCAGAATGGTAATTAGGTTGATGATAATTTAATACTTTAACACAAAGCAACAGACACAAAATAGAATGCAGAACCTGTTTTACTAATGGCAAACAATTTAAAATAAAACCAACATAAACAAGACCAATAAAATAGCAATCTGACATTAAATACTAATCTCAGCATCTCAATTGTATTCAATGAATCAAGATTACTTTTTAATAAGGTTTAATAACTTGCATTAAAGAGTTTTGCAATTATTAAGTGCATAATTTTCAACACTACAATGATTGTAAGACTACTAAAATCTCATGATGTATATCCAACAAGCAGGGGCGGGCATATTCTATCTTCAAAAATAATATAAGTAAAAAAAAAATTATTGTATTTGGTTATTGATGAATTTACTTTAGTCACCATGACATTAATGTGTATGCTTGACCTTGGATTGTATGGCGACCAGCAAGTAAAATTTCTCTATTACATCTTCAACTTTATAGTATCGACATAGAGTCGAAAATTCAATGAATAAATTTGATGGGTAATATTCTGGCCACTGTGCTTGTTATGCTCAAAGACGTTTATTCACAATGACTCGTAACAAATCAATATTTCATGTGTTTTACTTTAATTTTATCTTATTGTATGTGGCATGTATGTGTAATAAAATATTACTACGTTATTGAATTATATTTAGGCGAGTTAGATAGTATTGTGTCAAGTTACATGCTGTTGACAATAAACACATCTGTTTTCTAAAAGTTATTATTAAACAGTAATTTATTATTTTTAATCATATTTCCATTTCATAAAAATACCTTACACATCTTTTTTACTTACTGGGAAAGGTTAAACACTATCATTACTAACTTATATTTAGCATAAAATTATTAAGTGGGAATTTTTATGGCCTCATGATTCATAGATTTTACATCACCAACTTATTTGAAGTGGAATAGAAATGTTACCTGCAGCCTTGATTTACATGAATAATAATCATTTAACATAATTATCTCAAATAATATTATTCATTAAACAAGGTTACATTTAACTTTACTAAAATAAATATACTTTCAAGTTATAATGGTGTGCTTTTGTCACACATAACTACACATACCTGTGAACTTTGATCACTTCAATGAATTATTAATTATTCTTTTCTTATAAATAACAGGTTGGACTTACCTCTGAGGGTTTGGATACCTCTTCCAGTAGCCGCGAGTGACTTGATCCCAACTAAAGTTAAAGGTAGACGTGTTTTCAAAATATCTTGCCATTTTTATAACTTTTCTGGGTTACTATTTTCTTATTGGAATGATTGTAAACAATGATCTGACAAGTTCAGCATACCACCAAGCTCATTATTTCTGCAAAAACAAGAATGATTCCATAATAATTTTGTTTTTCGCACGATTTTTGAACCCGTATCCGATTACATAAACATAATCTATGTAGGTCATAAGATGAATATATTTATGTTGAGCGCTTTACCAAACCTCTCGCGCACAAAGGCTTTGTGATCATGGTCACGTATGTCGACAGGTTTAGAATTTAACGAAGTAAACAACGTTCGTTAAACTTTACTGCAGTGTTCGAGGACAATATTACAATGACACCGAGCGGCACATGTGCCGAACTAAACTGTCAAGAGTTAAATAACACCATATTCATTCAAAGTAATACCTATGTCTTTGTATATCTATCTAATTAATATCAACAACCTCTAACTAAAGTAATATTATGAACTTACCAATAAGCCGGAGGATTATTGGATCCAATTTTCGTGTAATCAAGATTCCGAAATTGAACTTAACACGTCTACCGACGCGGTCAACGATGTCTATTTTGACCGTAAGTTAAATGAAACAGTCGCGAAACACATGTTATCATTCATATTTTCAGACTCGTTTTGATAAAATTTTGATAACTATTGACAGATTATTCGAGAGCCCATTTGTAATACAGATTACATAAAAACATGCGTGAATGAAATGAATGGAAATGAATGACAGAATTGTCAGAACCATAGACACGTAGAGGTAATATACCGGAAGTTCGTTTAAATTAAGCACTTAAATTCTCGACAAATATTCGGATTATTTTGATGACAGCGTCATCTAGCGACAAAAATAAACAGTAAATGTCAGCTTGCTTCCGGCTTATCTCGCTCGTGCTTCGGGATAGCACTGATGAAATGCTTTTTTCAGTGAGCTAACTATTAGAGCACCGAGACCAAGAGGAGAAAAGAAATGTAGACAACTTGATGTCTACATTTCTTTTTTAAAAAAGTAGAAATATAGTAGACATGTATGTAGGTACATACAATTACAATAATTCCTTGTGCGTACTGCTAAGGAGTGGAATTCTTTGCAAGAGTTTCAAGGCCCGAGTGAATAGGTTGCTTATGGGACGACGTGCTCCATCGTTGCTCCATCGTAGACCGCATCATCGCTTACCACCAGGCGAGATAGCGGTCAAACGTTGGCCCAACATCCCATCAAATATAAATAAAAGCCCAAGGAGTATACTACCTACAATGTAGGTCCTACAAAATTTATTATCTATGTAACAGGAAGCGCTTTGATAAAAATAAAAATATTTCAGATTTTCAATGACAATTTGAAAAAATGGCCGCGTTCGCATGTTTCAGTAACAGTAACGAAAAAACAACAGCTTCGTACCGAGCACTTATACAACGGTTAAGAGATGAAGGCCAAAAGGCGGTTTGTTCGAATCCTTGATTTAGATATTACTAGATATACCTATGTACCTCGACGACATCGCCAGAGTCGCGAGGAGCCAGTGGATGCAGGTGGCGAGTTGTCGTTCGACGTGGAGGGAGGCTTTTGTCCAGCACCCCTCTGGCTGTTGATAATGATGATGATAATGATACCTATGTAGAAACATGTAGAAAATGGTGCATAAATCGTGCCAACAGTCATCATAAGTTTAACCATACTAAGTAGAGTATTATTTTTACCATTTATTATTTCTCAACTATTACTTACCTATAGATCGGTAGCTGCGACGATCATTGTATCATGTTGATTTACAAACATTAAATTGATTGATAGGTAGATTCATAATACTTCTCTAACCATAACTTTAGATTATTGAATAAAAGCTGTGTTAGATTTATCTGATTTCGTGGAAAACTAAAAGTACCTAACAAATAACGAATTCAATTTTATTTCTCAGATGGCAAACCAACCCCCGATTGTTAGCATCGCTAGTTTCAAATTTTATTCAGCTCATAAAGAGGAGTCACGACATGTCTTTAAAGATTTCATTTACAAATTGAGAATGAAGATGTTTGAGGATCCCTACATCCTGCTGTGTGATAACCCTACGCCGATATTTAAATGTTTCGTCCGACTCATCCAGCGGTTGAAACTACGAGACGGTGTAGAATCCAGTGCCTTCTACGGAGAAATCAAAAAGGTCATAACGGGTTTTATGAATTACTTCACATTTGTAATAGACGACGTGGTGAAGAAAATTGACAAATATACGCACATATTGGATAATAAACTTTTTACAAGCTTAATTGATGAGACTATGGAAATTTTCGAAAAGAACCAAGCCGCTTTTCTCAAGGAATATTCACCCATAAAAAATGATACAGAAAGGGCAAATTACAATCAGGTTATAGAGGGGCAGGAAAAGTTTATGGCCTATCTAGAAGATATGAGAGTGACGTGGAAGACTAAACAAGACAAGTTTCAGATATTCGTAATGGGCTGCTTTCAGGGTTCCCTACAGAAAATGAGTAACTTGTGTAATTTTGCGCATTCTTATTTATCGATCATGTTGGCAGACAGAGTAAGTATCTATGTTAAGTATAGTAATTAACTAATGTATTTTATATGTACGTAGGTACTAGGTACGTAGGAATAGGTAATAGTGGGTGCGGTGATTCGGTAATTCACCAGTAAAAGTATCTGTACAAAAACGCTCTCGTTCAGAACGTCTAGGTTTGATTTCAGACTTTAGACTTGACATCCGGTGACGTGAACAGTGCAGAGCCATGGTTTTTCCAGAGTAGGTACCTACCCACACTAATATATCTGTGTACCTACCTAAAAGTAGGTACTCAAGTATACGTGGTAGTTTTTCATAGAACTAGTAACAAACCAAGACAAACAAGAGTACTAGACTACCCATCCTCTAATACCTATTTCGGTGACCTAACTACGATGACTAGGTATACTTACTAAGTAATTCTATTTATCTACAGCTGTATGAGATATCTGTGAGTCTGGGAGAGATAGTAGACCGAATGAATACAAACATGCGCAAATACAACGAGTATTGTACGGAGAAGACGAATGAGCTCATTCAGAATCTTTATGACAAGAATAAGGAACATTTGGAGATATACAGACGTCTAGAGAGGCGGTCCGTGGATTCCGCTGAAGTTCGTATTCTTTTATTTCCTGGTTTAATCCGTTGCTGCTTTCGGGTATCTGGTTCAAGCTAAGCTCAGTATTTTCAAATGAATAATGCTTGAGAAGGGCTACTTTAATTAACAGTTTCTGGTCATAGTTAATCACCACGAAGGCAGCACTATGTTCATTAAGAAACTAAACAAAGCAAACTTTTTTATACCTACTGCTTTTTCAAAGAACCTAAGTAGGTGGGTACTTAGACCTACAATAGTATTCAGCTTTCTAGGTATGTACTTAGACAGACTTCATCAATTCCTATGCAGGTTTCAAGAACTATAGACGTTCTAAGAGAAAAGATAGAACAATCAGGCAATGAGGAGACCATTGCGAGATTGGAGTTAGAGACCCGGTACTGGAACAAACGAATGAGGGACTTCAACGAGATCGCCACCATCCTTATTAAGATCCGTATGGAACAATACAAGTTGCAGCAGGACCTTGATGATTATAAAACTATAACGTAAGCGTAGCTAACTAATGCTCTAACCTTCTCCGTGTGAGAAGAGGCTTTGCTCAGCAGCAGTGGAAGCGTAGCTATAATCACGTCAATCAGCACCATCGTAATTTTAAAAACTATTCCTGTTGATTAGATCATGTTTATTTACCGCTTTGCACCATTCACCAGTTGTTTTAGTGTCTTGTATATTTATAATTCAAGGTGCAAGGACTTACCTGGCACGAAGACCATGTGCTTCGATATGATAGGCGAGAATTTGAGAGAGAGACTTACGTACCTTCAGCGAAAAGAGCTGGATATGGCCAGAACCCTTATAACGTATTTCTGTGTTCGAGGTAAGAAAAGATTTGCAGTTTTATGAAAATTCATTCATTGTCACGTCTTCAAAGAGTCTCATACACAACTTATAGCGGCCTAGACTATTTAAAATTAGAATGCAGAGGCACTGAGAGTCGGGTATTGTCATTCTCTTTATTTTCGACTGTGATCACGAAGCGGTCTGCCTATCGATTTCCCCGACACATTCAAAGGCAGGTAGCAGTGGCATAACTACAGGGTGGCAATGCAAGTCGACATAAAACCACGGCTCCCAGATGAAAGAGGCCCTGTTAAGAGGTTTTCATCGGAACTTCTGTTTGTTAAAGAGACCGAGTGCCCAACCGATGAATTTTCCATGGGCCCAAACGGTATAGTTACGTCACTGGCAGGCAGTTCTCAGGTCAGCAGTGATCGTCTTCCAGATGATGATAATATTTATAACCACCTTACCGTATACAACTCAGAACCTTGCAATTTATTGAGGTTTTAGTTTCCACGCTGAATTTTCTAATAAATTATAGGAACAAATCGCATCCTATACACGGACAGTGTCGGCTCGTACTACTGCGATGAGTTCAACCATCAGAACTACATCACTAACTATGGACTCAAGTATTTCCATGTCAACTGCTACGGAGACTTTCTGGAGGTCAGTTACAATCGGTTATTCTAAAATAACTAGATCAATTTTCTGTTCATTCACAAAAACTTTAGCACTATTAGGGACCTACAAATTATGAGATTGTACCTATAGCGTACATTTTTGTGGTTTCGATGGGTTTTGTGGATTTCGTTGTTAAAATAAAATACCAGTCTGCCAAGTTGCTTCCAACTATCAGTTAATTAAAATTCCATCTGATCGCTTACCATCAGGTGATCCGTCTGCTCGTTTGCCTTCTATTCCGTTAAAAAATCCGAAAAATAGACTATTCAGAATTTTAACGATTCCGCAAAAGAACTGCAACGCACTTGTAACTTCTTTGATGTTGCGTATGTGCGGTGGCCATTGCTTACCCACTACATATACAATTAGGTGACCTGTATGCTTTTTTACAAAAAATATACGAACAAAATTTCCCTATCAGAACTTGGAGACAGAACCGTACTACTTTGACGAACACGGTCGTTATGTCATAAGAGACGGTGAGAAGTTCCACCAGTGTGCGCCCTGCACCAGTCTGTACAAGATGGGCGATAATGGACTCTTCAAGAAGGTCACTAAGGACTGCGGTCATTCTGAGCGAGCCAATCCTAATTGTCGACTGGAGATCAAGGACTTGACTGATGTGGTCATATTGCCTAAGAATGACCATATTGATATTACTGGTATGTTTTATACTGTCAAATTCTTTCATATGAATGACTTTTTTCTATCCTTTAGATGGCTATAGAGCAAGCCACCAAAAACATGCAGGGGCACCCCTAAATCGGAGATCTTTGATCCCCAAACCGCAACGAGTAGAGATTACCAGGGGGTAATAATTACTAGAGGGTAGTAGAGAGAGATTATTACCCCACTTCCCCCACCATCTTAAAAATAAGACCATCTGATGCAGATTACTTATAATCAAATCTTTATTCAATGTTCCTGATGTCACCAGGAACTCTGGACGGTGATTCAGTGAAGTTCCTATGGGACAGCTTCGGTATGATACTGCCTGAAGTTTTGTACGCAGTCGCCACGAAACAGCCTAAGAACCCTATACATTTCATGGCTCATATACTGATCAACCGTAGGTGAGTAACCCAAACAAAAAAGGAAACTTCGTCGTTATATGGATATCTATCACCAAGTAGTCTGGATATCAAAATGTTTTGTAGGTACCAGTTATTACCTAGTAAGAGTAAATTGAGACTTATGTTCAAATACTAATTCGAATTAGTATTATTATACTAGGTCGATGACTTATTTTTAGTTTAATGTCAGTCTGGTAGATTATTTAAAAACATTGGACACGTATTTTTTTACAGAATCGAATACTTTCGACGATATATTGATTTAAAATGTCGCGTGACGTCACTTCTATGTACATTTTATACGTCGAAATGACGTTTTAGCCCCCACTACGTTTTAACTTTGATTCGTTATATCTATAAGTATCATTTTATTATACATCGAAATAAAAAAATACGTGTCTAATATTTTTTCATTACCTAACTTATGGACTAATTAGATTTTTAATTTTCATACCCTGTCATCATATCTATTCTGTCGCTAGAAATTATTTGTAAAATGACAGAGATGGCACGATATTTATACTATAAGCTGTAAGTACACGGCAGCTGTACTTACAGCTTATAGAGTTAGTTAAGTAGCCTTTCAGTATTCGGGCGGCACTAATTAAAGCTGTAAAATAAACGTTTTTTTGTTATTGTTTGGTCACATTTTCCCATGTTTTTCTTTAGTTTCCACAGCCAATCATAGCATGCCTGTCTAGCTTCAGCTTTGCTTTAATTTGCTCTAATTTGGTCCAAGGTTGATCATGTTTTATTCGGAACTCTAGGTTCGAAGCGACCAAGCAAGAGTTTGGTAAGCTGGCGAAGAAGGCGGACAAATACCGCACTAAATTCCACGAGGAACGCAAACAAGTGAGTTTGTTCTGTAAACTTATTCTTACAGTAGGCACTAGAAGTAATTGTTACATACACTGATTACTTGCGCCTCATGTTCAGTGTAGCAGGTTCGAGCAGGTTAACCTGCTCCTTTCATTTCTTTATTAGTTTTTCAATATTATGAATTTTGAAAAATGATTCCCAATAAAGTTCAACATCCAATGAAAAATCTACAGATTGGATTAGATCCCTATACATGGGACTCATAACATAAATAGTGAAAAGTGGGTGTTACATTGTACAGTGGCATTAAGTTCCCGTAATGTGCACCTCTGCCTACCCCGTCGGAGATAAAACGGTGTGATGTTATGTTGGAGTAGCTTTTCCTGCTAGCCACTTAGAAATATAACTAGCATTACCTACACTGTATCTATAGGAACGAATCTTATTCTTATATTTTGTCTGATATTAAAGACTTGGTTCACTGTTCATATTCAGACTTTATGTTTTTTGTATAACAGAAAGCCAAGGAAGAGAGACAGGCATGGAAAACCAAGTTGATAAAATATGCTAAGGCTGGAGAACTGGATGACACTCACCAACAACGAACCACCATGCAAAGAGTGCATGATTTAGAGTACCTTAGCTTCTTAGAACAATATTATTAGATTTAAAGTTGCGTTGGGTCACCCTAAAATATAAACGCGATTTATTTTAAATAGATGGTATGAAAAATCCATTTTGAATACTTAGCACAGGGTATTTGATACTTAAGATATGTCTGTAGACTGATGAGTCATGAAAACTGGCCCTTAAGTCTAAATTAAGATACGATATAACGATAAATATTCTGTGTTAATGTATGATAATGAAATCGAAAATGTATCTGCCATCTCAATCAAATATCAAGTGTGTTTTGAAAAGGGATGAGCCCAATGCAACTTTTGCAGCCATAATATTATGTAGTTACAATTAGATAGATCAATAAACCATTTATTTGCACTCAAAACGTTATTTTTTTAGAAAACTTTATAAAATCTCTGTTTATTTTTGTGATAAGTACCTACTAAAAAAGTAATGTAATTAAATTGATGTTTACCAGCAAAGTTTTGTTTTTATTTAACAAACTGCATAAAATAACAACTCATGTTTAGTGTGGTAGAGCCATGCTTCGGCACGGAGGGGCCGGCTCGACTGGAGTGATACCACGGCCTCACAGAAAACAAACGTGAAACAACGCTTGCGTTGTGTTTCGTCGTGTGAGTGAGGTTACCAGAGGCCCAATTACCCTCCTCTCTTCCCCATTCTCCCCAATCCCAGAATCCCCAACGATACTCAAACTTCTAATCCCCAAAAGGCCGGTAACGCACTTGTAACGCCTCTGGTTTTTCGGGTGTCCATGGGCTACGCCGATTGCTTACCATCAGGTGATCCGTCTGCTCGTTTACCGGCTTATGCCATAAAAAAACAAGTTTTAATATTTTTATAACTTGGGGTTACTTAAAATGCTGAAAAGGTGTTTTACAAATAGTTAGTGTCTGTTATGTAACGGCTAGTGATGTTTCCAAACACAAATACACATTATAAATAATTTATTTCCATGTTACCTAAACACTAAGCTACTCCGAAGGTGTGTGTGTAGATAGTTAAGAATTCATTCAAAAATATCCCTTATTGACACTATAAACTTTAATATCATGTAAATTACACTTTCGAGTCCACTTACTGTACACAGATAAGTAAGCTTTATATTGTCTACGCCAAAATAATAATGTAAAGAATATTAAAACGTGTACTAGGGCAAAATAAAGCGAGTAGGCCTTAATTGCAGGGTGTGTCCATCAGACTTGACATTTCGAGATTCTTGTAGGCAGACTTGAATACACTTTGAGTATTTCAGTCATAGTAATAAACTCTGTGTTCAAGTCAGAATGGGGTTAGGCAGCCAGCAATTAACAGCTATACCCTAAAAAGCTACACACTGCTAAAACCACAAAAGCGGGGCCTAACAAAATAAAAGAAAAATAAAAAATATGTTGTCAAGGTACAGGTATTTATTGTTCAAGCGTCTACTAGATATAACGAGACACACTTTGTGAGACGTCGACTTTCGTCCGAAAGCAAATAAAAAAACAACAGATGATACACGTCCCGGATGGACATTAAAATCCAATTCAAAACCCACTGTCTAACATTAATATTTGGTTTAATTAAGAAAATAATGGATAATCAAGTGGAACGCAACCGTCGCGTGAGGACAGAAGGGGGCCCATGACACCAACGTCCGTGTCGACGGGACATTCGATAAGCTAGCATCAAAGGCACATTTTGAATTGGCATTCAAATCTAAAACACAGTACAAAAACACAATTTATATGACAATACAAGAACGCAACGTTAACCTCGACAATGGGTTGAAAAGGGTAATAAAAATATTTTGGTAAAAATATAGAAAATAATTTGATGGAAGCAATATCAAATGACAAATTTGGGGTCATAGCGAATCACTAACGCAAGGCAGCATAACACGACCATATTATTCACCCGAGAACTTCAGCGGCGGCGTGTGACCACGCCCTTGACAATGTACTACAGGCTATACTTAGTACGACAATATTACTAATACGTATTCTGCTGTCTTGCACAAGATTGAAATAATCATAAAGTCGCAATAGCTTTGCTACCACCAATAAAATAGATAATTATTAGTTTATATCTAGGAAACAATTTCTGTATTTTTATTTCGTAATATATTAAACTAATTCAGATATGGTTTGAATTTTCAATTAAGATCGTTCGAATTTACAAATGTACTATTCTCATACCTGCCCCGACTGCAAAAGGGTCGAGGGCGAGAAGACATTGTCGAAGGAGTAGACAAGTACCATTTGTAAATAGAAACATAATAGTATTATAATATTAGGTTGTTATTACTTCAATCGTAAGATATAAGTACTAAAACAATGCCTCCTACGTCACATTTGAAAACCTTTGAAATATTTTTGTTCAGTAAAAACTATTTAGTTACATTATTGTATCAGGCGCTGGAAATACATACAACATATTTAATTTTAGATACTCCAATAGACTTAATGTTATTATGAATTTGGTCGTTCACTTTGAGACCGCATTACAATAATACAGCAATAAGTAATAATTCTCATCGCGACCTACAACAGAACGCAAAGCGGCAACTAAAACTAATACAATCGATATAAATGAGGATTGTGATGACGTTATATGTATTTCCACGAGTACTGACACGATAAACTCCTCACAATTAGTTAGTTACAAGCTAAACCGCACAAACAGGTACAAAAGTATTTTTTCTATTCTCTTTTATTTACAAGAGGTGAATATCAGAAATGAATAGTACACATAGAATTTGATAACAACAATATATGACAAAATGGAATTCGGTCTAATTTGTTATATTGTACGGCAACAGACTACGCGTATCAACTGATTAGTTACGTTCCTCATCTAAGTACGAAGCAAAAATTTAAAAGCATACCCAATATTTCTTTAGATAACGCGTAACTTTTAAAAAGCGATTAAATCTAATTTCATACTTTCTGTAACACGAAACGAAGTACAATAATTTTTAAGAAATAAAAAACTAACAATTAATAGTACCCCATATTCCAATTCCCGATTAATAACTCTAGTTTATACTTTTAAATCAATAAAGGTTACTTTGACGTTTTGGATAATGACTATGTATGTTGCAATAAAGAAAAAAATATGTACAAAAATGAAACTAGATATTTATTATTAGAATTGAGAAATTATTTAACCAATTTTACTTAGGCTTTCATGTGAAATGGAACATAAGATTACACTACATCCGACTGGCCATTTTCAATTAGCTATTACAAGCTTAACACTGACATTTAGGAAATTTTGCTACTGACAAATAATTTTCTCTAGACACTAAGCAAGTTTAGGTAAATCGTGTGTAAAGTTCTTAACAAAATGTTAAGCGCCAGAACATAAAGTAAACATTGAACCGCTCACACAGGAAACTGTATCGTAGACTTCTATTACATCCAATCGAAAATCTAATATTATACATCTAATATTATGACATTCACGAATGGCCAATGTTAACACGAACAAAATAATCTAAGCTACACAAAATAAAATTGTAACGCGACAAAAATAAATGTTTGCAGTACAAATGAAAGTTCCGTAGGGATGGGTATATTCAATCCGGCTGGGTAACAGTATAACATGGCTGGAAAAAATGAATTTTGTGCCGTGTGATACAAGTGAGGGGCTGTGGTGAGGCAAAACGAAGAAGGTTTTATTATAATAAACATTTATTCTGAAGGCCATACCACAGCCTAAAGAGTATTACATAGTATAATATGCATTTTAGGATACCAATATGCTTCGGCTCTGTTCAGTAGTCAGTTCACTTACATTTGAAGATGTCGCGTGATAAAGACACGAGGAATTTTATTAGACCAGAGACAGGACTTAATTTATTTACGTTTTCTCTGAACACGTCACCTGCGTGTTATAGTCAATACAAGAAATAAAGTTACATACTACATATAATAAGGGGTCTACATTAGAACCGACGCGTCAACACAGTCGAAGCACCAAGTATTGACTGAATCAAACAAAATTCCAACTACATTACCCAACATTCGAGACAGTTATGTACAAAATGAAATGTTACCAACGTTCAAAATTCTAAAGTAATGTAACTAGAATTCCATTTAATTTATTCTAGTATGATGTATTCAGCTAATTTTGGGACGAAACCGCACACTTGGCGAGTACACTCTGATGATGGGAAAGCGAAAATAAAAACGTATTCTATATCTTCCCTGGTCCTTATATTTGAAAATAAGCTTTGGTTTGATATGTTGAAATTACAATTAATTTAGTGAGTGTCACTAGTACAAAAGAAAGTTTCCTAAAGTTACTTACCAAACTAATGAAACAATAGTAATTTGACGGCGACACAGATGTCGCGGGTGTCGTGTGGTGGCGCGCTGTGTGCGAGCTCGTCCCGTGAGTTAGTGTAGAACGTAAGGTTATGCGTTAGTTAGCGCTGAACGCGTCGGCCAGTTCCGTCTGACAGTCGAACGTCTCCGAGCTGTCGATGTGGTCCGGATAGAACTCCCTGTATATTTTATCCAGCAGTGATTGCCTGAAATTGTAAAAATAAATACACTTTAGAATTACCTCGTCATTCATTGATACTTGAATTGAATCTAACAGTTAATGCATTGGTCAAAGTCAGAGTATTATCTGGCATTGGAGAGTCTGATCAAAATAATGAAAAGCTGTTGCTAACTCCATCACTTTTTAAACTGAAGTCTTAGTACATCTGCCATAGCCTTAATAATGATATTTATCTAGTAAAAATTAAAGGTTACTCACTTGGCAGCCAGCCCGCCACCCGGTGGCAGGCCCGGTATGTTCTCCTGCACGAGCTGCTTCAGCACCCAGGAGAAGTGACTCGACGAGTCCTCGCGCTCCTCGTTACCGGCGCTGCGCTCTATCAAAGCTGAAACATTTTTACCGCTACGTTAGCCTAGGTTTAATAGTCAATTTTAATGCATGAGGTTTTACGTTGCGTCAAAAACAAAGGACTAGATGCATAAACAATTTTCATTCACTTATAAATAAATATATCAATGTAATAATGGTCTTAAAACTTAAAGTAAGGCACTTTTAGAAGTCGATAATTTGTTTAACAGAACAAACCATGAAAGATCTAGACTAGAACATAAATTAAACATAGAGCTGGAACTAACTAGATATCATAGACTCGTACCTTTGTCCCATTAGGGTTGGCAGTAACTACAGACCACTAACTACGACCCATAACATATGACTTTACCTTCCGTCACATTTAGGAGTCTGTTCCACATTTTTGCCAATTATTTATTACTAATTTTAATAAATTATATTTATTCCTTACTAGCTGTTACCCACGACTTCGTCCGCGTAGAATATGATTTTAGTTGTATCCCATGGGAGCATTTAATCGGGATAAACGTCTATGCTATCACCTAAGGTAGCCCATACTCTACCTGTATACCAAATTTCATCAAAATCCGTTCAGTAGTTTTAGCGTGATTAACGGACAAATATCCAAACAAAGAAACTTTCACGTTTATAATATTAGTGTGATTAACATAATTGTTTTTCATTTATAAATATAGGTCGATTATTTATACATACTTTAGGTTCATATATACTAAGAGGAAACATATTTTTGTTTACATTAAATACTGAATAGGCTCAGAAACTACAGAATTGATTTATTGAAAAATTCTCCCATTAAAATTTCAGTAGCAAAAATATTCTATGTATTTTTTTATTTCGATATTCCTTCAGAAGACGATCGAAGTCGCAGGGCAAGAGATAGTTGTAAAAAGTAAATTGATAAATAATCTAGTGTTATAAATCAAGTAGATACGCAGTTATATCAGCGAGTGCTGACATTGGCTCGACCTAACATTAAACTCATGTTATTAATCAGTCACAATATAAATAAGCTAGATTCGCCACGCGTTGGCTAGACTGTTTCTGACCCCTGATTAACAATTGGGTTACTGACTGGCCCATATTTGTATAAGATAATAAATTAATTGTATGATTTTGTTGCTATTTAGTCTTTATTAGAAATAATTACGACGAATATTGTACAGTACAGATAACCCAGCATACCAAGGTACCCCAAATTGTCGAAAAAATATTTAAGACTAGCTGACCCGGTTTTTTCCTATTTTATAAACCTTCTCTGGATTTCCACGTACATATCAAGACAGAAAATTAGCGGTTCAGCTACTCTCGAGTTCTTCAAACTGTAACATTTTCGACTTTATTTAAATTGCAAAAAGAGGTTAAAAATCAGACGGAAAGTTTAAGTAATAGTATTCGGGAAACACCGAAATAAGGAAGCATCGTTACTGTACGAGTGACATTCATATTAAAAGTTTTTGCCATTGTATCGACCATTTACATAGCTCAAAATAACCGAGAGGCAGCCAACAATGGAATCAAAAACAATCAAAATAAAACTACAAGAATGCTTTGCTATTTTCCTGCGATGACAGGAGACATCGCAACCACGGTAGTTTATGATGAAACTAGTGGTACCCGGTATGGTAAAACGCTGCCATTTTATTTCCAACGTATGTTTGGGGTTTGGGGGATATAGGGTAAGAACACGCGATGTATTGCAGACACATTTCACGGTACATTTCGACGTTGACAACAGGCCTTGACTTGAAAGGTCAGTGTCAAGGATACTGCTTCAGAAAACTATATGTAGAACAGGAGTTCTTTACCTAGTGACAGGACAGAATATTTTTATGGGTAAGCTATGCTTACAGATGTCGGTCGGTATTATTCATAGTCTTCGGTAACAGATCTTAGTAAGACACCATGTATTTTTATTGTATTTCAAGGTGAGCAAGTCAAAGGGAAGGATAGCTATTCTTAAGAACTCAAGACGATTTTCTTCTTATCTTGGGGAGAATATTATGTTAATCTCATTTATAGTAGCAGAAACTCCAAAATCTCTCAATAGGTTACCAAGAAGTTATGCCATTCTGTCGACTTAATGGAGTTGAAAGAAAGGCATTTTAATGCTAACTCAGTGGAGAAAAAGATACTTTATAATCATACTAGCTTTTACCCGCAGCTTCGCTCGCGTCACAAAAGGATAAAAAGCCAATGTGACATATACCAATACACACAGCGCCATCTATATCAATACTTTTGTTTTCCCTAGGGAATATCAAATTTTCAGGGATAAAAAGTACCCTATTATTTAATCCGGACTTTAACTTTATGTCTGCAAAATTTCAAAGCAATCGGTTTAGTAGTTACGGCGTTAAAGTGGAACAAACAAACAAACTCACTTTCCGATTTATAATATAAGTAAGGAAGTAAGGATAAATACAGTTGAATTTTCTTTATATATGTTAGTACCAATTTACAGCTGTATTTGTCTATAGTTATCTTTTATTTGCTATGCGTAAAATGCAACTCAATCAATAGAGCTGCATGACGCTATAATTTCGGCCTGCTATGTATACTAAAACAGACAGTATTACTTTACAAGTTGAATTTAATTTTGGTATACTTAGGTAGAAAAGCTATTTTAGACCCTATTACTATTTAAGTTGAATTTAATTTTGGTATAGGTAGAAAAGCTATTTTGATTAATTACTTTTTCAATAATATGAGATTGCTAATTCATGTTATATTTAAAAAAAAAGTATTATGTGTAACTTAAAACTCTTGCGTACCTTATAATTTAACATTTTGAATCTACCTAAAACTGGGAGTTAAATTGGTTCTCCTAACATGTTACTTGTCAATTTCATTAACATCATTTCCCGATTGCAAAACTGCATGTATTGCGCGAAGTAAATCAGTAGCGATTATATTTATTTACCCTTGTATGTAAATAGAGGTCGTGTCGCCTTCATTCATTTCTATAAGTCTATGTATTGACAAGCTAGTAGACATGTGACCTGGTACTTATTATCATTGTGAGATGATGACTCAATTTTAACCTATGTAGGAAATTTAACACCTCGGGCGTCCTTATGAACACCCGGTGGATCATAAGAAAAAATGCTCTATGCTGCTTTCTCTTTTATAAAATTTATTATTAATGTTTTGTTTTTATTTTGACTGTATTTTTTATTTCTATTGTAATGATCCTTGTTTTCGTGTGACAATGGCCAAATAAATGCATTTTCTTTCTTTCTTTCTCCAAATGTCACATGTGCACCCGTTGGATCATAAGGAACGCGTCCGCTCGACGGGTTAGAAAGAAAAGTTCAGTAGCCATTTATCTACGAATCTATCATAATTACTACTTTCTAAGGCATTATCGGATAAAACATTTTTGATAAAACTAGTAATTACCAACCGCTCTATGAAACACTGCACATTTTTAACCGACTTCAAAAAAAGGAGGTTCTCAATTTGATCTATGTATGTATGTGCGTGATTATTTCGCGATTGGCTGAACCGATTTTGATGCAGTATTCAGAAAAGTATTTGTTACACTTGTTTTTTTTTAAGGGGTAAAATCATCGAATGTTTCTCCCACCTGGGTAAGGCGGGAGGGAGTGTCAGACTCTTACTTACTAAAACCACCCCGTTCCTACTTCTGCACTTCGAGCCGGATCCCCAGCAACCCGAATTACAAATATTATTTATGTTGCAAACAATTTATGTGTATCATTATTTAACCGCATTCAAAAAAGAGGAGGTTGAAGTCTGTTTTTAAACGTAGTTTATAGAAGATTTATTGTTACTCTACTTATAACAACAATTACATCAGATCAGAATAACTTTAGATATTGTTTTAATATAGCAATATATAAAATAGAGCCACTTTCCTTGCAGTTACGGTGTTATTTGTCACGAGTGTTGAGTTTATCGCTCACAATCTCGTCATTCAGAGCCCAATTATAAATTACATGAACATTTTACGGTACATGCACTACATAATCGATAAGAGACAAGAGCAACAAGATTACAACTGTACTATTATGGCTTCCAGTCTTATAAACCGAGTGTCTTTCACTGCACTCGTCACACACGCCAACGCCGCCATTCCAAACGCACGTAGTTCATTGCTTTAACCCTTCCAGCAAAAATATTTTATTCTTATTATTACATAAAAAAATTCTTTATGAGATTCTTTAATGCAATGAAATGAACAGGGTCGGGACTAAAGCAATGAAACTAAACATTTATATTTTGAAAAATACTTTAATATTAGAAAACAGGGTAACAAATTTTCAGACAATATAATAATTTTTAGCGCGATTTTTTTTTAGTCTCACAATACAAAGTTAGTAAAAATTTTGTAAAAGGATTAATTAGATATTGTAAAAAGTTTTAGTATTATACTTTTTTAAAGATTAAAACGTTAATATCACAAATGTTAGATTTTTTTACAAAGAAAGAAATCACAAATTCGATTAAGTACATTGTAGTTGAAGTTTGTACAACGAAAAATACTTATAAGCTAAGCTTAATTCGAAGACTTTTCAAAACTAACACATTTCATTATGTGTTAATAAATTACTTTAAGAAGATATAGGTATAGGAAGACGCCATTGTCCAAGGAAGAACAGATCAATAGATTGAAATGTAAGCATTGGATTTTACTTATTGCACTTTTATTATATTAGGTGCTATGGTGAAGTAACACTTAAGTTACAGAACTCTTATATAAGTGAGATAGAAAAAGTAATATTGCAGCAGGGTTGTCAAATAAAAATTGACAATCATTTTCAAAAAGTCATTTGAAAAGCCTTCATAGCCGATGCGAGGCATCTGTGAGTATTGACACAAAATAACATAGATCATCTAATAAATAAATAAACAATAAATACTCTAGTAAAACAACAAAAAACATATAAACACTTTGTGTAATAAATAAAGAAATAAACTGGTAACATTTATCGCAGTAAAGATAGGCGTTCAATATGACTACTATTGTAGATAATAAATATATTTTACTAGGTGACATGTATCGTCACTTACTACAAAAACGATTTCCTTGTCAAGTATTTTTTTTCAATAAAATATGACAAAGTACAACAGTTAAATATCCGAATGACTCGATCTCAATCTATACTTTGATAGAAAATCGCTTTTTAATCGCTACGTGTATTGTATACTTAAACTTAGGTTTCTACACGTGACTGATTTTACTAAATAATAATAAAATACAACGGAATAATGTCTTATGTGACGAAAACTACATTTCGTACCTCTAAATAATGAAACTTATTTTTAAAATGGGTACAATAGAGTAATACCTGTAATACGTTAGCTAATTCTAAATAAAAAAATAATAATGGCAAGAATATTTCAACTACTTAATAATTATAATAAAATCGGTATAGGAAGTGAATTATTACTAGCAGGATAGTAATAATTACATTGAGGTCAGGCTTGAGGATTTGTAAATATCCTGAAAAAATGAGGACATCCTTAGGTACTCTATAGAATGTATAATATCAAACTCTAAGCTCATGCAAGAGATGTGATCGAAAAAGGTTTTATGATTTGTCAAAAATCGTTGTCACACGAACCTAGACTAGCAAGAAAAAAAAAACATTCAAAAATCGAACAATCCGTTCTACAATTAAAAGTAGATCTATTATTTATTATGCAGCAGATGCAGCGTGCATGCACTCGTACTTGTATTGCTCATTATTTATTTTAGTGTCGTCATAGGTGGCACGTGTCATAGACAGTACTGTCTGGACAGGATAACTGTTCACCAATACAAAGTTTATTAATATTCCTTCAATAGGTGGGAGGATTACCAACACTGGTATATTTCAACTTTTCAGACTAGCAACTAGTTTTGCTTACTAATAAAACCGAGTTATTTTGAAACAACACCAAGGCGATGACGACTCCATCCACGTGGACGTTGCCTTAAAGAATTTTTCCTCAAGCGTTACTTTTCTCTATATTAAGAAGTGACTTTAGTATGAGTCAACGAATGATAGTTACATCGCATTATCTCAGTGCGATAATGACATGAAAATAGCCAAAAATGTCTGTAATGTGCGGAAACATTTTCCTTGTATCGAACTAAAAGGAAAATAAAGTAATCAATCACATTGAAACCATCGAAAAACACGCAATTTTCATACAGACTAAACATAAAATTGTATGTTTCTTAGTATTTTATTAACAGGAGATTTGTGGACGCAAGTTACCTAGATTTTATTGTTTGTATTGATAACAATAATGGCTCATTATTATTCCGCTCGTGATGCTCACATAATAACATGGAAGCTATGGCTTTGGCAATCTAATCGACGGCGACGTAGGAACTATGGAATCATAATTTACAATAATCATCATGTACTATGAACGACTTATGTGGTGCGTGCCAATTTGAAACAATAATCTGAATACTATAACTGTTGAAGAAATAACGTGGGTACTAAATATCACATTAAACTTTCTATTGAAGTGTACGAAATATTGTGAGGTCCTTAATCTAGCTTTATTCAATAAATATAATAAATCAGAGTACTGTAATAGTAGTGAACAGCAATAAATGAATTTTTATTTAGAGAAATCGTATAAAAATGGATTCATTATATCATTGGGGAAAATAGACTTTGTACTTTTTTGGGGAATATTATTTTTGTACTATGAATCTTCTGCACCACAAAACAAAACTATATAAAGGTGCGTTCACAACATGGAACAAAATAGAAAAGACGTGTAGCTGCAATTTGCGGTTGAAATGGAAATCTAAACGTGTTAGGAGCTACACACGTGCGGGTATAACGTCTCATGTGTGGCCACAACAACACACTCAATCGACAAACACAGCTCAAAATAAACCAATGATTTAATGACTTAACTACTCAATTACCCTTCCATACATCATCATTCGTATTTGATCATCATTTTGAGTCATTTGGAAAATAATCCCGGATGACAATGTCACTGTTGATTTCGTTGTAGGATTTCTATGAGCAATTTCCAGGTTTATTTCACTTTTTAACAATGACATTGATATCTAATACTAAAAGACTTTTTAATTGCATAACTGTACATTCAGAGAAAAACCAGTCATGATATGTTATGAAAATTTTCCCGATATAAGAGTAGAATACAGAAGTTGTAAGATAAATTATTTTCATAACATCATTCAGTGATTATTGCGCATAATCGGTCGTAGTGTGCGCGTAACCTAAATAAGTGATGTCATCTTTCTGATAGTAAACACTATGATTGTGATATCATAGCTGTGATAACAATCTACCAACTTCATACCATTACTTGTATAGATACGTATTGGTAATATGACTTAACTAACCTGATAATTACTTATTCTTGTATTCTTATTAACTTCGTATTTTACTGCGAAGTAAATCTTGTAAAAATCCTTACAAACTGTAGAGTGTAGGTCAAACGTCTGATTCGATGTTGGAGATATTAAGGGTATGTGTTCATAAGAACTTGATTCAATGGCAGGTATTTTTCATATTTCGCGGAAAAATCTGGTATATTTTTAACTATAGGTAAACTTATTTAGCGACACGTTCATCCGTAATATTATGGTTGGCAAAATAATTCGCAGCAGTCATTATAGACTGTAGCTACCTTATAATTAAGTAGATATTCGAAAATCTCTAGCGGTGGTAATAATGGCAATGTAACGAATACACTTATGGAGAAAACAATGGGTTATTTTAGCATGCGTTAATACGAATGGCGGCGAATATTATTTAACAATATAATATGAAGAAATATAATCAATTCGGTGCCGTTTCTCGGTTAATGTGCCCTTGAATATTATGTGCACAAGTGTTAGTACTTAATGATTAAAATATTCATTAATAGATCTTTAAATGATCGAACATCCTTCCTTAAATATATTTTACACGTCACTGAATATCGTGAGGAAAACTTTGTCCCAATCTTTCATTGGCTTTGCTATTTTAAAGAAAAACAACTATTCTTGGGTACAGTTCAAAAATAGATGTCTTTTCCATATTATTATTAATCAATATAAGATCTAAATGGCAAGTAACATGAAAAAGATGTCTATAAAAAACATTGACCTTTGTAAGCCAGGAATTAAATAAGTAATGGCACCATGGTCGCTGTTCACATGGCCTTAGATATACGGAGATAGTACATATTGATTACTGGTGTAGTAAAACAATGTATTATTTATGTGGCTCGAAGATGGCACGGCTAAGTATTCGAAGGTTATTCCTATTCTACGGCTCAGGGCGAGATTTAATTCCAGTGGCAAGAATGCAGTACATTATGTAAAGATGTTTACGCAATATCGCTACGTAGTGCAAGCAGTTTTGTATTATTTGTCGAAGTATTAATTTCTGGTCTTTTTTTCAAATATGCAGTCTAAACATTGTCTTTTTTTCGCACACAATATTTGTGCTGTCTTCAATTATCAATTTAATGTAAAACATCATTATACCCTTAAGTAGACTTAATAAGAAATGACCAATTTGTACTAATAAAATTGTACTAATGATGAAAAATTTCGCCAAAACAATCGACTTATTTCGGCAAATATGGCAATAAATACGTAAAATTAATTTCCAATTAAATATCGATAAAAATGTAAAAATACCAATCGAGTAAAGTCCTATTTCTAATTTTCTTTCAAAATTGTCAAATTCTCATCTCGAATTTATACCAAATTGTCAATAAGGCCCTTTTTAGCACAGAGTAGGTGCACGATGCACCGTCATTCGACCGTACCTACGTAATGTAGTTTAAAATGCAACAGCGCGGAAATGAGTCAAGAGAATGTAATAAAGGATATGTTATTGGCTTGTCTAATTTGATTTTGTCGCAATTAAACTTGTGGAGCTTCACCGAGTTACTCAAACAACTTTTAAATACACGGCAATGTACTGAGATACTATGTATATTAAATAGGATTTGTGAAGTACTCAGGTCCGCGCTGTCGCTAACCTAACTAAGTGTTTACGCTCTAGCATCGCTAGATTCTTTCCTACACCCATTCTGTCTGTCAATATTGTCAGTTCTCTGTCGGTCTCTGTGTTTGTGTGAGCAGGCATGCAGTAGTGAATGATAGCAACCTGTGAGCCTCTGTCGGAGTGTCTCGTCCAGCTCGCGGTCAGCACGCTGGGCCTCGGCGTTCGGCTTCGGCGCTGAGGGGAACACCACCAGCACGATGCTCATGTTGTCTTTGCTGCCCTGTAAATGTGATGCAACAATGAGAATGGTGGATGTATACATGTTCTAGGTCTCGGTGTGATACACGCACACGCAAACGCGACAAAAGATATTTTTATTTCAATCTGTGGTACTTATTACGTGGTCATTATGAAATACATAACTAATATTAACTAATTGTAATTAAGTACATAAATTTCGAATTTTCTTTTTTCTTAAATGTAAGTTTATTAAGTAGTGTAATAGGTATTTGTACCGTTCTATTCAAATAAATAAATAAATAACAAACCTACTCATGTTTAGGTGTGTAAACTCTTTATAACTCTAAAAATACATAAAAAACTACTAAAGCAAACTTCTATGCCATAAAGGCCTTGTCCCAAAGCATTGAAGACTTCAATCTAGGTTATTATGACCTACCTAGTTACCTAAGATAGTTTCATCAGTTTTCCTTACTTAACTGTTGCATAGCAATGACATAATCTTTTATAATAATCATTTGGAAAAACAATGAACAATATACAACTTTGTAAGTAGATATCATACAATGGATCAACAGTACCAAGTAATAATGTATGACAATTAAATAAAAATAATATGGACTTGGCACTACTACAATGTTTTATGGCCAGCCTATCCCGATGAAGAGACTGTACATTTCTCATGCAGGAATATTGAAATAAGGAAAACTTGACATTTTAGGGAGCTATCAATTACTTCCTTATGTGGGGATTTTACCTACTGACAAATATAAGGAACAATGAAATAACATGTTTACAGTAATTGTTAACTAAATAGAATATTTCACCAAAATATTAGAAGACAGTTTTCAATTATTTCTATTGATGAATATATTGAAAATACAAAACAACCAAAAGGCTTTATTGTACTACTTATTTCATGATAAAGGTACCAATTTAAGAAGTACCAAAACAGTTCAATAAACAAACTAATAGACTATCAAATGTGTATCACAACAACACAATTAGTATGTTTTCTACCTCTATGGTTGTAAACAGAGGATAATTTAATGAATGATTAGAAAAAATATTCCAGACCCACAGCTAAGACAAAGCTTATGGAAAAAAGAAAACCTTTTTGGTCTATGGGTAATGTAGGTGATATTATGTACCTATTCATCAACAATTTGAGGTTACAACTTCAAATCATTTTTAATTGTAAAATATTATGATTATAACCTTATTAAATAGTTTCTTTATATTCAGACTTCATTAGATTACTAAAAACAGTTTGTTTGTTGTGAGGCCATTCATTATAAAAATGAGTCATACCTCTTGTAGGTAAACTAAAAATTATTTGATTTACAATGATACTGTGTTATTCCAAAACCAAATTTTAATGATAAGTTCATGGAAACTAAAACCCAGATATGTTTGTTAGTAGGTTAATATGAAGTATTTATTAAACAACAAAGAATGTTCCTGATTCACCTGTGCAATAGGAATTTTAAAATCATGCATTATTTTAATATCAGATTAGTTAGGTATGTTAACTAATTAGTTTGTATTAATACAAATTATTAAAATATTATTAATTTTGTGAAGATTTTAAACAATTGAAACATTTAAAACTCCATACAAGAAGTGATCACCTACTTTATTTTCATAACAGGTACCTACAATCTATTAATATTCATTCAAAAGATGTGTTTTATAAATAGCATGTTGAAATAATAGCCAGCTTTACCAGAGTTGTACATACCTTATACAGGCAGGTGTCAATGACCTGGTTGGTCACAGCCACAAGGTCATCCGTCAGCTGAAGCAGTGAGTGTATGTATGCACACAGCGCCTCGTTGCTCATCACATCCCACACACCATCGCAGGCCAGCACCAAGAACTCATCCTCAACCTCATTCCGCTCATGAACAGAAACCTCAGGCTCAGGAGACACGAGCTGCTCACAAGGGCCACGGTTCACCACCTTCTTGTACTCATAGTCGCCTAGTGCCCTAGACACAGCTAAGCTCCCGTTGACACGCTGTATCATGACTGAACCACCAGCCTGAACAATACGCGACTTCTCCGACGGTAACTCCGGCTTGTGGTCTCGTGTCGCGAAGATCGGCACACCGTTGCGAGCGAGCACTGCGCGGGAGTCGCCGCAGTTCGCTATGTATATCTGCTTGGGGGACACAAACGCACACACGGCCGTCGAGCCAGATTTCTCCTCGCCATTGGACAGCTCCGGCAGCTCCCGCATCTTCTTGTCCAAGTCCAGGAAGCCGGCGCGAATCGCCTCGGCTATATCCTCGCGCCGGAACTCGTCCGTCTGAAGGATACATTCGAGGAGATTGTCCGCGCAATGCGCAGACACCCGTGCCCCTGCATGTCCGTCAAACACCGCGAAATAAGACCAGTCCGATAGAGTACCATTCAGAGTCAGCTGCGCGTGATGCGCATCCTCCATCTCAACGCGCCAACCCTGCATCGACGCCACGCCATAGCGAAGACCATTTCCTTCCCCGGTCTCGTTGTATTTCTTAGTCTCGGGCTTATTCAAAAACGCCCCCATACTGAGTCCTCTTTTACTATTAAGTTAATCGCACATAGTTTCCACACCATCAGGCACTCGAACTCACGTCGCAACCGATAACGTAAAAGGCAGGCAAAAGCATCACTGGTAGATACAATCTCACAGTATGATCACGTCAGATGGCTGATACACTACACTGGTGGCTGTGATGCCTAAACGCGTGGAGTTTATTGTTTCAACTGCTTTTACGTAGGTTAATTAATTACGCGATGGTGTTGCGTAGATCTCGATGACAATTGACAAATCGTGCTCTCGGGAATCGTAAAACGAAAAAGCAACTCAAAAGAATGAATGGCGGACATAAATAGTAATTGTCTATGATTTACTTTTTTAAGCGAGTTTATCGGAAATTGTTTATGGACAACGTTGTTATAAAACATAACGATCATATTGAAACTTTATTTGAATTTATTTATTAAAATACGTATTGAAATAACCGAATGCCCACGAAAAACTCTTACCCTTCAAGGGGCATATCATTATGTTAGCTAATTAACTAATTTTACATTTAAATGTTTAAGGCAATTAATTATTATTTTATAATTACCAACAACATAACTTTAATTTAGAACTTTTGAGATCGAAATAATCTTGGAAATGATATGTACACAAGATGAAAATACTCCTGCCGTAAATAAAATAAGATAAAAGAAGAAACGTCGACCTATTACGTATACATATTATTAAAGAAAATTCATGGCAGCTCTTCCGAGCTGAATGAACGAAACGTTCTATTTCCTGTCCAGTGACGTATGTCATCAGTCATAATGTGTCATTTATATAAATCTGTCAAAGCCGTCTCATGTGGAGGTTATGTTATGTTTTACAATTTTTATTAAATATTTTTATTAGTTGTAGCTACAATGATAAACATGAAAGTTGTACAAAAACAGCACTCTTTGTAATTTAAATGCCAAATAAGACTACCTCTTTATAACCTTGAAATTTTGTGACATAACCTTTTTGATAACTTGAAATTATCCAATCGATTGTTTCATGAATTAAGTCCAGCGATTTATAACAGGAAAAATGTACAAAAGTTTCCTATTTAGAAGGTAAGACGAGCTACGTTTGAAAGTTATTAAAACTTTTATTAATAATATCGTCTGCCGAAAGAAGTTGAAAGTAGGACTTGACTGATGTAATTTACGATAACTTGTGTTACACAATCTATATTTGTTTGTAATCAAAATACCGGCGAAATATTTGAAACAATCTTTCTTTTCAGGTTACCATTAAATTTAATTAAACATGAATTTGTTTCTCAAGTGTATGGAATCCAAAAGGTTCCATTGAATAATAGTCACCAATGGGCTAGACAGCTTTCCATATCATATGTTTGCTGTAAGAAAAGGAGATCGCCTGAAGAGAAGGTTTGTAGAATAACTGGATTACTAAATTATTATGATAGTGCTGAATTTAAACAATAAGTTGACAACATAATATTATAGTCAACATAACTTTATTTATGAATTGTTATTAATAATTTGTTTTGTATCCACATCCTCAAAAGTTTGTTACTTTTTTAATGTTGACAGGAAGCAGAGAGTCAAGGCAGACAGTCAATCAGGTATTCCCCAAAAGGTGCTGAAGTTATTGGCATATGGAGGAACATGACTGTCCAAGAAATTGCTAATGTACTTCATAAGGATGTGGGTGAGTAATTATAATCTGTGGTCTCTATAGCATATTTGTAAACTGTATAGCTTTTTATTTAAATCGGATACATTTTATCCTGAAATAATGTTTCAGGCATCCTATTCAGGGTGTAAATGGAACTCTATAGGCCACAGTAACCGCTTACCATCTAATTTAAAAAACTTACATGATTTTACAAACAGAAACAAATACCTAGCCTTTTACTAATCGGATCCGCAGAGAACTTAACGGGTTACTGGGCTCGAAATACAGGAGTAGGAATGGGGTGGTTTTTAGTCGGTAAGAGTCTAACACTCCCTCCCTCCTGCCACGTCTTGGTGGGAGAAGTCATTCGATGATTTCCCCCCCTTAAAAAAAGCTTAGTATCTTTTTACAATAATTTTTAATGGAGGTCCTATATCTCAAATGTGGTGTACATAATTTTTCCGAGATGTCCCGTACCTATAATAAAATAGATCACAAAGTGAAATAGTAACCAACCTCTTTTATTTCAGATCATGTACTAAAAGCCTTAGACTTTGCTGACAAGAATTCTGAAGTAGCATATACAAAGGATACTGTGATACACAACCCACAGATAATTAGAGATGTGGTCAAGATATCTGGCTGTAGGTTCAAGATTGTGCCTAAGCCAGAACAGGATTTGGATGAAGAAGAGGTTTGCACCAACTTGATTCGATTTGTTTCTTCTTTGGGCTAATAGTAATTAAAAGTGAATCATTTTTATTACAATGTGTTTGTCGGTTTTTTGTACTGTTAAAAATGTCTATAACGATCAATTCAAAAGGTGTCACTGTTTTATAAAAAGCTACTCTGTTATTACTATTAAACTACTAACTTACTAAATGAATAATTATCTAGTTATTATAGTTTTGGAATATGATGTGCAAAGGAATAATTTGTTATTTCTCGCCTCTTTTAGAAGTCAAAGTAGACCCAAACCATTTAACCCATTAAAATATCAGAATAAAACAAGTTTGATCAGCAATTTATTAAATTACTATTGTAGAATAAAGACGCAGTACCAGCGCCGCCGGCTCCCCCTGAAGCACTCCGACCACGACCACCCGTGGTCTGTGTCATGGGGCACGTCGACCACGGCAAGACTACACTGCTGGATGCTCTCAGAGACACGTCTGTAGTCGATCAAGAGTTTGGCGGGATTACACAGCATATAGGAGCTTTTGAAGGTATGTATTTTGTAAAAGAAACTATTTTATGACAAGGGCATGGACCAAGAGTCCCGAGGAGAATTAATATGTAACATTACTATAAAAACAAATGAAACTAAAGACCCGCTCTGGCATCACATGGGTGTAATATGCATGTATTATACATAAAAACCTTCCTTAAAAATCACTCTATCTACCTCTATTAAAAAAAACGCATCAAAATTAACTGCGTAGTTTTAAAGATCTAAGCATACATATGGACAGACAGACGGCGGATAGCGACTTTGTTATATACTCTGTAGTGATAGTGATTATTGTCTTCACTATGTCGAGTTCCACTACTGCCGAAGCCGAAGCCCGAAGATCACTGGTCTAAAATTTAAATAAATCAAAATTTGGTACAGTGATTATACATAGCATGGAATAACACATGGGGTAATTTTTATCCCAGAATCGCAGATGAAGCCGCTGTCAGGAGTCAGGAGCTAGCAATATAAATAGTATTTTCATTATAAATTGGCAGTAACAAAAGCCCTATACAAAAAAGAACCTACTCGTTTAGTGTCTATCAAACATACATACATTCAAAAAATATATCCCAAAACATAAGCAAACTCACAACAAAACCTATTTTCTTCCTTCTCCCCAGTACAACTAGCATCAGGCGAGAAAGTAACATTCCTAGACACGCCGGGTCACGCCGCGTTCACCGCGATGCGGTCGCGCGGTGCGCACGCGACTGACATCGTCGTACTTGTTGTGGCGGCCGATGATGGAGTCATGGAGCAGACTGTCGAGTCTATCAGGATGGCCAGGGAGGCTAACGGTGAATGAGATTTATTAAAAATAGATTGAATAACAACTTATCTAAACTAATTAAAGAGATTGAAATGGTTGATCTATTTTCAACCTTATTGAATTTGTTATAGAATTGAAAATCGTTTAACAAATCATTTCATCATGTTAATGATAAATAATATTAATTTGGTTATAGGTATCCAACAGTTAAATTATGTAAGTGTAATTTACTGTATCTTAGAATATTATGTTTTCGTTACAGTACCAATACTGGTGGCGATCAACAAAATCGACAAGCCAGGTGTGAACATTGTAGGTATGCCTCTATCTTTGTTACATAATATGTTCTAATATTCTCCTATTTTCATTACATATTCAATTCTATTATAGTCTAAAAAATTCAAATAAACTGTCCATTAGTTTTTTTGCTTTCATATTATGATAATATGTTTTAGAAAAAAGTAGATTAATTCTTTTATTATTTTTAAATAATAATGTAAGTTCTACTCGTGGATATCCTCATACCCACGAAATTGGATTAAAACATTAAATAAACAAGCATGTAAACTCCCTTCAGGACCGAACAATGCGCGCCCTAGCCACACAAGGCATAGTTTGCGAAGCATTAGGCGGTGATATCCAAGCGATACCAGTATCAGCGCTTAAGAAACAGAACCTAGACACGTTGGTAGAAGCACTGACGCTACAAGCTCAGCTCATGGAACTGAAGGCGGATCCTGGCGGTTACGTTGAAGGTGTCGTCATCGAAGCTCAGCTGGATCCGAGGACTGGGTAAGCGTAATAGTTTATTGTGTTTGATTTATCTAGAGTGGTTCGAGAGACGTTTCATGTGATAAATAACTACAATTTATCGCTACCCAATAAATAAAGTAAACATAGAAAGTGTCGTGTCTTTTTGCAAAAAGATTTCGCCAGTGCTAGTTTGCGCAAAACTTAGCGCAATCGTGATATCTTTTAGCGCAACATGCGCAACCAAACGCAAATATTAAGTTTTTAAGGTTTTTCTATAGTTCTCGTGCATCTATTGCAAAAGTATCAATTTGCTGGTTTGCACGGAGAAACTTTTTTTTATATATTTCATACCTTCTCTCTTTTAGCAAACAAGCAACAGTATTAGTACAACGAGGAACGTTACGACGAGGGAGTATCATCGTGGCAGGTGCAGGATGGGCTAAGGTAAGAAGACCTTTGGAAAGTAGCTTTATATTTATCAACGATCTTTATTCAATACATGCCTTTTTTGTTGAATTTCCAAAGTACCTTCTTTCATTTTTTTATATTTACTTTAATCTAAATATGTTATTTGTTTAATAAAAATTGTATATGTATGTAGGTGCGAGTATTGAATTCAGCAGAAGGTAGAGTGGTACAAGAAGCACCACCCTCAACTCCCGTGTCAGTGCTCGGCTGGAGAGAGCTGCCCTCTGCTGGGGACCAAGTTCTAGAAGTCAGCTCGGAGGTAAATTTCTCACTTAATTTCAATTCTATGTTATTTCATACTTTATTTTTTCTTCATAAATACTCTACCATTGCTCCAAATGTGTTCTTCGTTGCGCGAAAATCGCTTCGTGGCTGGTACAAATTTATTTCAAAAATGGTTTCCTTTGCAATGGTCATATAAATTGAAGCTGAATTCTTTTTAAACATGCTATGTTATTATTCTACCTCAGAAACGCGCCGGCGAGGTAATGCGCTGGCGCCACACGCAGCGTATGAAGGAGAAGCAGGCAGCCGACGTCGAGGTCATCGCGGCCAAGGAGGCCTCGCACCAGCGCGCCTACTCGGCCCGCCTCGCACACAAGCGCGCGCTCGGCCGGTACAAGCTGCGCGCCGACGGCCCGCGACAGAAGATGATCCAGTACGACACGCATCCCACGCTCACTGTCATTGTCAAAGGTTGGTAAAAACTGATTAAGAACAAGAACTTCTGTCAGAATAATAAGCAACCAATTAAAACCTATAAAAGTGTAGAAATAGCATTTTTACCCATAAGTCTCCTTTCAAACGAGTTTTAACCAGATTTAGTTGAATCTCAATGTGCCCATTCATATTATAACCGATTTTTGAACGAGCAAATAGCATCTCTACACCAAAAAGTCCCCTTTTGATAAAAACGGAATAACTTCATGATTTTATATTTATTTGATCAGGTGACGTGGATGGTTCAGTGGAAGCTATACTGGACATTCTGGAGACTTATGACGAACATGACAGGGTGAAGCTCGACTTGGTGCATTTCGGAGTTGGACCTGTCACACCTAATGATTTGGAGGTCAGTAAGAACTTAACAGGCATAATTTACACCCAACTGTATAAACAGAATTTTCTCCCGATTTTATTCTTTTAAAAAATAATAAAATTGTTTAATAAAATACCCATAAATTTCAGACAGCAGAAGTATTCAAGGCTGTGATATATGCATTCAATGTAGACTGTCCGCCGGCTCTGACGGTGGAAGCCAAGAAGAAAAAGATTCCAATCAAACTCCACAATATCATATACCGACTGGTAGACGATGTTAAAGAAGAAATCAGCGCTAGGATACCTAAGAGACTGGAGGAGGAGTTTGTAGGTAAGATTCAATAGAAATATTAGTTACGTATCACGGAGTAACTAGTTTGGTTCATTTTAAATTAAGGCAAAAAGGGACTGAAGCGTTGTTGAATTGTATAGCAATGTTTCTTTTTTTAATACCATTCCGTGTAGGTGAGATTACTTTGAAACTGCAATCTGGAATCCGTATAACAAGCGTGGAAATTATAGCAAATGCTCTGACTTGCTTACGCGCCGTTTTGCACACAGATACACGACACAATCGACTAAGTTAGAGATCGACCATAATTAGGCGATATGCGCATGTACTCGGGGCGAGCGAGCACACGGAAAACAGGGCGGTGGATAGCAAGTTTGCCACAGGATTTTGTTTACAACGCGTACTGCCTTACACTTTGCCGATAGTACATTAGAACATGGAACAGCTAACGTGCCTAAACATAGCCTTACATATTGTCATCGTCGCGGAGAACCTAACGGGTTACCGGGGCTCCGACTCGACGTGCAGGAGAAGGAACGGTGTGGTTTTTAGTCAGTAAGAGTCTGACACTCCCTCCTACCTCACCCAGGCGGTAGCAGAAAATCGATGATTTTGCCCACTTAAAAAAAAACGCATTGTCACCGGGTACCTGTCACTGGCAATAAGAAAACGGACGCATGATGCATTGAAAAATAACATAGTTCCATTATAATTTCCAGGCGAAGCGAACGTGTTACAGCAGTTTATAGTGACGGAGAATAAGAAAAAAGTACCTGTAGCAGGGTGCCGGTGTGTTAAGGGGTCACTCGCCAAGAACGCGCTGTACAGGATTATAAGGGGACAGGAGGTCGTTTATGAAGGTAAGTCATTATTGTAAAATCGTTTGTTGAAGGTCGGCAATGGTGAGCGTTAATGTGGCATCCACTATTTATAAGTCAAGTCTTATGTAATAGGGGCGTGTTAAAGTTGTATGGGACGGTAGAACCGGTCGATAGGGTCATACATAAATAAATACAAGCATTCTTAAAAACTTTTATTTATTACTGAAACTAAATGACCTAGTCATAGGTTAGCTGCTGCGCAACGTATTATTGATTCAAGTCTTATTAGCTATGTTCCAAAATTTTTTTTTTAAATGGCCGGCTCTACCATGGTCCACTCTACCAATACCACGTCCGAGCAGAAAACCGACGTGAAACAACGCTTACGTTGTGTTTCGTCGTGAGTGAGGTTACCGGGGCCCAGTCCCACCCCCCTCTTCCCCAATCTCCTCAATCCCCAATAATCCTCAGATTCCTAATTCCCAAAAGGCAAGGTAATGCACTTGTAACGCCGCTAGTAATCCAAGTGTCCATGGGCGATGCTGATTGCTTACCATGCGGTGATCTGTCTGCTCGTTTACCGGCTCACCCGTGAAGATGACAATCTCTAACATTATTATAATTATTCCTTAGGTAAACTAGCATCAATGAAGCACTTAAAAGATGAAGTTCCAACAATAAAACGAGATATGGAATGCGGGCTTCGTTTCGAGGAACCATTCGACGTCCAGCCAGGAGACACAGTGGTCTGTTACAAAATGGTAGATGCGGCCGACACTACCGCGTGGGACCCCGGCTTCTAGTTACCAAGTCATACTAAAATATTTATTTTAGTTCAATAAATACATTATGTAGATATTTTTTGGTTTCATTTTAACCTAGTGGGATAGTCGTGTCTTCTCTTGCTTGCTGACGAAAACTTATGATTTACTGCTTATAAAATAGTTGGGATAAGGACGAGGAAAAGAAGTTAGGAATAGAACATTTCAAGAACTGGAAATTGGTAGGTAGTTCGCAAAAAAAAATTCTTCACACAATTTCAATGTGAAGGTTTTAAAAAATTATGAAATACGCAATTATTTTCAAGGAGGTTAGTTTTTATAAACATGTCCGAAGAAATAAAACGACAGAACTTTATAAAGAGAATCCTCTATTTAAATATTAACTTGATAGGCTTGTAATTCGTGTCTCACTATTATTGAACAAAGAACTCCAATAAATTAATAAGTAGTAAACATGATATTATCATTGCGACGGTGACCTAGTAACTTGTTATGGGACTAGTATTCATTAGCACTGCCTTTTAATAACTACAATCTGTTTAACCTTTTCGCCGCCAACAACTTCTATAGAAGTTCAGGATTTTCGTGCCGTCCACGCCACTACTTCTATAGAAGTTCATTGTATCTACCTACTATAAAAAATACATTTACGATACATAAAACATTTGTTTCTTTGTAATTTTGTAATATGGACACGACGAACTATTTTTTCTCATGCAAAACAGACTATTTTCTGTTTTAAAAAGGTAAAACATAAAAGGTTTCAAATAATTTTATATCCCGCACGCCAACGACTTCATATCAAGTAGGCCAGTGATGTGACGCGTAAGGAGCATTCATTAGAATCTTTATTTACTATAATATTTGTTTTCTTTTCCATCCAATAGTTTTTTGAATTCTATGAATAAAAAGAAATTCCGGTCAGTAAATAACGTATTACAATGCGTTTCAAAATTAATGTACATTACCTATCAAATCATTTCATTAAAATTAATTATTATGTACTGAGGGTTTTCGATATTGCTAGGACCATCTCTACGTAATGGCAAGATGTCGAGTGACACTAGCGCCGTCAACTTCAATAGAAGTAAACCTGTGACGTCGTAAGCGCTTAGGCGTCAAGGTCATTGTGTCATAGTTCCGGGCGACGCGTGCACGCACATTTTTCTTTCCCAGTGCAGTGCAAAATGACCGAATATGATTCGGATGAGTTGTTGCGGCTGTTACAAGGTGTGGAACCTGATTCCGACTAAAAAATTTGTGATCGACTCAGGTCTATATTTGTTCGCCGACACAGCTAAAAGTTTGCGAAACCGAGAGCCGCAACGAATAGGTATTTTATGACTACCTAATATCCATCAAACGTGCCAGTTTTTCATTTGCATTAAATGAAAAATAAGCTATTAAAGTTTAGTACATCTGTATTAAAATAGTTACTTACCATCCATTTCCAAAACTACACATATGTTGCCACTTTTAATCACTACAAACAATGTTCCTGATCGTGACCTGACGTTAATTTTAAATGTAAACTAAAACCAAAAGCAAACCAAACTCGATAGAAAGAAAGAAAAGCATAGACAACTATTCCTTACGAAATGTATCGTGCTTTGAACGCCAATGACTTGATATGAAGTAAACAGACTACGTTATGAAATGAATAGTGAAGTGGCTAATGTTACGAATTATTATTATTATCTCTAGCAACTCTATGCATGTATCTTCATCTCTGATAACGGATACCCATTTTTCTTAGTATAAATGTTCATAAAATAAAACAAATTACCATTATAACTTAACAGTTTGTATTTTTAATTGTAAATTTGAGTACCAATTTAAATTTACACATATTTTTTTTCATTATCGACATGATGTTACCGCCATCCCTACTTTCGTACTATACATTTATTATACATTTATACGTTGGCGTACGGCGACACATCGTGTTTAGTATAGCTGGGCGGCGAAAAGGTTAAAAACAATTAAGATAGGAAAAACATTCACACAAAATTAGACCTTATTTCAAACAAGTTTACGGTTAGAATCGTGACTGACAATAGTAATTTTACAGTAAAATTAAAGGAAAAGGAGGTAAATTCATATTTTAGAGGCAGCGTAAAAAATCTAGTCCCATTCGCTCAAAACAGAGAGCTTATAAATTCTACTAAAACACAATACAAAAACATCAATCACTGAATAAACAGATGTATTGAATACGAGCACTTCACGTGTGTATCGTGTACACTGTATCTTGAAAAACAAATTAAATATAATTTAAGCACTGTTCTGACTGTTGACTAGAAGTTAATTCATCAATAGACTTTCCCAGTCTTCATTATCAAATAGGAATTACCCGCCATTTTATTATAAGAGTATCACACGTCATTAAATGCAATAGGGCAGTCTCTTGCCCTTTCTCAAGTTCGCCTCAAAGGCTAGACTATTCTTAGCCAGCAGTCAGAACAACGCCTCAGTGATTGTTCAAAGGCTAACATTATAACTATGAGCACAACCTAGTATTAAGTATGTTTAAACTTACAAATGGCTCATCAATCAACGGATACTATAGTAGCTGCTTGTCCAACAGAGCTATCAATAACTTGAATAATACAATTTCGGAATCATCAAAAATGTATCCAATAAATAATTTGTTAGTAAGATTCTTCAAAGTCTCTTGTGCGGTGCGCATCGCGATTACAAAGCGACAGTGAAAGGATAATTTAGCTTGAGATCATTTAATTTCATGTAACATTACGTATCTTGCGTCATCAGGTCTTTTCTCTATACTTACACTTTACATATATTTAATGAACAATTACAAGAAGTTACAATACTCTGTACAAATAACTATATAAAACTTTACTTCAATAACGTTACCAAGGCTGAAAGTGTACCAATAATAGCACATTACGACTAGTCTCGTATAGCTTTAATTAAAACATTAGTTTGCAATATCACGATGCGCAAGAGACGTATTAACTGGCTCTAAACGTTGGAACCAATGGCGCGTCGCTAAACCCTTGGCGGCCATATTTAGCTCCGAATCACAACTACTGTCTTTATTAGAAACTTATTTAAATTAACTGACATACATAAATAGAAAGGCAAGTTTAGTTGCAGCCACATGATATTCATAATAAGTAACATTTATAAGGCCACAAATAAAGAAAACATTCCTTCAAAGTACAATGAAACAGTGACAGTTATCTCCAACATGCATAACAGCTATTTTGAAAACGTTATTCTTAACTGACTTTACATCTAATAACGGTGTCACAAATAAGTTATTTCATATAATGTCGATTTATCAATTTAAATAAAACGTTAAACGCTATACACATAAATAATAGTGACTATAGAACATAATTTTAACAAATAATTTAGGCGAATATAAGTCGACTTTAGTTGTTTCGTTACTACGCTATTGCATTGTTATAACAGTTGTTATACCGTTATTTACACTGTTGCTAAGTTATTATTTTGCAATTAGCAATGGACAATTGTGAAAATATCTAAATATAGATTAGGAATATTATTTCAAGCGCGGATTTGTGAAATTAGAATTGTGAAAGGAAGAATACATTAATGTATGTTTTTGCTTAAGAAAGATTAAAGATATGAAATAAGTATAATAGCAGCCTAAATAGACAATGTAACAATATTAATACTATAAGAACATTTTATAGTGTATTTTTCTCAGTATACCCAAAAACTCCATTTCAAATAACCAAATCCGCGCTCTATATGAATTTATCTAAAGGAGAGCAAAAATATAGAACCAAAATATTGATCTATGATAAAATAAATTTACTAAACTACGAACTAACAACTAATACCTAAATAATTAACAACTTATAAGAGTCTCACAATAAAAAAGTTAAACGATTAAACACTGCAAGTCTTACAGACACGTCAATCGATGCAACAATATTTTAAATCGATAAAAAAATCGTAATAAATAGCTTTAATATGAAAGCGCGTGTTTGCGAATACGAAGCGATCAGATCGCCTGGCCTACCAACTATATTTACACGTGAGCCGAGAAAAAAAACCGTTTTCCTTAATTACAATATACATTTGTCTATACATAGTTATGAATCTCATATCTATTGCTATCTAATATGTTTTTTTTATCGTATATCAATTACAACTCTAGAAAATGCTTAGTGGAACATCACCCACAAACTGGAACTTTCCTGTATTGTATTGAACCGAATGCCGATACAAGTTAAACTATTACTTTACATGAAACATTCCGATAGACCTATGAAGGAAGTATTAACAATATTTAAGTCTGTTTCTATATCTACTTGACACTATCGCTGGAGTAGCCAGGGTTGGAAAAATGGTCAGAAGGAAAACTAAAGCAATAAATATTTTACTGTATTCATAGGATATTCATTCTAATAGTCTTGTTCAAAACCCTGGCGACACCCCCACTTAGTACCATTACATTAAAAGGACAGAATACCACCGATATAGTAGAGTAAGAGTATCACAATTTAGTCACCGTTACTTGTGTGTTCAGTAATGTGTCGTGCTAAACCACCTCAGAGCAAGGGCTACGTTCGAGGAAAGCATACAACTGATGCATCTAACAGTTTCTACAAGAAATACAAATATTCGCAGGCTCATTTAAAGTGCATAATAAATTGCCGTGCTCAAGAAACATATATCTTATTAAAATTTATTCAAACTTGCTATTCCCAGATCCGCGAAGCAATATAAAACATCCAAAACCAGAAAGTGTAAATTTCAAAATCAGTGCAAACATTTTAAAACTTTTCTAAGCCTAACATTTGGCTGCGATCCAGGAATTTATAAATATATACTCTAAAATCATATTGGCATACACAGGAGAGCTCCAGGACAAGACATAACACACTCACACGCATTATGAACCAACAATGTGTCTAACATGGAATAATAGCACACGAACACCACTCACCACAAACTTTAACTATGAACCAGCGGCCGCTGCAGACAACCGCGAGTATTATCAAACAACCAACGTTTCAACAGTTATATACATTACATCGACTCACTGCTACACTTCATATCTATAACATTAGTGTTATTTGATCGAAACGCAACGAAACAGCGGTTATTTCGTTCAAATAACGGCTACATACAACCTTCAGTGCTGCTAAAGAAAGGAAATATATCTTCATCTATATTGTACTAATTAATTTACTCTTAATGTTTAGTCTGGCCAAGAAACTGTCGGGACGAGAGTATCGGAGTGTGAGCGTCGGAAACGTTGGAGTAGAGTAACGGAGTAGAGTGTCGCGCGCGGCGGTGCGGGGGGGGCGCCTAGTCGACGAGGTCGATGCGGTCGAGGCGGCGCGCGGGCCGCGCGTCCCCGTTGAGCGCGCGCGCCGGCCGCGCCCACGTGTTGACGCAGCCGTCGGCGCAGGCGGTGAGCAAGTACTCCGCGCGGAACAACAGCGCCGTCAGCCGCTCGTGCGCCACCTTCTTGCACACCAGCGGCTCCAGCACCGGGCACTCGTCGAACCGCGGACACGACGCCGTGCCGATCAGCTTCAGCGGATCGTACGACTCGTTCGTCGACGCGCCCGCAGACTTGCCTCGCAGCGCGACGCTATTCGACGCTGAGGACTTCTGCTCCGCCGGCTTCGACGTTAGACTAAAATTCCTGCGATGTTCCGATCGACGCTCGCCGAAAGAGAACCCGGCCAACCGCTGCGTCAGCGAGTTAACTCCGAGCGACCCCGAAGTTTCCTCTTTCGCTTTCCCGACACTAATGTTGAGGGTCGACACGTTATTTACTTTCGCCTTCGTTTGCTTAGTACCGGACGGCTCGCCCGCCGCGTTGGACCCGCTAAGCTCGGCGTGTTTGTGTCCTATCTTATTAGTTTTAGCCCCTTTCGGTGCGGGTGCTTTCATGCCAGGGACTCCATTCGGGGAGAATGTTTGACTATTGGGTGAGAGATGCGCGGAGGCTCGCGCCCTGACTGGCGGCTTCAGCACGTCCTCAGTGAGATCCCACAAGCACAACTGTGTGTCCTGAGATACACTGCCTAACCTATAACACTGCACACTTTCACTTTTCTGTCTATCATCTTCGACTCCCTCCTCGCTCTCCGGTTCGCTGAAGCTGACGACGTAGGGGTCGAAAGCGACGACAGACACCCACGACCTGTGCCCCTGACCGCGGGCCACCACTCTCCTCTCGCTGAACGACCACACGGTGACCAGATCATCCTCTCCGCCGACTACGACGTACTTGCCGTCTGGAGACCAGCAGACACATAGAAAGCCGCCAAAATATGATCTGGCTCTTCCGATGAGTTCCATTGTGTCGTAATGGAAAACTCGAAGGAAGCCATCTTGTGAGACCACTGCTAGATTGGTTCCACATGGAGAAAACGCGAATTCGTTAATACAGCTGCCCTCGGCTCCTATGAGCCACCTGTAGAGCGGGTTGCGAGTGGACTTGGTGCGGCAGGTGTGGATGGAGTAGCCGTCGCCTTGCTTGAACAGTTGGTAGTGCGGCGCCGTGGTCCCGCACGTCAGCTCCTCGTTGTACACGTACAGCTGGCCGGACGCGTGCGCCGTTATGAACAGGTTGCTCGAGCCAGGCACCCACTTTATGCATGTCACTCTCGTTTTGTCAATCAGTCTCTGGAATTGGAAACAATATTTAGTTGTGACACTGTGGATTAGTAATACCATAATTAAAAGAAATAATTCATACAAATTACGGTAGATTTAACTCTAATACACATGAAAAACCACTAGATGCTGGTCACGCAACGTAATTAAAATATGTTTGGAAAAGTTTTATGAGCATTATAGCCTAATAGCATTCACAGTTTAGGATTACGTACTAGAAAACTAGCATCGTAAAGGTAACGGGAGCATTATTTTATAAATCATACAAGATAACATTGGAGGGTGTGGCCATGAGCAAACCAAAGACAAACACCAAGGCATTTCATGACGACCTTTGATAAACTTTGTTGACTTTAATCACAGATAAGCTAATATAATGTGTATGTAGGTGGGACAAAATGGCCGTAACCTGTACAGTTTAAAATAAGAAGAAAAAACAGCTATCTTTATAGCTTGAAGATTGGTTCACAGATTAGAATAGAAATCCCTAAACTTTTTACAACAAACCACGCCTACTCTGTCGAAATTGCTACAGTTCTAATCACCTCACATTAAAACTTAAGCAACTACAAAATAATACACTTTATTTCGTGCCCATTCGGTGCATTTTCGCAGTTCTGTAAAAGATTAGGCAATTCAAATTACATACTTAGGGCCTATTGTTTAAAATATTTCTCACGATCCCTAAAATCTAACACAAAGCTTATGTTATATAAGAGTTACTTAATTCGAACGAATGTCAGTAAAATTTTGATAACAATCACTGGGCCAAGTTGAAAACCTAAACGGAACAATAAACAGAATATAAAACTGCCTACCTCATGTTCACACTGACTTCGCAGAATCTGGTTAAGACTCAGTGTAGATACAAAGTCATGGGGAAAGCCAAGACAAAAAAACTTAGACACATATTTGATGAAGTGGCTAGGTAACCGAATAGCCAAAACTTATCGCGGATTCAATTCTCACAAGGAACGACAACTTATGTGTGATGTACAAATTGTTATAGTGGGTCTGGGTGCATTGTTTAGATACTTTAAGTAAGTAAATTCTTCATTATCAATCTGTTTGCAAGCTCATTCTTGACATGAAACAGGAGAAAAACTTAGTGGGGTCACGATTAAAAAACACTAAATATGAAATTTCAGTTTCATCATCGTACATTAATATTTGTGCCCATTTATCGACGCGTGTAGTGTATGGTGTATCTACCAATGATTGGGGCCCGTGCCAAAGTTATAAGCTCATTTGGGGCACGTTAGATACGCAGGTTTGCGATCCCCACAAGTCGTGTTCCCATGTCTCGTGGGTGCCCATGATGGTTTAATGCATTTACATAATTTAGTTATCCCGTATCCGTTAGTTTTTATCATTAAAGTTTACTTTGATTTATTTATATCCAAGAGAATATACAAAGGAAAAATTTATTACAGTATTTAAGTAGTGGAAGGTACTGCGGTTTTTACGGAAATAAGTCCTATCATTAATTGTATTTATCCCATTTACTTACAAAACATATTAACAAGACAGATAGCACGACTAAAAATAGTACATCACAGAATTAGGTCAATTACAAATTAGGTACATAATTTCCATTTAACATACAAACGTTATCAACACTCCCTATTTACTTGCTACATTATATAACAGACTATGTAATACAATACGTAGGATGCAGTCATGATAACTGGTTAGTGATAATACAGTACCTAGTACCTACCCAAGTTTATACTTCATATTATCAATACCTATGCATGAAGGACATTTGCCTAAATATGCGGAGAAATTAATGTTTTTAATCTACTGTTATTTTAAATATAAACGAGCTAAAGCAGCTTCGCTCTCAGTACTTTAAATGTCCATGATTTTGTACTAAAACTTTCCTATAATTAGGCTATCATGTGGTCAAAATCGCATAATAATTTGTTCAGCAGTTTTTGTGTTTATTGCCAACAGACATATGAAACATCTTAATTCGGCGACTCAATGTAATCTTCGTGCTCATTTTACCTGAGACATGTGTATTATTAAATCGTCGAAAAATGTTACGAATTTACAACTTTACAAGTTTTATAGGGATTCAAAATAGTTACAAGTGGTTAACAGTCAAATGCGGAAAACGCCATTTAAATTGTTGATCATGATAAAGCCTTTTTAATTAAGATCATAAATATTTTGAGATAACACCTAAAATAAAATAACACTCTGATAAACAGATGTAGCCTTAAAAATATTAATGAATCCAAAAATACCACCTGCATATTTGTAGACTTCAGTCTTCATTAAACATATACTAGACACAACCTTGAGATATATCTTCATATTTTATTTAGATTCACTATTATAATAATTATGTAAACACCTGGTCCAATGCTGACAAAATTGTAATAATCTTTGACACTTCAAGGCCTTGTAAGAAAAATACATTACACACATATTTGTAAGAATTGTAAGGACTTCGTCATCATACAAAATCTTCATAACAAAAGTTAGAATAACAACACAATAGGAGGACAGAATTGAAAAGGTTTGTTTACTTCACCTCTGAAGTCATGTAAGTACTAGAAACCTTATGTAAATAAACCATGTTAATGTAAGGAACTAAAATTGTAGGTTGGCAGGCTTAAGTATTTCCTAAATACGGTAACTAATTAGTTCAACCAATTTATGTTTCATAGATTGGTGTAGATTTATGTGTCTTTCAGTATAAAAAAGATATTAAAACTTGTACTCACCTCTTCATTGTACAATTTACTTAATTCTTTCTTAATAGGGTCTATGAGTTGTATTTGGCCGGTAGAAAATCCTATAACTAAGGACACACTGTCCGGTGTCATCGTGACGGTGTTAAAGTCGTGGCAAGTTGGGTTTGTTCCTTTGTACATCTTCTTGTCAACTGGCTTTGTGAGATCTGCCGCCTGCCGAGGAAGTGTGTAATATAGTGACATGCCCTGCCGGACGTACAATTGTGTGAGTTTTGTGTCCCATTGGATAACTCTAACTACTGTAATGTGTACTTATTGATAGCTTAGTTGAATGGTGTTAGTATGGTCTGTGTAACAGCTGTTTTCTCATGCAAAGCATGTTGGATGAAACAAAGCTAGCAATAGGTGCTGACTACTGGAAGTATGCTACATTAAAATTATATTGCAGCAGTAAAAGAAAGAAGTAAACCACATCATACTAAAGTAATTGTTTTAAGAACACTAAACAAATACAATCATGTCTTTTGACAGCTAGAACAGTGTAAAGATAATACATATTATATTTTTTGTTATGTAGATTTCATATAAAATAATAATTTGATTACTTTATTGCATGCATATGCAAAATGTAGGTAAATGATTCATATTTTGGGTTGTAATTGCATCAATAGGTATTTATTTTTTTCATGATGAAAACGAAGCTTATACACAGAACAATTTTTTATAGTCTAAATTATAAGCACACCTACATTATAACTATAACCAATTAAGGTTATTAAAATCTAGATAGAGAGCAAAGATACTATTTATAGATATGGTTTGTTTGCTGTTGATATGGATTTTTTGCAAGATAGGGAATAGAAAATGTTGATAAAATTTATTTTCAAATAAATTGGGTTGAAGTTAACAATCTAGAAAAATATAGAGATAAGTTATGAGCACTCAAACTTCTACAAAGATCTACAATAATTTTGATGGTAGGATTCTTATTGGTTTTCTTTTATTAGTGTGTCTTTTACAAATGACATGTAAATGAGATGTGGTATATACTTCTAACTAAAGGAATATAATTTAATATAGCTATACATGTAAGCAAAACACAAGATACTCTACCTTTTTGACGCCTCTATAGACATAAACATAAAGTTCTTTGCCATGGTTGAAGCATATCCTATCGTCGGATCCCTGTCCATCAGAGCCAGGCGCTCCGCCTCCAGGACCCGGCGGAAGGCTGACCAGAGACACGCGCACATGGGAAGACCCGGAGCCACTCGTATAACCAACACGATTAGGCCTGGAATACTCCGATAGGGTCATCAAGCGATAAGTGCCTTCTCGTGTCACGAACTGGGTCTTCACGTCGTCCTTCCCTCCAGAGTCTGATTGCACAGCCATGTTAACATATTATCCTGTTATTATTCATGGAGTCGGCTGCTAGAGAAGCCCCGATTAGACGTGACACCTCACTCCAAGTATAGACGCGTATTAAAGCGTTCGTACACAATGGCCATTGTAGAACAATACACCGTTGTAAACTCAGTTTATTCGCCTATTGGTTAGCAGCGATATTGTAAACGTTTTTGATTACAAAACGTCGAATTAGATAAATTTGTGTATGCAACTAAAAAGTCAGGTGTCAGACAACATGACGGCTTGTTGTTTATGGTACTGTGTTTATTTTTTAATTATGACTAGTTGTAGTGCACAGGAAATTATCATTCTGCCTAAAATCATAGACTAACGCTCGTGGCTAGTCTGCGCTTCTCGACTAATCGGTTCACGTTTATCCTAAAATCTACATTAATTGCAATTGTTTACAATCAATAATATGAATTACATGAGCTTTACAGCTATTTCAAGATTACACATAAGTTTCCTTAGCAAAAAACTTATCTAGGACTACCAAATAAAATAGCTTATGCCATTCATCATTGTAATATGTTTTTAAATTAATTTATCAAAGTAAAACGCAAAAGTGACATAAAATAATCGCACTTGATCGCAACAAATATCTTTGTCACTTTTTGATCATGATTAAAGCGATAAATTAACTTGTCATGTGTCCAAACATCAATTTACCCATTACCCAAGCTGTAATTCAAAGTCCAAGGTTATAAACTAGTTAATGATCAGATTTGAAACTACAATGTTTGAAGAAAATCATGATGATCTCTATGTCTTGGAGGTTTGGCAGACCCTTCAGATTAATTAACATCCATGAGTATGCTTATAACAAACATTATACGAGCCTGTTCCACAAAACGATTGTTATATGAAGTAAAGTTAGCAAATCAAACTGTCAAGAAAATCAAGCCGCCAATGCATAAGGTACATAAAACTGTATCAGTATTCAAAGTTATTAAAATTCAAAATAAACAAAACAAAAATAAAAGACATATTCTTTTTTATTTTATTTCTTTCACTTAAGTAAAAATTAATAATTTAATTCATACTTTAAAAAATTCAACCACTTTGATTAACATCTTCTGCAACTTTTGTGGTTTCATTACCAACTTCTTTTTTACTATCTCCAGAAACATTCTCAGTTGCATCCTTCATTTCAATGTTATCTACTGATTTTATATCTGTGATGTCACTAGACTGTTCTTGCTTTTTACTCTCAGCAGATTCCTTAGAACCATTCTTCTTTTCCTCGCCATCTTTGCCTTCCAAAAATTCATCCCACTTATTTATCCTCTTGCTTATCTCAGAATCAGTTTCAGCAATCCTGTACTTGGTCCTGCCGTCCCATATTTCAGCTGTAATCTGACGTTTGCCAAACCACCTTCCATTGATGAGTTCAACAACTGCATCAGCCATTTCTGGCTCTTTCATAGTAATCTGAGCTACACCCTCAGGATGTCTGTCATAAATAACGACTTTTCTAACTTCTCCACACTTTCCACATTCATCTCTCATGTCTTGCTGATAATCTAAGATTAGTTGGACCTCTTGATCAAAATCAGTTGGATGGAATAGATTTTTGACAATAACAACCCTTTCATGTTTCGATCTTTCTCCAATAAACTTTTCTGGTCTCCAATCAAACAATTTCTGCTGCATTTTCTTAAGTTTCTCAAGTTCTTTTTTCTTTTTCTTCTTTGGTTTTAATGCTGGATTGTATTCTCCTTTCATTTGGAATGATGCTCTTTCCACTTTAATTTTGTTCCCTTTGAAATCACTGCCATCAAGTAACTTTAATGCCAAATCTACAGATTCTATTTTAATGTAAGTACACAGCGCGTCACCTTTGAAACAATCTTGTTCTTTATCTTTGTACAATTTTACTTTCATCTTTTGGTTGCTAGGGTCTCGTTCTACTAAGCCACATTTTTGCATAAAATTGACAAATTCTTCTTCAGTTAAGTCTAGAGGTAGATTTGACACATACACCTTGGTGTTAGTTTCTTCTGATGGCTGGAACCACTGTGGTTCAGCTTTCCGTTTTACTCCTGCTGCTGTTGTGAGATCAGCTTTCTTTTGTTCTTTCTTTTTTTCTTCTACTTTACTCTTGTCTTTCTCTTCAGCTTTATTATCAACAAATCCATATGACATTTGATATAAAGCTAAGAAGTCATCATCAACTTTTGGAATCCAAGCTTTCTTGTCAACATCCCAGAAAAATTTGGATCCATCAGCTTCTGTATAAATATGAGTATCATTTTCATAACTATACTCTCTTCCTTGTACTTCTTGTCCTGGTTTCAATGTCCAAGAATTGGATTCAGTGCTCCAAATGTATTTCTGATGGTTTGAAGGGTCGGTGTAGATAGCTTCTTCACCTTCATATGTAATGTATGGTGCATAATCACCCCAGGTTGATTCAGCTTTATTAGTATCCTCAGTTTTACTACTTTTGTCAAATTTATCCTGATCATTCACAGTTTGAGGATTTGTATCTTTCTTATCAGATACAGGTGGTGAACTAACCTCAGACTTAGAATTCTCTTTACCTTCGGGTGCTACTTTCTTATCATCTTTATTTGAGTCCGTGTTCTCACTCTCAGACTTAACGACTTCTTCAATTTGCTGTTTAGCTTGTGATTTCTCTTCTACTAATTTTTGCACAGTTTCGTCTGATAGTTTTATCACAAAACCCGTTTTTAGGCCCTTTTCTTGTCGAGCCATTCCTATGTTTGTATTCTCCTTTTTGCATATAATATGCACAATCACGATTTACATTTGTTAAAAGTAAGTAGATTAGTTGTTTGTACTATGATTTCCTTTATTATTCAACAATAAAATATGCTTTTATTTACTTTTCCACGGTCAAGTACATGGACACAATAGAAATGTCACTCCAAGTTGACTTTTTTGACAATGACAAATCTGAAATAGTGAAGTGGGTTATCATCATCACAAACATACTAACTATTCGATACAGCGAAATAGTTGTTTTTAAAACATTATATATATTATTAATATTATTAATTATTGGAGACTAATGAAGGATTAATATCATTGGAATTATAGAAAATCACAAAAGCTAATTCGGATATATATCTTAAACTGTGATTTGAAATAGTAACTACTCCAGTCAACACTTGACAGTGACAGTTTTTGACATAAGTCGTAAATCGTAATCATAATTCTGTCAGTTCGAAAGTGACTTCGATAACCAACAGTTTCTACTTGGACTGTAGATTATTTAACAATTACAAATAATTCTAATTCGTGAGTGTATAAGAATTCTATAACAGTAACTTTTAAGTTAAATTATTGCTGTTATCCCGGTAGGATAAACCTCTGAAGATGGAAGATCTAACTAAAGTCTACTTGACTCCTTTACCGGATTCTCCTTACGTGAAGCCTTTCCGCTTTAACTACGTGCAAGGAGGCAAGGATAAGAACTGGGATATGCTGGCGGTGCACGACAGCGTCGCTATCATAGTTTTCAACACCACCAAAAACGTTTTGGTATTCGTCAAGCAATTCCGACCCGGTAAGTAAACCCATTATCAAAGAAAGCTAAGACTAAACACTTAAGATGCGTATCTTTTAATTAAATTAATGTAACAAGTAACAAATGTTTGAATGAGATTGTTATCTTATATAATTTATCTGATAGTGAAGCTTCTTGTGCATTACGATAATTTGTATTGTAATGTTACAATATAATGGCAAATAATAATAAATTGTGCCCGATCCTTGGCTTGAAGTCACATTATATGTATGTTATGTATGTATGTATGGGATATTATAACAAATGGAACTGGAAAAGGAGGACTCCCAATTTGTCAGACTTGGTTTATAATATAGACATTCAGTATATCAATCCCTTTAAAAATGTTCGATAGCCCATGGTTGCTTAGAGTTTGGGTATTTTTTTATAGACAAATCAGACTATAATCCTAGTACAGATCTAATTTACCAGCAATATATTTTTTCACTAAGATTGGAAATAAGTTCCATGTTATTCGATATTGCAAGTGTGGCAAGTGTACATAAGCTACGGTAACTGCTTACCATCAGTTGGGTCTTGCTTTTTTTGCCACCGTTGTGGTAGGTGTAAAAATAAATATTTTTTAAAATAGAAATCCTTGTTAAGTGAATATTTCCACTACTAAACAATTGTAGACTCCATAGTGTTACAATTATTTTGAAACGGCTTTTTTTTATTTTACTATTATCGGCCCTGAGGATGAAACCCCTTTAGAAGCCCCTCACTGAACTAACTAAACACTTCATTGAATATCCCAGAATATCCATAACTATGAAAATCTTTTTCAATAACCTCATAACCTCTTTAGAATCTTTAGATAGATAATCCTCTTTGGTTATCAAATAAAACAAATTGACTTTGTCAGTTTGATTTTTGAAAATTCTGCAAAATTTTGAAGAAATTTTTTACATTTGATTTTATTTTACAAAATTTTTATTGATTGAAGAACATATATTATTTTGCAAAATGGAGAATATGCAAATAACTGATGTGTTTATGACGGTTTTACCGGATAATGCTACAGTCCGACCGTTGCGTTTCTTCTACTCCTTGGATACTAAAATGATGTCTCGGGATATGATAGAAGTAACGGACTCAGTCTTCGTAATGGTATTTAATGTCACAAGGAAAGTGGTGGTGATGGCTAAACATTTTAGGCCGGGTAAGTGAGCTGCAAAATTGAGTGATTGAGTGAAAAATAGTGTTATTAGAGAAAGGTGTGGATTGATAGATGATGTAGTGACAAGGATTGAAAAGGGAATGTTATGCTGGTTTGGACACGTAGAAAAGATGGATGAAAGTAGAGTAACGAAAGAAGTATAAAGAGCGGATATGATTGGGGCCAGATGGACATATACTGAGCAGATTAGCGATATATTAAAAAAGGGCCAAATTAAAAGTAGGAAAAAACTTGAAACAGAAGCCCAAACGAACAACGATCTATCTTATTTGTTCAGAGTTGTTTGGGATGTGGGGTTTCTTAGTCAAATCTGTCAAGAATTATGCATACTACCACCTCTTAAAGGATTTAGGTCGACTTAACCTGTAACCCTGTGTTAATAATGTAGAAATTTAGTTAGGTGGAAAGCAAGACATTTACCTTATCATTCCTCTTACCATGAAAGCATCAATTTTATTAGCATATACATAATATAGTTATCGTGATTTATGGATACTCAATTCTTTACCTCTTCCACAGCTGTGTACTTCAACTGCATACCACCAGGAGAACGGGAAGCTGGGGAAATTGACACAAGCAAGTACCCAGCCTCATTGGGCATCACTTTAGAGATGTGCGCAGGCATCGTAGACAAGAACAAGTCTTTGCAGGAGATAGCCAAGGAGGAAGTTTTAGAAGAGTGCGGCTATGACGTACCGCTCAAAGAACTGCTACAAATTGCGTCATACAGGTTGGTTGGATTTGTTTTGCTTGTATGTATGGTAACTATTACCGCAAACTTTTCATAGACCTCATTCTTTGTTATTTGGTCATTCGCAAATCGGAAGTCGGTAATCCGAAGACCTTTTTTTATGAACTCTATTAATCTAACTCCCGTTCACAAGTTTACGTACATTGACATATTTTGTAGAGAGTATATATTATACTTAGATATTACATTAGAATAAATAAATTACATGCAAATGTAATGAGTTTGTTTGCAACACAGGGCCGGTGTCGGCGTTCAGGGCTCGCTACAAACATTATTCTACTGTGAGGTCACCGACGACATGCAAATAGGAAAAGGTAAGTTGTAAATCTATATTTAATTAATATATAAAAGAAAGTCGTGTTAGTTACACCACTTATAACTCAAGAACGGCAGAATAGATTTGGCTGAAAATTGGTGGGGAGGTAGCTTAGAGCCAGGAGACGGACATAAGATACTTTTTAACCAAATATTTTTTTTTACTTTTTACCGAAAATCATGACCGGGACGGGAAAAAATGGGATTACGCGTACGAAGTCGCGGGCAGAAGCTAGTATCATATACAAATATACGAATGTTGACAACGACCGTGTACCATGCTTCGGAGAACACATTAAGCCATCGGTTCTGGTTGCCATAAAAACAACTGTGATATTCAATTAGTCAATAGCCTCTAAACCTCCACAACCGGTCAAGTACGATAAAACAGATTGAATAGGGATCGAGAGGTGAATAGAGGCAGAAGACGGGTGACTAGGTACGTATAAGAAATTCATTCAGTCAAATCTCTTTAGGAAAAGGCTTCGACAAAAATTTATCTCGAGAGTTGCGACAGCATCGACAGTTCAAATTGAATATCGATTTTAATACGGATTTTACAACTAATCAGATTCAATATTTTTATCGAAACGTAAAAACGACATTTTTCTATGAATTTTGAACAAAAACTACCTTATGACGTCATCATATTTTCGAGTCAAATAACACACTTATTTTTGAAAAAATTGCTAGAATAAATCGAAAATTAAGTGTATCGTCAAATATAGGAATGAAATTATGATTTTTTTTGTATATTTAATTGGATTGAAAAATCTAAATAATTTGTTTTTAACCCAGGAAAATACCCAATTCTTAAACCGTTTTGTTTTTAATTGTCAAGCGATAAAGTGTGCTAAGTTGTGATAATTAATTACTTTAATATTAATGTTTAATCATTCTACATTTATTACTTAATTGAATTGCCATGATAAGTTCAATTAATATAATTATTGTGAGTGTTAGGTGCAGCGCAGACGGCACACTTTGAAGCTCATTTTTACATATATTAAAAATGAGTCGAAATGAATTCGTGTCAAGGCGGTGGCAGCCAATGAATACTACGGGATTTTCCACGAATTACCTACATTTGTCAGATACGCGGAATTGGGTAGTTTCCAGGGTATCAAAATTAAAAATCTAAATAGTCCGTCATTTAGATAATGAAAAAATATTAGACACGTATTTTTTTATTTTCTCGTATTAAGTTGCAAATACATACATAATAGATAAAATGGCGATAAGTTTAGGAGTCGGAGGTCGTTACGTCATAACGTGCTACAAAAAGTGACACGCTGTGACGTAAGACGTGATATTTCAAATTAACATATCGTCGAAAGTATTTAATTTTGTTAGAAAAGAAAAAATACGTATCTAAAGTTTTAAATTAATCTACCAGACGGACATTAAAATAAAATTTGCACTATCCCCGACGATGTGAACCTATTTATATCATAAACTATAATATTGGACATTTGCCGAACGTACCTATTTTGTCCTTGAAGGACTATACTAAAGTTGAAGATAAACTCTTTGGTAGGTACACTACTTATTTATGTACCTGTATATGGTTACTATTCGTACCTATTATAGTAATACTTGTATCAAACCATCTTGTCTATCGGTTAATGGATCTCGCCTTGCGACATACAAATATCAAATATATTAATTGATCAATACACTGTACTCAGAGTCATTTAATTGTTATTTAACCCATTCCTAAGCAACAGGGATGATGTATGAAAATTAAAAATTTAATGAGTCCGTCAATTAGATAATAAAAAAACATCAGAGACGTATTTCAAATAAATAATAATATATCGTCGAAAGTATTTGTTTCTTAAAGAAAATAAAAAATACGTGTCTAATATTTGAAAATAATCTACCAGACGGACATAAAAATAAAAAATAGTTATCTACCCTATTGTTTTCGGAACAAAATCGTTATTAAGGAATAGTTTAATAAGTCATAATTGAATTTCTCTAAGTACGAACGTAGTAGTAAAACAGTATAATTCTGTTCAATGAGAATTGGTAATTTGCCAACTACCTTGTTACTACCTAGCAACTAATAAACGTATTGAAATGCACCATAGGTTCGTACTGCCGTAAATTCCGAGCCTTAATTCTACTGCTAAGTTCGGAATCTGTATGTTTCTAAAACATCTAACCGAAATTAGGTTATTAATTTCAGTTACATTAGTTGTACTATAATCGTTCCATATCCACAGATGTTGGATTAAGAGACATTATTTATTATTCGGGTGTAAGAGACGAGGTACAGCATACTTTAGACTGCCTAGATTTTCTGTGACCTATGTAATTTCTATAAGACCAGGACTATGAAAAATATTCTCTTTGTGGATTTATTATTTAACGGCTCATCACTAGATAGGTTTTATTAAAATGTGGCTTTCAATAATTCAGTATAATTTGAAGGTTACCATAACCATACTTAAATTCTGTTTGTTTGCCAGCCCGCTATCTTTCTCAGAAAGTACAAACACGCGATATCGATCACCTTATTTCACGGCCATTCTATATCGATTAACCACACTTATATACACATGCGCGAAATAATGTAGGTACTTCCCAATAATGAAATGAAGCACAATGAAAGAAAGATTTGTGAATGATAATATTTGTACATCACGATTAAAGGGATTAATGATAGTGCTGAAAAAGGCTCTGGGGGATTACTCTTGAATCCAATTCCGATCTATCGACATTGGTATTGTAAAATTTCGTACTCTTGAGTTGCAAAACTAGCGCCTATTGCATCCGTATTGCATGGATATTGAATGAACTAAATGGATTTTATTGAATTTGGTGTTATATTTCGTACTCTGAATGCTATTTATCAGCTACGATAGGGGTTGTATAGTTTAGACATTGAATAATTATATTGAGATTTTATTGCATTGACATTGAGATTGGTTTCAAGAGTAAGTAAGGTATTATGTTGTCCTTTATTCCATTCAAAAAATTAGTTGCATCGTCATAATTACGGTTGAGTTCGTTCCCGCCCACTGCCAGACAAAGGCGTCTTTGATAATACACCACAAGTTCATATTAAGCTCTTCGTAGTTATACAACCCCTAGTCACACAACAGTGGTGGCAATATCCACCTCATCCACCTAGGTGCAGAACCGGGCCGGGTCGAACAGGCCCATGTTCTAATTAATATAGAATGAATTAAATTTAATTGGAATTCGCAGATTAAAATTACGAGTACCACAGGACCTGCTCTAAACAATAAATTATGAGACCACTTACAGAGACCACCAAAGTAATGCTGAATGTCAGAAAGACAGATAGCATTAGGAGCCCGGTTTAAAAAAATTCTATATTAATTAATTTCTAATTATTCTTATTAATTTCTCAGGTGGTGGCGTCGAAGATGAAATCATAGAGGTAGTAGAAAAAACAATACCAGAAGTAGAAAAATGGATATCCGGTCCGGGACCTCTGAACACTCCTCCATCTTGCCTATTCGCATTGATGTGGTTTCTACGACACAAAGCTGACAAATACAGAAAGTAGGTCATATGCTTGAACCAGTGTTAGCTACTAAAGATACGGTCTAATATTTTTAAGGTATTCTGGTATTGGCGTTTGTAAGGTTCAATTTTGCCCTTAAAATACATAATTAATGAAGGTTATACACTTAGGAAGACCGAAATGTATGCAAGCCATTTCTAACCTAACTAACGCCAATATTACAGCAGTTTATTTATAAGCAGTTTCGAAAATCATGTTATAATTTGGGGGCTCGGTGATTTTGCTAGCTAGCTTTTTGATTTTATAAATAGATGATATTTATATTTATTTTTGTAACAAATAATAATTATTAATTGATTAACATTTGTTTTTTGTCAAGTAAGGTCATTTGAGAGATACTGCGGTGAATGCAAAGTGGTTCAAGACGATGGATTTTTTGCCACATGTATGTGATTTTGTTTTGTATTAGTTTACATGTACTTTTAATGTATTTCATGGTTTTATGCCGGTTATTATAAGATATTTTAAGCCTTGAAATCAAACTAACTTAACATTTTGATAAGAATTACCATTTCCAATTGACCTACAATTATGGATTCATGTTCACAACCCATGAGTTACTTTGAGCACATTTTAGGGTGATGTATAAACATGAACATTATAATTTCACAATATTTTTCATAACCTTGACACTGGTACTTGTAGGTCACGTCTTATTGTGATGCAAATTGTAAAACGTAATATTTTATGATTACCGGATACACACTTCGTGAATAGTTAAATTAGTTGAATAGATTATTTTCAAGTTTATTATGCGAGATATTATGTATGTCGTTTAGTCTGTTGGTAATGGAAATGTGGACACGTATTTTTACTTAGTTAAAGTCAGTTGTTTCTACCTACTTCTAGGTCACTTAGATGTCATATATTGTCAGTATATTCAATACCGAGTTATTATTTTGTGGGCAAATTAACTTTCAAAAGGCGTTACAAAATATAATTAAGGATGTAGGAATGATTTGGAAAAAGACATATACGGTCGAATTGAGAACCTCCTCCTTTTTTAAGTCGGTTAAAAATGTTGTTTTTTCTTAATGCTACGTAACGGCTAAGCGTTCTGATGATTTAAGAAAAGCAAGAAAGATACCTGTCTATTATTTTTTATCAACCCTAGAATTAGTGAAATTGTTTTAATCTCTGCATATAATGTCTAGAAATACACATTTTTATTTATACAATTTGAACATGTATAATTGATTGTTCAGTTCCGTATTTCATGTATCTAGATAATTCCGCCGTACGTTAGTTGCTTGTGTCGCAAGGGTTATCTTGTAATTGTATCATTATGTAATTATGTTCGCGTAGTAAATTGACATCTTTATATACTTATGCAGTAGTAGGTACCAAGATATTATATGTAAACAGTACTTTGAGTTGTATAAATATGTAGTTTTGAGAGTAAATTTGTTTTGTAATCATTCATACAAATTGTATCTATTGTTTTTGGTGTTTTGTAATTCCGAATTATTTTGGTTTTGACTATAATCTAATAGTATGCCAGTAACTAAATAGTTTTTAATTTGTTTGGAGTAAAGTATACTGCAGAGTAAAAAAATCGAACTTGCGATACGGAATGTTTGGTTTAAGACAAAATGTTCTTCAACTAAGTTTTCTATGTATTATCCATAACGTATATAGCTCAAACTATAATTCCATGGTGCTCAATAAAAACACTTTAAATAGGCTATGATCGTGTTGCGACAAAATAGATGAACTCGTGGCAACTTAATTATTTATATTATAACTTTCGTGGGACATACTTATTGGACGTATTTATTGTTATGTTTTTGGCTTTCTCACGTAACTATTTGACAAAAAACTCGACTAGTTTCAAGCCACGCTAAAGGCTCATATTCACGAGCAGCAGTTTAATGCGAATAATGCAAGCTTTGTTTCTTTTTTAAAATTATAAATTCGCTTAAAAAGCACTTTAGTCTAAATCGAGATAAATTAACTATTTGACACATAATATTTTGACCATACACCTGAAATTGAAATGAATTAAACAGGGATGGAATGGAAATAAATAATATGTTAGCTTTTTTGCTTACTAGATTAATGTATGGGAAGTGGGAGTTACTATAAGTATAAGCAGTTAATTAAGTAAGATATACACATACAAATGAAATAAAAAGATTATATATAATATTTAATATTACTTGTTTGTCGGTATGTTAGATTTTGGTCCTTTCAATTTAGTGGGGGCTAACGTTATTGTGCTCACTAGATGTCGCTCATATTGTATGTATGAGGTCCTATTTTGTCTTATCACTTTAGCTGATAAATACTGGCTAATGGTTCGATATTAGGAGACAAGATCTTAAGCTGCATTAGTGACATCTGTGAGCAAACTAACGATAGCTCTTATGAAATTACTTTTACATCAAATTGCAGCTTCAGACTGAAGCCTTCAAAAACAGCGTGTTCAGAAGCAATACCAGTGGACGTCGATGTGCTTGCGAAAACCTATTTATAAACCATTACCATGATTTTAAAACAACAATATTTCTCGATACTCGATAGCGCCGACGTCAAATTTTTTGTACGGCTAATTTTAGTTCCGTGAGTGACCACTAGAGGCGCTGTAAAATTATTCCCATTCAAAAAATACGTCGTCGCTATCGAATATCGATTAATTAGTATTGTTTAAAAGTCATTGTAGAGGTACTGTTCGGATTTGTTACGTACATATTCATAATGATTTTATTGGTACATAATAACTGTGATTGTAATGCCTTTCTGTGATTAAAAACTTGAAATGGATTGATGGTTTTATAATTTCTATCGTTTTCCTACTTTGTTAATTTTCTTTTATTACCTACTTTGATTAGGCTGCCTCGTTGGCCGAGTGGTCGTAAGTACGACTGCCGGGCAAGGAGTCTCGGGTTCGATTCCCAGGTCGGGCAAAGTATTACTGGGTTTTTAAATATTCTCAGTAGTAGCTCACATAACATAAATTTATATATATAATAAATAGTGAAGAGGGTGTTACATTTTACAGTGGTATAATGTGTACCTCAGCCTACCTCTTCGGGGATAAAAGGCGTGATGTTATGTTATGTTATGATTAGACTGGCGCTTTGGTAGAATAGTCTGCCGAGGAAAAGAGGAAAAGGTATCGGGTTCCGTATACTTTTTTAAAATGACCGTATTGTATTAGCGATGAATTTCATTACGCTGCAAAACGATGTCATGGCAGCATAGATTACTATAATTATTAAGATGAACAAGCGGTCACATCAGGTCAGTTTCACACTTAAGAAACTAATTAGTATCGTGCGCGTACGCACGCAAGTTAAATTTCCAATCTTTAAGTTTATACTTACATACGGAATCCACCTTTTATATTAGAAATATGTGTTTGTGTACATCACTTGCAATACTCTATAGTCTACAATTGTGTAGTAGTGGAAATATTATGTGCGTTACCCAGGCCAGATGTTGTTGATAATGGTCATTTGAGTCTTATAGATAATTAGTTATGCGGCTTCTGTAATTGTTGCGCACATTTTTTAATTTGTTGCGCTTATAGTTTTTAATTATTTCACAAAAACATTTCCTGCTGGGGTAACGTTACCCCAGCTAGATCTTTTTCTTTCTAATGGGAACATTTAAATAATTACTAGCCATAAAATTAGTTGTCTAGATGAAGTAAATGTTGCGCCTTGTTTTGTATTTGTTCTTTCATCAGTTGCGAAGTTATTCGAGATTTTGCTGGGGTAACGTTTTTGGTTTCGCTAGATCTTTGAAATGGTTAAACGGATTCTTATTATATTTTGTACATGGCTTCTTAGGAATTAGTTTAAATTCGTTGTGCAATAAAAATCCAAAATACACTTGTGGACACATCTATTGGCCCACCTTGTATTTAGTTTCGTTTGGTCCTAACTAAAATTTTATATTAGGTCGAGCAAAAAGTTTTTATGCAGTTTTGAAAATGGCACATTCACAATTTCATAGTCTGTTTTTGAATTTCGAATATAGAATTTAAAGAAAAAAAAGACAATTTGGAGCCTGTTTGTTGATATCAAACAATCGAATACTAAGGAAACTTGGTAGGGGGTAGACGAAGGGGTAGACAGAGGTGCACATTATGCCACTGTACAATGTATCACCCACTTTTCACTATTTATGTTACGAGTTCCATGTAATAGGGGGTGAGCCTATAGCCATATACCGGGCACAGTTCCAAACTCCGTGCTACTACTGAGAATAGTTTGGTTTACTTGGATTTAATTCTTGAAAAAATGGTTATTATACTTATTCTTAACATTAAGGTGAGGTTCTATCAATAATCTATGGATACTTCACCTAGAGTCGCCGCCCAAGCTGTGGCACTTATTCAGGCCGGACACAGCCAAAGAAACGTGAGTGCTCAACTTAATTTAAGTCGATCTGCGGTCCGAAATGTTTATCGGAGGTACCTAGAAACTGGCGGCTTTGTTCATCGCCAAGGAAGGCCACGATGTCGGGTCACAACTGAAAGGCAGGATCGATTCATCGTGACAACCAGCTTGAGAAATCGTCACCTTACCTCCATTGAGATACAAAACCAACTTCGCGACTTCCACGGAGTATCTGTGAGCGCTCAAACTGTTCGGAGAAGGTTAAAAGAACGCGATATGGTACCACACAAGCCAGCTAATGGCCCAAACTAACGCAAACCCACCGAACAGCGCGCCTTCATTTCGCACGCAGTCATTTAAATTGGACACAGCAAGATTGGAGCCGTGTACTCTTTTCTGATGAGTCTAAAATTGTGATACATGGCAATGATGGAAGGAACAAGGTCTACCGACGTAAGGGAGAGCGTTTCGCGCAATGCTGCTTTGAAGAGAAGGTTGCTTATGGCGGTGGCTCATACACTTTCTGGTGCGGTATATCCGCGTGCGGCAAAACTCAACTTGAGGTTGTTACAGGACCACGGCTGCCAACATTAAATGCTGAAAGGTACATTCGTGAGTGCTTAGAACCTCACGTAATACCATACGCGGACTATGTGGGCCCAAATTTCCTTTTTATGCATGATAATGCAAGAGCCCATGTGGCCAGCATCGTCAGGGAATATCTTTGAGATGTAAACATCACAGTTATGGACTGGCCAGCCAGAAACCCAGACATGAACCCCATTGAGCACATGTGGGACGAGCTAAAAAGACGTGTTAGGGCTCATCAGCCAGTTGCCCAGACGATGCAGGAGTTAAAAACCTGCCATAGAAGAGGAATGGGAGATGATCCTTTAAAATTTCATAGAGCGGTTGATAAACTCTGTGCCTAATCGTATGAGAGCTGTGGTAGATGCCTAAGGAGGCAACACGTGTTATTAAATTAAACCTTTATTTGATAAAACACGTTCAAAAATCAATTGCCTTTAACAAGGTGCATATCCGATTTGTTAGGCGTAGCTTCATGTCGTATGGTATTCTGAATTCAAATTTAAAACAATACGATCGAAAGAGATGGTAAAATGTATCAGGTTTAGTACTGCATCAAGTTTTTGTTCAATCTAGCAATCATATTTCAGTAGGGGCCATCGAAACCTAAACTCTAAGGTGGGCCAATAGATGTCTCCAGAAGTGTAATACATAGCTTAAAGGTTATATCATTAAATAGAAAAACACTTCAATTGGTCCCAGCACTCTCAATAAGAGCTCTAAAGACTAACGTTATTTTAAAGCTTGTAACTGCCTTCAAATGTATGTGAAGTTTCATTAGTATCTTGTAAGTATTTAACAAGTTATGATGTTAGTGAGTTCTTTACGAGCACGGTCTTGATGCGCGCGGTGTTATTTGGCCACTGGATTGGATATATAAACTGAATGTTATGCCAATAATTAGTTGTTTAGTTCAGTTGTATATCAGTAAAATTTCAGCTCAGTACATTGGATAATTAATGAGATAGAATCCGCTTAACCATTTCAAAGATCTAGAAAAACCAAAAACGTTACCCCCGCAAAATCTCGAATAACTTCGCAATCGATAAAAGAACAAATACAAAACAAGGCACAACATTTACTTCATCTGGACAACTAATTTTATAGCTAGTAATTATTTAAATATTCCCATTAGAAAGAAAAAGGTCTGGCTGGGGTAACGTTACCCCAGCAGGAAATGTTTTTGTGAAATAATTAAAAATTATAAGCGCAACAAATTTAAAAATGTGCGCAACAATTACAGAAGCCGCACACCTAATTATCTATAAGATTCTAATGACCATTTTTGACAAAATCTAGCCTGGGTAACTAGAAATACCAATTGGTAATAAAAATAAATACACACATTAATTTGGAAGTACATAAAGGTATTTATTATATTATAATTATTATTAATCGGTACAAACTATAAGATAACGGTGTCTAATGTATCCTCGTGAGATCCTCGACTATTTTGATGAGGTCGTCTACTGTCGCGTCGCGCATCATTCCGCCGCCGTCGTCGATCTGTAAACATACGTATTTATCACTTACATTGCTTATTCGTTTTTAGAAAAATTCTCAGTAACCGCACAGGGTCTGGTAAACGGTTAGGTTGTCTAAAGTTCAATCCAATCAGACTAAGTATTAAGAGCTTTATCGATTTTGATTCTGGAATTAAGACTGTAAACTTGGCTAGACTGTGTTATGTAAATCTTGCCTACATTTTTGAAGAATAACGAGCCACTGTTAGCTGATAGTCAGTGGTAATAACATTTATAATATCTTAAAACATAAGATAAATCACAAAAAATAGAAATGTAGTATGAAGACGCTTTATCTCTGGAAAGCAAATTACAAATAGATAGTATTATCAACAGTATGTTACAAGTACGAACCTGTAAACCTTGCACCGTCTCCTGTTGCATTTCCCTGGAGAGGTCTAGGAAGCTCTCGATGAGGTCGCCATCAATGAAACCTTCAGCCGGCTCTGTCTTTATATCCGTGTTGAAGGACCGCCAGAACGAATGCGGGACCTTGCCCACCGACTTAATAGTATGTGTTAATCTCTCTTCTAGTTGATGTAAAAATTCATACAATTCCGGGGCTAATTGCACTACTAAACCTGTTGAGAGAAGATATGAATAAGTAAAATGTTATTTGGCTTTAAATTACACATCATCACATCAATCGCCTATAAATGCTCACTGCTGAGCAAAGCCTCTTCTCACACAGACAGGGTTTATGCATTAATCACAACGCTTGCTCAATGCGGTTTGGCGATTTCAAACTTATAATTAGAAATTATAAGCCCAGGTTTCCTCACGATGTTTTCCTTCGCCGTTTGTCAATGGTGTCTAAATAATCTTAGAAAGTACATATAAGTTGGAAAACGTCACATTGGTACTTGCCATTGATTATTTATTATGTTACACATTATTTTTTAATTGAACTGTATAAGTGTTGGTTTCCCAAGTGTTAAATAAAATTTGTATCTTAATTTCGTGTGGCGCGATATTTCAAATCAGGTTCTAATGAGATTTCATGGCTTTAGTAAATTGGAATCAATAGGAGCAGTGAAGACGAGGGTGAATCACAGACACGCGTGAATTAACCTAGCTATGAGTGTGGCAGTGGATAAGCGAATGCGGCAGTTGATAAATAAAGGTGGCAATGAGTGAGTGCGGCAGTGAGTGGAGCGCTACGTACAGATGGAGCCGGTGACGGTGGCGAGCAGGACGGGGTTGTGTACGGGCGCGGCGCTGTCGGCGTGCTGCGCCACCAGCGAGCCGCCGCGCATGACGTTGACCATGTCCCCGAGGTGGAACTGGCCCATGTACGACATCTGCTGTCTTTCTTCATCTGTCGTCGCCGCACTGTGACACATTGACCCAGTTATGGATTATGAATAAATAAATATTGATGACTTTGAAGTCAAACCAAACAATCGATCAAGACATACAATATACTCAATTGATGTTCGATCAGTACATAGGTACACCATAAGTCTTGATAAACGACATGACATAATAACGTGCAACGAAAACGTGCTAAAAAATATAATAAAACTAGCTTCTGCCAGGGGCTTCACCCGCGGTACCATGAGATACATAATAGCCCATATGTTATTCTAATGTATAACCCACATTACTGTGAAGTTTCACGTAAATTCAATCAGTAGTTTTTGCGGGAACGAGTAACAAACACACACACACACACACACGCATACATCCTCACAAAGTTTCGCATTTATCCTTACTTATATTATAAATCGGAAAGTGAGTTTGTTTGTTTGTTCCACTTTAACGCCGTAACTACTAAACCGATTGCTTTGACATTTTGCAGACGTAAAGTTAGAAATCCGGATTAAATAATAGGGTACTTTTTATCCCTGAAAAAATTCATATTCCCGAGGGAAAACAAAAGTATTGGTATAGATGGCGTTGTGTGTATTGGTATAGATGGCGTTGTGTGTATTGGTATATGTCACATTGGCTTTTTATCCTTTTGTGACGCGAGCGAAGCCGCGGGTAAAAGCTAGTAATATTATAAGTAGAAAGTAGGATTCATGTAGAAAAATATTTTATACAAAAAAATAACTTGTATAGAATGATATTGACAACTCACCTGTCTTTTTGGCACACAAATAAGTTGAAACTATTTTCAGCACCCAAGAAGGTGTCATCATCTAATATCTCGATTGCTGTCATCCAGTTAGGACTGTAATCCCGTGCTATTTCCTCGAAGCTTCCCTCCATCTGCAAAACGTGTATAATTAGTAATAACCAAGAATAACGGCAAATTAGCCTTTTTTAGTTCTTGTTTTGTGGCGCCATTGGCGGAAATGGTCGCTATAGTCAAAGTTGAGAGACACTGACTAATAATTATTGCTTTCGTTGGCGAAATAATATCAAGATTCGTTTAAATTGAGTTGACAGCTTAAATCGATGAGATAATTATTGAATATCCACGGGGGCGCACAAAGGTACTTAACAATTCATTAGAATCCTTAGGATTCAACCAGCAGATAATTCTTAACTGTAGAATAAAATTGACATTTCACAGTCTTTATTAGTATGGTAGAATTGTTAAATATGTTAAATAAAATAAATAAATATTCAAAGTTATTCCACTGATAAAATTTATCTGGCATTGACAAATTGGCCCTTAGACACAATAAGTTAGATCATCAGTAAAAATAGGAGATAAAACCAACCTGCTTATATTGAAGCAATGACATGGATCGCATTAGGTCTCCGACAAGAATAAAATCGCCCTTTACTTTTAAATATAAAGCGACTATGTTATTAAAGTGACTACACTCCAACCGCAACTCCTTCTCTGAAGTCCACTCGAAGAGGCGGACCTGGAGGAAGAAGAATGTTCATTAAATACAGATGTATTAGTAGGTTTGTAATTTTGATTTCTAGGTAGGAGAAAGTACACATTTCTAAATTATTTTATCTTCTAAATTAGGGACGGCGAACGATAAACACGTGTACCATTGATGCCAATGGCAATCATTGATTGCTTACGATGTTGAGCGACCGATATAACCAGCCACTACATGGACTTACATTAACATTAACAAAACCTCCGCTAACGTAAATCACGTGACCTACGTGGCGTGTATTCTAAAGAACCTGTCTAGTAGGGTAGATTGCTAATTTTTATTTTAATGTCCGTTTGATAGATTATTTTAAATCATTAGACAAGTATTTTCTAACAGAAACGAATACTTTCAACGATATATTGATTTGAAATATCGCGTGACGACGTAACATAGAAGTGATTCTATGTACATTTTATAGTGTGCGTTACCCAGGCCAGATGTTGTCGAAAATGGTCATTTGAACCTTATAGATAATTAGTTGTGCGGCTTCTGTAATTGTTGCGCACATTTTTGAATTTGTTGCGCTTATAGTTTTTTAATTGTTTCACAAAAACATTTCCTGCTGGGGTAACGTTACCCCAGCCAGACATTTTTCTTTCTAATGGGTATATTTAAATAATTACTAGCTATAAAATTAGTTGTCCAGATGAAGTAAATGTTGTGCCTTGTTTTGAATTTGTTCTTTCATCGGTAACGAAGTTATTCGAGATTTTGCTGGGGTAACGTTTTTGGCTTCGCTAGATCTTTGAAATGGTTAAGCGGATTCTATCTCATTAATTATCCAATATACTGAGCTGAAATTTTACTAGTATACAACTGAACTAAACTACTAATTATTGACATAACGTTCAGTTCATATATCCAATCCAGTGGCCAAATAACACCGCGCGCATCAAGACCGTGCTCGTGAAGAACTCAATATCATCATAACTTGTTAAATACTTCCAGAATACTAATGAAACTTCACGTACATTTGAAGGCAGTTACAAGTTTTAAACTAACGTTTAAAGTAAGTCCTTAGAGCTTTTATTTACAGTGCTAGGAGTGTTTTTCTATTTAATGAAATAACCATTATGCTATGTATTATTTTAGTGACTGCCTCGTTGGCCGAGTGGTCGCAAGTGCGACTACCGCAAGCAAGCAAGCCCCGCGGGCAAGGGTCTCGGGTTCGATTCCCGGGTCGGGCAAAGTATTACTGGGTTTTTAAAAATCTCAGTAGTAGCACGGAGTCTGGCCATGTTCCCGGTATATGGCAATAGGCTTACCCCCTATTACATGGGACTCATAACATAATAGAAGTGGGTGTTACATTGTACGTGGCATTAAGTGCCGTAATGTGCGCCTCTGCCTACCCCTTCGGGGATAAAAGGCGTGATGTTATGTTATTTTGGGTTTTTTATTGCACAACAAATTTAAACTAATTCCTAAGAAGCCATGTACAAAATATGATAAGAATCCGCTTAACCATTTCAAAGATCTAGCGAAATCAAAAACGTTACCCCAGCAAAATCTCGAATAACTTCGCAACCGATCTTCGATCAACAATAACAACTAGATATCGGGTCGGCGCAAGAAAATCGTCTCGACAAATAAGAGCTTACTTGAGAAGTGAGCTCTTATTTTGTTTAGTATGCTCCAAACACGGCCAACGTAATCACGTCTCACGATGCTGCAGTGCGTAATTGCAAGTTGCAAAAATAATGACCGATAAAGCAGTATAACGGCCGGAGTGTCTTACTTTCGATAAGTAGGTACATAAAGTATAAGTTATATTTTAAGCTTTTAAACTAGTAAATAATATCAAATTAGACAAAATTACCAATTATAAACCAACGCCACCAATGTTTGTGCGTCTGTTGGCGATCCTTTGGCCAAGCCTCGCCAACACGCGCACAAACATTTGTTTAAACAGAACAGTGGATGCATGGAGTCGATTTGTATTGTAAAATAAAATTGTATTGTAACCTTAACCTATGGAGTTTCTTGCTCGTTCTTTTCCATAGGCATCTACACCTTGGAATGAGCAAATAGCTTCACTTTTAAATTTATATTGTTGTCTAACTGAAATAAATGATTTGACTTAGACTTTTAATGATAAAGTAAATAAACATACACAAAAACGTACCGCTAAAAAAGTAAGTAATGTATACTAAGATCCCGAAATCTTAATTTTCATATTATAAAATTATTTTAGTGTTCAACGCGACTCCATACATACCTCCTGTAGCGAAATTCGAAATTTGAAGAAGTAAAACTAAACAAAACAAAACGATATAGATCGCAAGAGAATAATGGAAAAATTATCTTTATTTGTTCAACTTTAAGGTTGAATTCAAACTAGATATTGTATAACTTATGTCTTTTAATTTCTACATGACAGGAGTAAGAAAATACTTTTCTCGTCTTATGTGACGAATGGTCGAAAGTATTTTATAATATTTTGACGATTTATGACTTTATTATCAGGTGCCATGGTTGTTATTAGGTTGAACTTAAAACTATTTTAAAACATTTTTCTCTGTTTGTTATTTTTTACTATTATTATTCACACGGACAGAACTGGAGCTTGATTTTGTACGTAACCCTTTATCTAGTTGCTATTGTTGATCGAAGCAACCGATGAAAGAACAAATATAAAATAAGGCACAACATTTACTTCATCTAGACAACTAATGTTATAGCTAGTAATTATTTAAATATTCCCATTAGAAAGAAAAAGGTTTGGCTGGGGTAACGTTACCCCAGCAGGAAATATTTTTGTGAAATAATTAAAAAACTATAAGCGCAACAAATTTAAAAATGTGCGCAACAATTACAGAAGCCGCATAACTAATTATCTACAAGATACAAATGACCATTTCCGACAACATCTGGCCTGGGTAACGCACACCATTTTATACGTAGAAATGACGTTTTAGCCCCCACTCTTAAACTTGATTCGTTTTATCTAAGCATTATTTTATTACACAACAAAATAAAAAATACGTGACTAATGTTTTTTTATTACCTAACTTACGGACTAAATATTTATTTATTTATTTGTAAGCTTCATGCACAAAATGTACATAAGGTGGACTTAATGCCGCAGGCATTTTCTCCCAGTCTGACCTTTGGGTGATGCAGAGAAGAGTTAATGGTGTGAGCAAGAAGCAAGCAACTATTTAATAGAGCAAATAAAATAGATATACTTACATATTTCAGGGATAAACATAAATAAACATAATTATAATATATATACCTACACACGAGTACAACACAATACACATGCATGCATTCATACATATATACATACATACATACACACATACATACATACATAAATATAGACTGTGAGTAATTAGCGTGATGATTCAGCCACCCTCTCCAAGAGAAATAATAATATATATAAATAGATTTATTTTCATACCCCGTCATCATCACAATTTAGTAAATCGTAACTTACCGTACTATTTATCGTTGCGAGCAGTTTGCCATTAAATTCGACTAATGTATAGCATCCTCCTTTGATCTCCTTCTCTGCAATCTGCACCAGCTTGCCTTCTGACCAGTGGAACAACAGGATCCTGCCCTGTTAGATACGATAGCTTGTTAGTTACATGTACAGCCAACATTTATAACCGACTAGCTTTTACCCGCGGCTTCGCTCGCGTCACAAAAGGATAAAAAGTAGCCTATGTGACATATACCAATACACACAGTGCCATCTATACCAATAATTTCGTTTTCCCTCGAGAATATCAAATTTTTCCGGGATTAAAAGTACCCTATTATTTAATCCAGACTTTTAACTTCACATCTGCAAAAATTCAAAGCAATCGGTTTAGTAGTTACGGCGTGAACGTGGAACAAACAAACAAACTCACTTTCCGATTTATAATATTAGTAAGGAAGTAAGGATGTCGAACCACCTCTGAATCGATCAAGTTTTGAGAGGCAGCTGTACATTGGGTCAAAATAATGAATTGTAAATGTATCTGTACATTGTGAATGTTGTATTAAAGATAATAAAGAAGGACGCAGAATCTCTTTCAGCTGCGATAATTGTTCTCCTCTTGGCTCAATGAGTACAGCCGCCATAATAACAGAATTTCAATAGACCTACTGTTAAAAATCGATGTTGAATCTTATACTATTATATAAAGCGGAAGAGTTTGATGTTTGATTTTTGTTTGTTTGTTTGAACGCGCTAATCTCCGTAACTACATGTCTGATTTGAATCATTCTTTTTGTGTGGGATAGCGCATTTATCGAAGATGGCTATAGGCTATAAAACATCACGCTACGATCAATAGGAGCTGAGCAGAGCGTGTGAAACCGCGCGGAGGTAGCTATTCCAATATAACAATAGATGATCGATTGAGATTGATTAATATCGGTCGAAAATTAAACTTAACATTTTTCTCTTACCATTACCAATTTAGTATCTTATATACTTCTTATACTATTACAATTATAAAGCTAAAGAGTTTATTTGTTTGTTTAACCCTTAGAGCGCCACGTCAGTCACCCGTGCCTGACGCTAGTGGAGGTTTGACTTTCACCATTTTAAACTTGGCAGTTAAAGTATTAACGCCATAATCTTTGAAATTACCGGTGAGATTTGAAAAATTATTGTTGTGTTGGATAGTCCATTAATCGAGGAAGGCTATAAAACATCACGTTGCGACCAATAGGAGCGGGAAATAGCGCGGGAGTAGCTAGTTTAGTAATATACCTGTTTAGGTTCCGACTCCTCCGGGTTAAGTAGTGCAGTGCCGAGTGCGTAGTAGTGGTTGGGATCATCTCCCAGCTTGCAGGAGACGAGCGACATCGCGAACTCGTTGGTCATCAGTTGGTGTGCGTGCAACACTGTGGAAAATTTTTGTATATTGTAATAGGGGTCACATTGATTGACATTAAAATATTAGATTTTTTTTGTTTTGGGGCCGGTAACGTGGTCGTTTTCGTTATAGCTGATAATAATATTAAGTTTTTATACCACTTTATAGTATTATAAGATCAATTAACTGCAAAGTTTTGAGAAGCATTTGATAGAACAATGTTTTGGTAATGTTATTCTGAACTTAGAAAAAATTTAGTATGTAATTATTTTTTGGATTAGTATACTAGACGATTTATTACCATTAGTAGTATAGTAATATATTTAAATAAAACAATTGGGTACTTGTCTTCGATTGTTCAATACAATAAAATATTTATAAAAAATAATGACACTTTTATTAATTAATTTTAAGATTAATTTAGTATTTTTCTAGCAATTTTTTAAGAAATAAGTATGCCGTTCGACGCTTAAAAAAACGTGACGTCACAATACACAATCTCGTACAAAATTCATTGAAAACTGTCGTTTTTGATAGTTTGGAAAAAGTATTGAATGTGACTAGTTAGCAAGTACCCAATTATGCCGTATAAATGAGGCATGCAGCGTGTAGTAGTGAGTGCGTACCTTCGAAGGTGTGGTTGTCGAGTACGAGCAGGTTGTGCACCTCGAGGTCGAGTGCGTTGGGCGCGTGCTTGGGCTGCGCGGGCGGCGCGCCGCTGACGGCCGCGGCCGCCGTGGAGGCGCTGGCGCGCGGGGCCACGCCCGCCGCGCCGCCGCCCGCGCCCCACTCCAGCTTGTCCACGCGCATCGTGATCACGCCGAACGTCTGCGGACACCACGCGCTCTTACACTGCTACTCACGCCCCAATACTCGAAGGGTACTCAATTTTAAAGTCTACCTAAATATCGTGCCATCTCTGTTCATTCCAACCCAAGATGATAGTTGCACGAAATTTTGAATTTATCGTCATGGGTATCATTTTCATGTTTTGAACTATTTGTGTGATCCACAAATTGTTCTTTCGGGTTTGAGTATCATGTGTATGTGAACTGATGTTTCTAAACTCACCCACAACAAAGAAGAAAATGCTAAACTAGCATGAGACAATGTTTTTTTTTAAAAAGGAGAATCTTTCTAGTATTTAAATAAATGCGATGTATAAATTTTAAATTTAGTTTAAATTTACCCTCGAATATTATGAAAAAAATCACAATTATTTTATTAAATTCTTATGAAAAGCCTTATGGTGGGCCACCAATGTACTCAAAACACTGAAAAAAAATCAAATAATTCCTATGTATAAATCATATTTTATAAACACTTTTATTATACTACTAGGTCACCTGCGAAGCCTCCTGGTACGCAATACGTCGCGGCGTCTCCCCCAGCGGTACAGTTCGAATGTGTAGCTTCTGTATCTCGTCGATGGTGCCTATTGTCACCGTACTGTCCGTCGCCAGCGCCAAACTACAACAGGATTATTATTTATAAGTAAATGATGACGATCAAATGGAAAAAAGGTGTCTTATGTGTCTTCCTTTGTGTGATCGACAATTTTCTTTTGCCTTTAGTAGCTTTTAGCAGCGGCTTCCCACGCATTCCCGTATTACTGTATTACCTGTTCCAAATTTAAGCTTCCTTTATATGCAAACCGCAAAGGAATGGAATTCCTTGCCAGAATCTGTGTTTCCAAATATGACTTGGGTGTCATCAAGTCCCGAGTGAGCAGGTTGCTCATAGGTAGGCGTGCTCCATCATCGGCCACATCATCGCTTACCACCAGGCGAGGTGAAAGGCCAAACGTCGACATGTCAAGTATAAAAAAAATCATCCCAATCCCTTTACGCGTTTTGCCATGATTGAGTAACAAAATATACACACAAACTCTCACATTTATAATTTTAAGTAAGATGTCACTATTTGATGCTATAGATTCTAAAATGTAAACAGTGCACACATCAACAGTTCGTAACGGTCCACTGCTGGACTATTGGCATCGTGTTAATTTGTCATATCCTCACGCTTGGTAGGAAAACACTCGCGAGAAGAGCAGAGGTATTGACAAATTGTATTCTTGTATACCATCACCATATTGCTAAACAATTCAGTTCAATTTAAATGATATAATTCAAAATATAAAGAATAAATACAACTTTCTTCCAGTCGTTCACTAACCTGTCCGGGTAAGCCTGAGCATTAAGAGAGCACATGTGGGTAACTTCTTTGAGGTTGACGTTGGAGAACACGAGCTTGTGGTTCGACGAGAATATCACCGTCGGACGGTCCGAGCACGCGAATATATTTGTTGTCGATAGCGACCTGCGAACAATGAATTAAAATAAAATATGACTAAATGTAAATGGTTATCATATGAACAATGAATAAACATCCATAATACTTGATATGAGATGAAAAAAGGATTCGCTTATAAACATTTTTTTTCGCAACCCATTATCCCCCCCTACTTCCCCGTTCCCTCAATCCCTGAATCCCCAACAATCTTAAAATTTCTAATCCCCAAAAAGCCGGTAACGCACTTGTAACGCCTCTGGTGTTCCGGGTGTCTATGGGTGACACCGATTGCTTACCATCAGGTCATCCGTCCGCTCGTTTATCGGCTTATATAATAAAGTCTATAAAGTAAAGTCATGTGTGACAACTAATTAGGTGATTTTTCTAGTAGCAATAGCAATATCTACAGAAAATAATGTAATGGAAATGAATTAACACTTTAAACAATAAAACTTCAGAGAATTGTATCTCCATACCTAAAGCTCCTGAGCACAGTGGGCTGCGTGCCGAGCGTGACCTTCTTCTTGTTGGTGAGTACGCCGGTGTCCTGGTCCACCGTGAAGTAGAACATGGACCCGTCGCCCAGCGCGCACAGCAGGTAACATACGCCCTCCAGCACGCAGATCAGCAGCGACCGGGGAATTATTTCTGTCACAAACATTATTCATAAAGTCTTGACCATAGAAAAAAGGATGTAATTTAAATATCCATGTGATGGATAAAATTATACTAGAGCTTGAACAGATCATCCAAATATGATTGAACACGGTTATCATAGGAACATTTATGCATAAAAGTCATCAGAAATCCAACCATAAGACTGTGGATTGAACCAAGAACTTAGCCTTAAAAAAAACGACTAGTTCTAAGGATGAGAACTACGTTTTTAAGTTTAGAAAGGAGTAAAAAATAGTAGTAGGTTTGTGTAAAAATAATAATAATATTCAGCAGAATTTGATACAGACAACTCAGACATAGTCAGAAAAAGGAATTTTGATTCCTGAACACGATAAACTCACCTCCAGATAATTTTTCCGTGTGCAAAGGCCTCAGATCAGGTAATTTAAGTACTCTGACAGATATATCGGTCCACAGTCCCACGCCCAACAGAGCCTCGTCTCCGCCGGGGCCCAGGTCCAGGCACGCCACCTCTTCCTCCATACAAACCTCGCTGGGGACAAAGGATTAATGTTAATAACTTGTGGCACTCCACTGGTTGAATGTACTGACTGACTTCAATGTAGGAGATGGCAGTTTAAAAGGGTTAGGTTTCTTATAGAGCTACTTGGTAACCTGTCTCCGTCAAATATGTGGTCCCTTACGGCCAAAATTCATAACCAATCTCAAAAAAGAACTTTAGATTAGAGGATGGATTTATGGACATTTATAACTTTAGATTAGAAAGCAGTAGAATTATTTGCCAGTCTGTGTTTCCTGAAGGGTAGAACCTAGGTGTCTTCAAGATCCGAGTAAATAGGTTGCTTATGGGCAGTACGATAGACTCTAAGTGTGAAAGAGCCATGCCTCGGCATGAATGGGCCGGCTCGACCGGAGCGATACCACAGCATCACAGAAAACCGACGTGAAACAACGATTGCGTTGTATGAGTGAGGTCACCAGAGATTACCCTCCCTCCCCAGTCCTTCCAAACCACGAATCCCCCACAATCCTCAAATCCCCAATTCCCAAAAGGCCGGTAACGCACTTGTAACGCCTCTGGTGTTTCAGGTATCCATGGGCGGCGCGGATTGCTTACCATCCGACTGCTCGTTTACCGGCTTATCTCATACAAAAAAATTAAGAATGAGATTTGTTATCAATTTCAGTCGTTTGTCAGTATTTGTGATCACACGGGAAATGAAAGGAAGGGAAGGGATTTGCAGATTGATGAATGTAAGTTACGCTTTGAGCTCGAGTTGTCCGTCGAGTATGGCGACGAGGTACAGACGCGGGCCGGCGGCGGCCACGACGCGCAGCGCGGAGCAGGCCACGACGGACAGCCCGCGCGCGCCCGCCACGCGCCACTCGGCCGCCAGCCGCCAGCCAGACCCGCCGCGAGATATCAGGCGGATACCTTCGTCCGTTACCTGCAACACAATTACACGACATCAGTTTCAACTCTTGGGCTGCATACACGGTTGGAATGAAGGTTTAAGATTATTTGGACAATATAAATATGTAATTTACATAATGAAATAAATAACTTTAATACCAAAACTAGCTACTTCCGCGCAGTTTCACTCGCTGTGCTCGGCGCCTACTAATAGTAGCGTGATAATTTATAGCCTAATAGCCTTCCTCAATAAATGGGCTATCTAACTTAGAAAGAATTTTTCAAATCGGAACAGGAGTTTCGGAGATTAACGCGTTCAAACAAAAAAACAAACTCTTCAGCTTTATAATATTAAGTATAGATGAATGAAATATAACTGTTGTGATGCATTTTTCTTGCATTAATTTCACAACTTGCGCAAATAAAATGCGGAAGTCATAATCGATCAGATTATTTTTCTAATATACTTTAAAATGTGCGTCTAAGTAATACTAGAATGAACAAAGGTAACTTACTTGAATTAGTTGATTATGGCAAACATTGCCAGTGAAGAAAGTTTGTCTGTCTGCGACAAAACCTTTGATCTCAGTCTCTTCGACTTCTTCTCCGTTTAGAGTTAGCACTCTGTAGAAAAACACAAACATTATTTTCTGCTAATAAAAAACATTTGAAACCAAAAAATTCGATATTGATGCATAATTTCGTCGATGTTAAGTTTACTATTAAAAATCAGAAAGAATTCTTATGAATCCTCTTTGGCCGGGTTCGATTCCCGGGTCGGGCAAAGTCTGGAATTGCGCCTGGTATATGACAGTAGGCTCATCCCCTATTACATAGGACTCATAACATAATAGTAAAAAGTGGGTTTACATTGTACAGTAGCATTAAGTGCCATAATGTGCGCCTTCCCCTTCAGGGATAAAAGACGTGAAATTATATCTTATGAATCCGTTATTTAACATATTTTTATATTTAATTTTTAAGAGTTATCTTATTTAGACATTGTAGAGACATTGTAGAATATACATTTTTAAAAAGAGTAACGAATGGAGTTTCTTGCTCGTTCTTCTCCATTCGAATCTACTTTTTGGAATGAGTACCTAGCTTCACCTAGTTTCACTGACGGACTGACTGACAGACTATTATTTATTTTGTATTTGTTGACGTTTCAAAAGTACCAAACTATGGTTTAATTGAAATAAATGCTTTGACTTTGACTTTGACTTTTGATGACAACCAATTTCCAACCTAATGTTTATGCTTACCTAGTTTGTCCCACGAATGCCAATACAAGCGTGTCATGGTAGGTAGAGTTCTCGGCAAGGGTGAGTGCCCACATGCCCTTGATGCCGGGCAGGTCGATGGAGGCCTGCTCCTGTATACCGATACCGTTGCGGATTATACGCAGCGAACCCATCTTGAATGCGCCTAAAGACAATAAACATATTTTTGGTTTAACTAGTGGTTACAGAAATATGTTTGAAAACAACTATAGATACATTTTTAGGTTGCTCTTTGATTTCGGTTTTCTGCTGCGCCATAGGTGTATAATACACAATGCATCACCAATAGACCAAATTCAGCTGGCAAAAAAATTATACAAATAGTTGTTCCAACTATGTATTATAATTTTCGGGAGTAAAATTAAAACGACCGTTTCGCACAACTGGAATGGTGGAAGAGAATGTTATTCACAGATACATACTTAACAATTTAACATACACAACAAAAGTTCACATATTGTGTCTGTTCTTTCGTAATAAACTCGAAAAATTACTGAACAGACCTTTATGCGGTGTTTACCTATGGATTGTTAAAACGATTTGCATGTAACAACCAAATATGACACAATATATTTATTAAACTTTCTATATGTAATTAATTATAAAACCACACTAACCAGAGCATGTAATGAGTTGATTCTGTCCCTGTCTCTCCAGATCCACAACACACATGTCTACGATGGGAGCGAGGCTGGTGAAGCTCTCCATAGGCTGTACATACTGACTGGCTTCATCCCTCGACGCTGACAGTCTGACGAGCGCAGAGTCCCCTAGACGAGACCCGATGAACACTACACCATTGTCCAGGTATGTCATGCATTCGGGGATTGGTATGTCACCTGGAAAGATGTTTTGAGTTACATATTATAATTGAGAGTTTATGCGGCATAGATTTTCCTATAAACTTCCAAATTAAATTCCCAGAAAATAATAAACTGATTTTAATGAAATTGAATCTTCATGTCTATTAGACATGGGACATTGTTTAATATTTAGTAAAAAAAAGTACCAAATAACATAACATAACATCACGCCTTTTATCCTCGAAGGGGTAGGCAGAGGTGCACATTATACCACTACACAGTACCAAATAAGAATTTTAAAAAGATGGAGAGTGACAGTTTCTGGTTTTCTCACCAATTTAAAACCATTTCTGCTCTCTGACTGCCTCGTTGGCCGAGTGGTCGCAAGCGCGACTGCCGGGCAAGGGGTCTCGGGTTCGATTCCCGGGTCGGGCAAAGTACTACTGGGGTTTTTAAAAAAATCTCAGTAGTAGCACGGAGTCTGGAATTGTGCCCGGTATATGGCTATAGGCTCACCCCCTATTACATGGGACTCATAACATAAACAGTGAAAAGTGGGTGTTACATTGTACAGTGGCATAATGTGCACCTCTGCCTACCCCTTCGGGGATAAAAGGCGTGATGTTATGTTATGTTATGTTATGTTAAAACCATTTCTAACTCATCATCAACAGCCTCTAAATGCTCATTGCTAAGCAAAGCCTCTTCTCACACGGAGAAGGTTTGAGCATTAATCACCACGCTTGCTCAATGCAGATTTCTTCAAATTATTAAGTACAGGTTTCCTCACGATGTTTCCTTTCACCGTATGACAGAGGCGTTACAAATAATGTTTAAATCATCTTAGAAAGTACATATAACTCGGAAAAAGTCACAATGGTACTTGCCGTTGACAGGTTTCGAACCCGCACCCTCACGTTTGAAAAGCGAGCGTCTTAAACCTCCGGGCTACCACGACCATATCTAACTACTTATGAGTATGTTTCGAAAACCTTACTTTTAACCTTTGAGTACCGTCATTATAGACACAATTAAAGAAGTAAAAAACAATAGGTTGCGGTCACCGGTGTCCTCGCGGTGTTTGACAGTTTAAAATGACTTACCTAAAAGTTCTACTTTGAGATCCTTAACAGCCTGCGTGCCATCCATCTTCTCCTGCAGCTCCAGCAGCAACATGAACAGTCGGCCCGCGATGTCGCCCAGCAAGTAACGGAGCCCGCGCCCGTCCACGCGGCAGTAGCAGTTTATTGGAGTTAACTGGGAAAATGACGTACATAAATATTATTGGAACTTTAAAAAAACAAAAAGAGGAAATTGAATAATCCAGATGATACTACTATCAAGAAGGAAATTAAATGAAATTAGAAGTAAAAGAAGTGTCTTGGCATGTTGATTGTTAGATATTGAGTTTATTTATTTCTATATTACAGAATAAATAATCCAAATGGTTTAATCCATACCTTTATTTGTGGTGGGGCGACGGCAACATAGCTCTGTCCGTCATGGTACACAATAGATTCCTGACCTATCACAATGGCACCACCTGAAAACATACGACATAATGATTTAACATACAACATGCTAGCCACTGCCGCGCAATGTCACCCGCTCTGTTCGGCGCCTATTGATCGTAGCGTGATGTTTTATTGCCTATAAGCCTTCCTCGATAAATGGACTATCCAACACAAACAGAATTTTTCAAACCGGACCTAGCTCCTGAGATTAGCGCGATCAAACAAACAAACTCTTCATCTACAATCATCATCATCTGTTAATGATGATCAATATATTGTTGATACTAGCTTTTACCCGCGGCTTCGCTCGCGTCACAAAAGGATCACAGTAGCCTATGTGACATATACCAATACACACAGCGCCATCTATACCAATACTTTTGTTTTTCCTCGGGAATATCAATTTTTTCCGGGTTAAAAAGTACCCTATTATTTAATCCGGACTTCTAACTTTACGTCTGCAAAAATTCAAAGCAATCGGTTGAGTAGTTACGGCGTGAAGGTGGAACAAACAAACAAACAAACTCACTTTCAGATTTATAATATTAGTTAGGATTTATAGGCTGTTGCCTATAAATGCCCACTGCTGAGCAAAGCCTCATCTCACACGGAGAAGGTTTGAGCAATAATCACCACCCTTGCTCAATGTGGGTTAGCGATTTCAAACTTACAATTAGAAATTATAAGCCATGTTTCCTCACGATGTTTTCCTTCACCGTGGTGTCTGGATAATCTTAGAAAGTACATTATATAACTCGGAAAAAGTCACATTGGTACTTGCCGTTGGTAGGTTTCGAACCCGCTACTCATACATGAGGGTGCATGTATGAGAAGCGGGCGTCTTAAACCTCCAAGCCACCACTACTATCAGCTTCATATAATTGTATGAGATAATATTATGTATAGGTTGATAGACTTTCATACAATCTATACATATTATAATAAAATCGTAGGAAAGTTAAAACTGTACATCGAATATTTTTTTTAAGAATGCTTTGTGCGTGATCTGCAGTCGATACCGACAACTGAAGATTTTAGAATTTGTCTGTTTGTTTGTCTGTATATATGTCCGGGATGAACTGAAAAAGTGATGCACGGATTTATTTAAAACTAGCTGTGCCCTCGACTAAGTTCGCGTGGAATAGTGACTATGAGCAGCGTTTTTTTTTTTAAATATATACTCACGACGTGATTCTTTAATTTGACATAACTTTTTTATTTATGAACCGATTGACATGAAACAAACACTAAAGCAGAACTGAAGCATACCGCAATATATTCGTGAAAACCGCATCCAACTCGGATCAGCTGTTTCTGAGATTAGCGTGAACAGACAAACAGACAAAAAAAAAGTTATTTACATTTTTGGGTTCGACATCGACATAACAATAACCCCTGCTATTTTTTTTATTTTTATATTCAATGTACAGACAGCACTTTTCTATCTACAATTTTATTATATGTATAGATTTTGCATGAATATTACTAACAGTTTGGATTAACATATAGGCTACATATTATCATGTTATCAACTACGGGGGAGGAACTGTGAATTACTATTCCACACGGACGAAATCGCGGGCTCAGCTAGTGCCTTTATAAGTTAAGAGTGTATTTCGCCAACTTACCTAGGGGGCTGGGCACTGGAATCAGTATCGATGCTTCAGTCTCAACATTGTCTTGTTTCCATGGTATCTTCATAAATTCTTTCTCCCTTAGATTTATTTCATGCGTCTGAAATAATAAAAAACATAATTATATCATCAATTCATAATTAGGTATATGACGCTATTTGAGTACACAAGGTGTCAAGCATCTTTGAATCCAAATAACGCGATTAACTGTCGAGCTGCACAAAGTCTGATGACCGTTGAGTAAGCGAAAGAGGTACGCAAGAATCGTAGCAATTGGTGTACTAAAGTCTCTGCCTATCCCATTGGGATTATACATATTATTTCAATGAAAATTGTTACAACTATCATTGTTGATGAAGGGAGTCTTTGGGAGCAAAAACTAAATATAAATATTTACCTTAATATGTCTGCCATTTAGGTCTTGATGAATTAAAATTATTGTAGGGTTGGAGCAACCATGTAAGAATTCTACATCATAGACATTCAGCTCTTCAAGTCTATAACAAGATACATTTTATTTAACAAAATCAAAATAAGAATACAATGGTTGATAAAATCTGTAACAAGAGTAGTATAACCATGAAGTAAAGAATTCAAGATTAACATTTTTTACATATCAGAATCGATAGCATAGCAACATAAGGCCCAAAAACTTTTTATTGTTAGATTAATTTATAAAAAAAGAGAATTTCTTAATTAAATAAAATTTCGTTATTATTATTATTATATACAAACCTTAAACTAGCAGCTTTGAGCTCTGTAGAATCCTTGTCTAAAGGTATAATTTTAAATAGACCGTCATACAGTCTTAGACCAATCACTCTGGCTTGTGGGTCGATTACGGCGAGGATGCCATTCTCTGAAGGCTTTCCGATCCTGTCGGATACATTTCCATGAGCTCTCGTCACAACTTCTAGCTCACCACTGGCAGTGGTTCTCCATTCTAATATCATGGCATTGTATCTAGCTGTTAGAATGAACACAAGGTCTTTGTTCTCATACTGAAAATAAAAATAAAAAAAACATATTATCAAATAAAAACAGAAAAAAGTTACTGCTATGGTTAATAGAAGGATGAAGCAATGACGTTGAACTATATGTCTAACAAGAAAATCTTTATATTTTCAATATCTGACACTGAAGTCATTAAAAAATCCATGATAACTAGATATTTTACAAATATTTACTATCATTGTATGATAAGGAGTATTGGATACTAAATGTATCAGTTTTCTTTAATGGTCCAGGTAGCTAGTAAGGTTGTCTGGTAGAAATCACTATACTATAAGTGATAGGACCGCCTTTGTGCCCATTATTATTTTTCTTTATGTTTCTCATTTTCTTTTCTGTATGTACTATATTATTACTGGTGTACAATAAAGTTATATTCTATTCTATTCTTCTATTCTAGAAACAGAACAAAAATCCTATCTTCCTCTTTGCGGTCGCGGCGAAGTCGCGCGTCTTGCAGCCTAGTGACGTCGCCGCGACCGCACACGGTGCTTATGAGGATGAGCCCCTCTGTGGCTTGAAACTAGTATTTCCTCTGTATTTTCGTGAGTAACCCGCGAGTAGAGTTAACAGAAAACCTTTGTTGAACTATAGTCACTAATAGAAAGAAAATTACTTACCGGAGGCCTGAACATCTTCATTTTGGCTACTCTTCCGTACAAACCAACTTCCTTCATGGGGCGCAGACCCTCTGGAGTGACGAGGTACATCTCCAGGCGGGATACCTTCGCCACCAAGAGGTTCAGGTCCGTTGGTGATGTGAAGTTGCCTAAAGGAAGGGTTAAGAATTATTATGTGTACCTAATTATTGTATCTAACTGCTGGTGACTGCCTCATTGGCAGAGTGATCATAAGTGCAACTGTCGGGCAAGAGGTCACACAGGTTCGATTTCTGCGGAGTAGCATGGGGTCTGGAATTGTGCCCAGTATATGGCAATAGGCTCAACCCCTATTACATGAGATGCATAACAAAAATAGGGAAATGTTGGTGTTACAGTATACAGTGGCATTAAGTGCCGTAATATGCATCTGCATACCCCTTCAGGGACAAAAGGCGTGATATTATGTTATGTTATCTAACCTAAACAATCATGTTTGTTTTTAAACTTACATGTATAAATTAGTCTGTAAACAATTTTATGTAAAGTATCTATATTTATAGGAGTAACATTGATAGTGGTTTGATTCATATACTGTGGTTTAGTTTTCATTAAAATGTTATTCTTTGATAAAAAAACTAATTAATCCGTCAAACACCAAGCGGTCACCGGTGACCGCGACCTATTGTTCTTTAATTGTGTCTATAAAACCGGTACTCGACGAGTTAATAAACAATTATTTAAGACTGACTGTCAAAAGAAAACTGTTGAAAGCAAATCCGCCTCAAAGTCAGTCACTGGTAATTATGTACTTATTTTAATATGTTATAGTGTATGCACAGTTTAATACTAATAATACAATTAATAATTAATCTAGTACAACAATGCGGGTACTAGCATATAAGTTCTGCTTCTAAGCTATGTATCTTGAATTCATCAGTTGCTGAGCAGACTGTCTAAATAAAAATCAAAGTTTATTTATTCAGATAACTGAGATCCATCAAAATAATAGTAAAGAAAGAACACAATCATATATAACTAATAATAACTATAAAGGTACAACATTAACATGTAATATTATAAGGCAAGATACCTATAATTATTATTTTGCATTTCGAAAATAGGGCCAATATACTGTTTCTGAGCCTTTGTTTGAATGAATTTGTGAATGAAATAGAAGGATCAATGTCTTGAGCTGACAAAATACAAATTGAGTAATTATATTTCTAATATCTTTGTGGCATAATAGTTGCCTTAAGATGGCCAGATCAGTCAGCCTATAGAAATAATGGTAATGGTTTAAAAAAAAATTTTTATGAATTTTTTTTTCTATGATACGTAATAATATCATTCAGCGGTATGATTTCTATCTATAACCCTGAAGTTTACAGTTCTTTAATTTTTTTTAATTCTGAACTGATTTGTTTTTGCGTCGAAGTTACTATGGAAGTTGACCAGAGTAATTTATTTGTAGAGTAATTAATTATGAAAGAGTCATGGTGCAATCGCTTGATAATTTAGAGCGATAACACATTTGTTTTCGAAATACATGCATGAGGACTCCGCGCAACAGCTATCATTATTCGATAACTACATTGAAATAATATACTGTGAGCCAGGTTATACAAGCTCAAAGACTTATGATCATACAGCAAAGGCTTATTCGGCCGTCAAGCCTAAAATAAATTGTTTTTGTCTGAAAATAGCGCGAGACATATACTATTCAGTTTAACCTCAATGTGACAATAACATAAGCAAAAATGGACGTTTACCGGTTACACATGATATCACGGCTGTCGGTTTCTGAGCAGTTACTACATAGTTGTAAGCCATCGTGTTCTTCACTGTTCACACATCAATTTTTCACAATTTATCCTTTACATAAAAACTTTATTTAGCTAACTGCAAACAATTCGCCGATTTGGTCGCCACCACTAGTGTTGTGCCCGTCAAAGAGAATAGAATTTAAAGAGTTTAGTCCATAGAGTCTTAGTTTAGTCGGAATAATTAGGATGGTTCTAGAATGTCTATGGTCGAAATAGTGAAAATACTCGACTAAAATATTATGAAATCTTTACTAAATTTGAAAACACTTGCGAAAAAATACCATGGAACAATAGCCTTAGATATTTAAAAATGACGTAAATTAAAATTCTTCTAAGTGAAATATCCAGAGTCTCAGAGCAAACCACAGAGTACAGTTGTATACTTTTTGGTTTGAATTACCGGTGTGATTGTTGGCCAAGTACTGGCAAGGACGTTGAAATTTCAACGTTCTTGAGTATTTGCTCTATTTTTTATTTATTTTTAAAAAAAACATGGTACTTGGGTGAGCAATAACGGAAATAATATCACCTCTATAATGCAGACAGCACACAAAGCTGATCTTCCGCCTTATGGGTGTTCCTATACTCTATTAATGAAATGACTGTAGTTTTTTTTATTGAACGTTAGTAACATTGGATAACATAATAAGATATTTTTAACACAGTTATGTAGATCTCTCCCAACTCTTTGGACAATAATATGTATAATTTTTACTACATTACAACTTCTACTGTAATAGAGGGTAAAGAAAACAAAGATTGTTGAAATCTTAAAACTAAATGTTTATTATTGTATACTTTATAATGTTTATATTTTGTACTATATTTACAGAAAATAGATTTAATAATATAATTATTAGAATCAGTCTTGATGACGATCGCTGGGCGGCACACTTTCGAATAGGACTTGAGTCAGGAATGTGAATTTTCCTGAAAAATAAAAAAAATGAACATGAGAAACACACTAACACTATTATACTTTATGTTTATTCGAGCAGATAGATTAGAGAGACAGTTACAGAGTTACTTCACACAGAACACGCGGGAATCGGATCTACAATACGATGCACAATACCCAACAATAAAACAGTAATTTACCCATTTTTTAGAGAAAATCTGCTGTTCATCACAGATACTTACTTAAAATAGCAGTCGGAGTTTTCTTATAATATACGAATACAGTGTAGACGGTGGCGCCCATCACTATGAAGCCCACAGCCATTAAATACTTGAGTGACGGGTCGTGTACAATTGGCAACACTGAGAGGAATATTGCCACTACCAATACAAAACAAGGCACAATAGTTGGTACTCTATAAGGTCGTGGTTTAGTTGCTTGAGTCTTTCGTAGAACTAATAAAGCGACCATTGCAAGTCCATAGAAGAACCACAGGAACCAACTGGCGAACTCTATTAAAGTTTTAATGTTGCCAACTGCTATAAATATTGTTGTTAGTATAGCCTGTAACAAAAATAAAATTCATTAGGATAAGGTTCGTTTAATTTATTGTAGGCAGTTGTGAGTGTGTGAAAAAGCACTTATGCCAGACAAAGGTACTAGGACCACAAGGGATCCTAATATGGACTAATCATAACCTAGTTTTATGTTTCAATAATTATGATACTCACTTGGAATGCTACTGCAGGGGCAGGCGTCAGTCTCTTTACATTGACGTAGGAGAACACTTCTAACATGTGGCCTCCTCGTGCAGCCGTGTAACATACTCTGAAATAATATTAACTCGTCGAGTACCGGTTTTATAGACACAATTAAAGAACAATAGGTCGCGGTCACCGGTGACCGCTTAGTGTTTGACAGTTTAATGTTAATTTTTATTCCAATTTAGATTTTATTTGTAAGTACAGACAACAGCATATCATTCATTCATTCATTCATTCATTCATCAGCGTTCATTTACATTCGTACAATGTGTTGAAATGTGGAATACATTTAAGATTCTTACACAACACATTCTTTAATTAAAAATATTAAATTTCTTACCTGGTAACACCAAACTGCACACTCATAGCACAACCAAAGGTTGCTATGGCAACGCCGAGCGGTATGAGAAAACTGGCTGGTCCAAGTACCCTCGTCCCAAAGGCCACGGCCACGGCTGGTACTGACGTCATATCCGCGTAACTTAGTACTGTCATGTAGGCTACGTTCATGAAAACGTAGAGTGCTGTTATAAGGGGCACCGCGATTGATATACTGAGAGGTACATTACTGAAAAAAAAGAAAATATTATCACTACATAGTACAAAATAAAGTTCTTTCAGCTGTCTGGCCCTACGTATGATTAGATCTTTAAAACTACGTAACATATTTTATTTTAATGCGGTTTTTTAATACATTTCGGAGCAAAGAAACGGGGCCACTAGCGTTTTTTATTTTTCATTTCTTGCTAAGTGTAGGAGAGCCATGCTTCGGCACGAATGGGCCGGCTCGACCGGAGTGATACCACGGCCTCACAGACGACAGACGTGAAACAACGCTTGCGTTGTGTTTCGTCGTGTGAGTGAAGTTACCGGATGCTCAATTACGGTTCCCTTTCCCAATCCAACAATCCGCAAATTCCTAATCCCGAAAGGCCGGTAACGCACTTGTAACGCCTCTGGTGTTCCAGGTGTCCATGGGCGACGCAGATTGCTTACCGTTAGGTGATCCGTCTACTCGTTTACTGGCTTAACCCATAAAAAATCTGATACCAGTATTTTATTAATTGGTAACGTATGTCGTATAAAAGGCAATTTAGTTACCTATCTTTAAAACGTGAGTATTTTGTAGTAAAAGGAATATTTTTTTAACGTTATAGAGGGTTCGACAAAATGAAAAACGCTGTTTCTTTTCTCCATAGTGCAGATAAAGTGATCAAGAAGAAAGACTTATAATTTATAATTAACTAGCTACCCGCCCCGGCTTGTAATATGCATGTATTATACATATAAACCTTCCTTAAGAATCACTCTATCTATTATAGAAAACCGCATCAAAATCCGTTGCGTAGTTTTAAAGATCTAAGCATACATAGGGACAGACAGACGGCGCGCGGATAGCGACTTTGTTTTATACTATGTAGTGAAGCGTGCCATTTGCAGGTCAAAGCTTTACAGAAATATCAATCATGACATAGGACTCATAATCACACTAGTGGATAGTGGGTGTTATAATATGTGTGTGCATCGCTGTCTACCCCTTCGGAGATTAAAAACCGTGACGTTATGGCACAATCACTTAGCATCAATCGTTATTTCTAATAATAATTAGGTAAGCGATTAATCCGTTTATCAAACAGTAGCGTCTTATCAATCATATGTACAATTTATAAGTCATACCGAAAATTCGATGACCTAATTTATAATTATGAAGTATTTTAAATAATTGTTTGACAATAAATCCGGAATCAACTACTCGGCAGACTACCTACTTAAATAAACATAACATCGTAATATAACATCACGCCTTTTATCCCCAAAGGGGTAAGCGGAGGTGCACATTATGCCACTGTACAATGTAACACCCACTTTTCACTATTTCTGTTATGAGTCCCATGTAATACGGGGTGAGCCTATTGCCATATACCGGGCACAATGCCAGATTCCGTGCTACTACTGAGAATTTTTTAAAAACCCAATAATACTTTGCTCTACCCGGGAATCGAACCCGAGACCCCTTGCGAGTCGCATTTGCGACCACTCGGCCTACGAGGCAGTCTACTTAAATAACATAATTAATTTCTGCAAGCATCTTCGTCTGTGGTTTTAAGGTGAAAAGAAGCGTCTGTGGTATTCCAAAGTCTGAACTAACTATTTCTGTATTGTGTAGTACGTACGAGTACTTGTACACCATTCCCTCTCTCCCCAAAGGTAGACAACGCACTTATAACACCCTAGTAATACAGGTGACCATGGGCGTCGCTAATTGCTTACAATCAGGTGATCTGCCTGCTCAGTTGGCAGAGAAAGCATATAATACTCACACTCCAGGGTTAATGATCTCTTCAGTGACAACAGTAACACTGTTCCATCCGTCATAAGCCCATAGTCCAGAATACAGTGCTAGGGCAATACCTCCCGGGCTAAAGGAGCTGCCTTCGAAACCTTTGTTCAAGTGCTCTGTGTTACCTGCAAATTGAAAAAGTTTTGTATTAGATTCAATGACTTCAATGCTTGCCATAATAGTATTGTGGTCATGACAGAAAAGAAAATATCAGTCACCATCTCTAGTTCCCTACCCTTCCCGTGGGAAGCCTTGGGAGCCAATGAAGGGCAAAAAAATTTGACCGGGTAACAGCTATCTCTAAAACTCTTGAACTTTTTAAACAGCAATCTCCATCTCACCCATAATCTCTTACCATATAATAAAAGGTGGTTACCATAGGGTTACCATAGGGTAACCACCTTTTATGTCGCGCAAGTCAATTCCAATTTCAAGTTATGGACTGTCAAAAGATGTTGTTGATGAAATACATTTTGTTTTAATTTTTTTTTTATTTACCTTGACAAATCTCATAGATTCCTCCTCCAATAACGATGAGACAGGCGAACACTTTACACACTCCAAATATATTCTGTACTTTTACAAACAGCTTCACACTAGTTATGTTAATGTATGTCATAATAACTGAAAAGAAAACAATTTTATTAATTATGAGAATATAACCATTCATAAGCAAAATTGAATCATAATAGAAATGTTACAAGGAATTTTGTCCCTTAAACTGTCAAACACCAAGCGGTCACCGGTGACCGCGACCTATTGTTCTTTAATTGTGTCTATAAAACCGGTACTCGACGAGTTAAAATGCAAGAACTTGCATATCAATCTTGATTACATTGACTAGCCATACTCATCACTAAAAAGCTAAAAATATTTATACTAAAAGGTAGTAACTTATAAGTTATAAATATAGTTTGTACCTATTGTAATAAAATAGATAATTATCAATAATAATTATTATAATTTTCTAATTACAAATGTACACCATCATTCATTTTTCTACAATAATTCGTTTTATTTCTGAGATATTAGCGATGTATATTCAATCTTTAAATAAAATAAAACCACAATGTACAAACTTTAACAATATTTATTAAAATTAACTTAACACTAAACTGCACAATATCTTTCTTAATTAGTCTTATTGGTCCTTAGTTCATTGGCAACATCACATTCTGTTATAAAGTGCATCAATATGATAATTTCACTTCCAACTTATTGTATGGATTGACAGTTACTATTTTCATGTCTTTCAGTAACTCTATTATCTGAAATGTCTCTGCTGTAACCGGAATGTATCCGTTTGATTCTTCATTCAGATGCTCCGCCATAAGTTGCTGAAAAATAACAATTTTATAAGAACACATATGGAAAGACAAAATGTTTTAAAGAGACACCCGGTGTCAAGGATTTCAGACCAGCACCTTGATCACTGGTTTCCTGTCTAGATAACTACCACAATGTGACATTCTTTGTACAAGAAGTTTATAAACCGAAGTTTCTTTAACACAACAGACAGAAAAAATCAGGTATTTTGAAGAGAGAACTTCTTGCACACCACATAGTATATTACTACTGTGTCTAATACTCTGTGGTTTGTGAGCTTTATATTTTGATTAACAAGTAAATGTTTTTCTTTGTTTTTCTATTTATGACATTATATTTAATATCTAATAACACTTACTCCCATAGTCTCAATGATCAAACTATCACAGTTAGGAAACAGTGAGTGTATAAGGTCATGGAGCTCATTCTTCATCACCTGGAACCTCTCCTTAGCTCTATGTATGTGTTCCGGTTTGACTTCAGACTTGTTCAGCATCGGACGGGATTTCGCTTCTTGTGTAATTTTTATTAAGGTTTGTAATCTAAAAACAGAAAATTTAAGTTATAAGACAATAATTCTATAAACTAAAATGATGTAACTTGAATATTGTTATGTTGTATATCAAAGTATAATACAGAATATTGATAGGAATGATGTTTAATTCCAGGTAGTTTAAGATGTAAATAAAATCTAAAATAATACAAAAAGTATGTATTTCATCTTATTACAAAAAAAACAAGCTTACCTGTTAATCTCAGCGTCAATATCGTGTATTGAGCCCCTTACAAAAGCTGTGTACTCTTCTACCTGGCCAGTTTTATCTCTAATCTCTTTCAGAAACTGGCTGGTAAGAAGGTTATCGTCGGCTGTGATCGGAGTATTCGAATTTTGAATTCCAGTGCCCAAACCTTCGATGTAACAAAGCGCTTTTTCGTTGATTTGTTCCAAGTCTATATTCGGAGCGTCCAAAGGTGAATTATCAATAATATTCCACTCATGCTTGCAGCGTGCTTGTATTTCTTTTATTTCACGTTTTACAGCGTCTCTTGTTTCTTTATTTCGGTCAGAAGACATCCTAAAAACAAGTTGTTTGTTTGGATTTTATTAGTATAAAAGTAATTCCAATATTTTAAACTTTTCAAAGAATTATATGGGTTTTACTTACTTTACGTTATGTAAATTTTATTCACTCGTAATAATTCACAGGTTAAAGTAATTAAAACGTACAACTGGATAAAATATCGCAATTCTACAAACACAAAATAACGCGAACGACCGGTGTTGTTTAAATTTTGACAGTCAGTGACTTTGACACTTCAATGACGTTAGGGGCGTCGTAGTGATGCGCGCTCGGATGGTTTAGTCTAATCGATTATATTTTCCTAATCGATACGAGAACTTAATGTAGTAATTAATTCAAATAAAATTTATACTTACATAATGCAGATATAGATGCTAATTTGATAGCAATTTCCTTATATTCTGGGTCTATATTTGGTGTAAAAGGTTGAATTGCGTATTCGGCAAATGTCATAACGATTATGGCAACTTCTGCGGGCCTCAAAATAACGACATAAATCCATGCACATATAAATGATGGCAATGGTCCCCAAAATTTGTGTATACCTCCAAATGCTTCTTGGAAATACGAGTATTCAGCTCCGGATTTACCAACTACAGTTCCTAGTTCAGCAAATGATAAAGCTCCTGAAAAACATATTGTAATGATCATTATAGAATTTGATTATTATCAAATTAAAATTATTACGTTGAAAATGAAATAGGTGTCTTACCTACACCCACCTAATAAGGATATTATTCCGGAAACTGTCCATATTATTAGACATAGGGCTACTGATCCTGAGTGTTCGAGCGCTGATGATGGTGACACAAAAATTCCTGATCCAATCATTACACCAAGTATCAAGTTGACTGCGGAGAACAAGCCTAGTTCTCTTTTTAGTTTGACAGTACTTCCACATGCGGTTGCCATTCCATTGCCAGTTTCATTCTTTTCCATCAGCTCAGCGTCCTTTTCCGTCATTTTGTTTACCTATAACAATAAAAATGTTAATTAGATGTTAAATTAATAGTTAACTCCTATCGTCTGTCGTAGAATTTATCACTAATTGCTCGGGTAAAATAAATGTTCTCGTAACCAATTTATACGCTTGTTTATTTTTATATTTTGCTAAAACTTCTTCTCTTTGGACCTAGCAATTACGTCAGGTCCGTGTCAATTGCGATAATAAGTTTTGACGAGTAGATAACTAAGTAATTTGCGAAACAAGAAGGAAACTATTATTTTGTCAGTGTTGTAGTATTACATGTATAATAGTATGTCAAGGGCATAAGGTCATTCGCTCCATGTTTTGTAAATTGACTCTTTCGCTCTTCTCGTATTGTGGCGCCTTCAAGTGTCCATGCTGTAGGTTATTCAGCAAATGATTGCTACTAAACGTTGCATAATAAACTCGTAAGAGCTAACGGATTATTGGTACAGGGCTACCACAAAAACTAACGAGCAATAATATTTATCACAATAGTCTGATATTTCGCGAGATGTAATGACCAATCAACTGTAGTTCAAGGTACAATTATTTAAGAAAACGTTTTCACGAAGTCGTCAATAACATTTTACTTTATACATAGACAGGAAAATGTTTGCAAGAATCATTCTAGTTACAGATTTTTATTGACGACCATTGTGTTTAAATTGGCACATCGCATCGTAATAACTGCAACCATTTGGTTGAACGAGTACTTAAAGACCGTCTCCTTACATGTATGACAAATCAGCCGAGTATTAAACATGAATGGGCATGAGCAAGGCCTATTGTGTGCAGTCGTAAGGATGTAATCTTGTTAACGGTGAATGAACTTGGCCCTCACGTGGTCAGCTTAAAGGATTGCGTACCTACCAGAGAGGTCGCATGGGAACATTTTTGACCTCATCGCTGGACCAAGGAAGGTGAACTGCTGAACCCACTTAATCACTTATACCAATCAAGATAATGTGACATTCGTTGACTTTATGACTGAGTGGCTATAAGAGATCAAATATGGTATCTTATTATGTCTTGTTACCGACTTTTTATCTTTTTTTTTACAATATAAATTATTGGAATTACTGACAAAATACTATTAGATACTCATTGACACTTTGAAATATTGCTCGACAATAATACCTTGTCGTAATACCTTCTCACTGTGGTTCATAAACAAAAGGCACCCAATGGTGACAAAAAATATTGACGCATTTTGTTTAAGAAAAATTACTAAAGTACCTACAAGCTTTTTTATTAAACAATCATCGTACGTAAACAAGCGATTATTTTAATAGTTATTAAAGACAGTCTGTCTACTCTACATAAAGAATTTTCAGATACCTAAATAATAATAAATTAATCAATAAACTGTCGTAGTCTCGTCTCAATTCATTCATAAATGCAGTATGTTTTGACCGATAGGAACGAATATAAAATAACAAAAATACATTGTATTGTATCAATTTTTGATCAAACGGTGAAGTGTTGATTACAACAGGCAATACCGATTCTTATCAACCAATTTATCGATTAGAGATCCGGGAACCGATTCTTAATTGAAACAGAATGAAGATGGTATTGAAAGAACTGTATGATGACTTTGATATTATCTAAAATTGACCTCGTTATCGTCAGTATCTGAGCATTACTCGTGAGAATTAATTTATTCCTAATCATTGGTCACTGGGGTTATGAACTTTGGACATGCGACATTATGCGTTTTCCTTATAGAGATTGTTAATACTTTATCAGACTACAGATATTACTTATTAATTTTATATGTTTGTGATTAGGGTAAACAGAAATAGAAAAGGAATTCTATCGGGGTATTTCCTAAGTAAAATATTTACCTATCACTGAAGAAGTGGGCTCGCTGCCATTGCAGCGGTAAGTCCCCTCTTTGAGGAGTGGCTTGAGAGACGCTACGGCATCCTCACCTACCGCCTGACGCAGGTCCTCACCGGACATGGAAGTTTCGGGAGGTACCTGTGTCTGATGGGGCGGGAGGAAACGCCCGGGTGTCATCACTGCGAGGACCACCCTGAGGACACGGTGGAACACACTGTTGCGGAATGCCCTGCGTGGGCTGAGCACCGCCGTGCCCTCAGGGAAGTGATCGGCGATGGAGACCTCTCGCGTCCGGGCCTAGTTCAGGCCATGATGCGGAGCGAGGGGGACTGGGATGCCGTCTCCTCCTTTTGCGAAGCAGTCATGCTGGCTAAGGAGGAGGCGGGACGCGTGAGGCAGCGAAGCGCTGCCTCCTCGCAACCTAGCCATCGCGAAGGACACACCGGGCGTCGGGGATCGCGGGACGATCTCCGGCCACCGTAAGCGCGGGCCTGCGGACGGCGAGCATGGGTGGCTCCCCGTCCGACCAGAAACAGACCCGAGCGTACGGCGCGTCGCGTTCCGCGCGCGCCTCAAAGAGCCATCAGACCACCACAGATGGGGCCCAATAGGGCCGATGCCGATTCGGAGTCGCGGAGAACCTAACGGGTAACCGGGGCTCCGGCTCGACGTGCAGGAGAAGGAACGGGGTGGTTTTTAGTCAGTAAGAGTCTGACACTCCCTTCCGCCTCACCCAGGCGGGAGCAGTCATTCGATGATTTTCCCCCCTTAAAAAAAAAAAAAAAAAATCACTGAAGAAGACGAATACAAAGCACCCAATCATATGTTTTACAGTAAAACTGTTTATTGTTTTTGATGTAAACTTTTTATTACATTTGAAAACAAGTTTAATTGCTCTCTTGCTACCTAGAATGATAACACATTTTTTGGGTAAAAACAATTGCTGACGGCTGGGGATTATTTACAATTGTTGTTATCTTCGTCATGACAACTTTTGTTTATTAAGAGCATGCCTTGTATTTTGTAATCAATGCAATGAATGGAAACTGGTTATTATCAATCAATACGTTAATGAATTATTAGAAAATTTAATATCCTAGTAATATTTATTGCCAACACGGAAAGCGAACAAGCATTATGAATTATTTATCGACTGCCTCGTTGGCTGAGTGGTCACAAGTGCGACTGATGGGTAAAGGGTCTCGGGTTCGATTGCCGGGTCGGGTAAAGAACACTGGGTTTAAAAAAAAATCTCAGTAGCAGCACGGAGTCTGGAATTGTGCCCGGTATATGGCAATAGGCTCACCCCCTGTTACATGCCACTTATAACATACATAGTGAAAAGTGAGTGTTAATTATACAGCAGCATTAAGTGCCGTAGTGTACACCTCTGCCTATCCCTTCGGGGATAAAAAGCGTAATGTTATGTTATTGATAGACTTGCCGCCGAAGCGATAGTAATATTTGTATGTAAGTTGGAGCACAGTGGGTGCAGTATACACACACCTAGTCGGGTTCTGAATCATACAATCTAACGATTTTATAGGGTTTTTGCCGTATTGCTATGAGACATGGTTTTGGTCGTGGTCTCTCGTAGTAGTATGATGTGCACGATCATAAGTTCTAACTTGGTCAGTCTAGGTCTAACAAGAGAAGCACCTATCATGAATTACCATCAAATATCGTCGCGTAGCTATATCGCGAATCAAAGTATCTATGTTTGATGTTGTTTCAGTAAATTGATGTTAATTCTGATTGGATTGATGAATGACAAGGCAGTATGAAAAGTCGTGATCACTTTATTATGCTCTTGCTTTGCCGATTTATTATTAGACTGTTGGTTATACTATCTTAGTATGGAATAGTAAACAAACTGTGTATTTGTTCGACCTGCGGTGTGAACCCGAAACCCGAAATGGAAGTCTCGATATGAATAACGACGGAAATCGATCGTTAAGTCTAATTAACAAATTTTTGATTTTATAATCGGACTTGGTTGAAAATCTCATACAAAAATCCAGAAATCGATGATTGCCATTATTAATAACTCGCAAGCCGAATTTGTATTCAGTGATCACTCTACCAAACGTCTTTTTTGTCATTCAGCCAGTTATGTCAAATGCTACTACTACATACAACTGTCTTTCCTACTGCCACATTCCCCACTTAATATGCAGCAGTAAATTCCGCTGTAATAATTTCATTGCAAGTATTAAGTCATATAAATCTATTTCTACGTTTGACCGATAACAAGCTCAGTGTAACAGCTGTGTAGTGTGTAGCATGTATGAATCAACTCATTCCCCGTGAAAACAATGACCGAAACATTGACTGAATTAGTAGGTTAATCAAATGCTTTAGTTTTGTTCAAACATCTGTTTTGTATGTTGTAGGAATGAGGTAAAAATATTTAAACAGATTTTGATACTGAACTGCGTAATTACACTAATATTTCTATAGATTTGTTACAATAGTAGTTAAAAACTTGTTTGTAGGCGCTTAATTGCCAGACATCGACAGTCGAATTTAAGCGGCTGTATTTTACTTGCGATTATTTAGGTACTTGATCGGATATTGAATGGTCCTTCTTAAGAAAAGCTACTTAACATCGCTTAATTTATTTACTTTTACGATAACACTTTGAAACAATGAACGTGGATAACATTACAATGAAAAGGCAATAGCTAAAGGCACTTAGTTGGCCCTTAGTATACCTACTATTAAACCGAGGCGTGACAATATTTACATTGGTAACCAGTTATTCAACGATGTTTTTGTTTTTATTTCTTAGTATATTCCTTTACGGTATAGTGTCCTAGAATATTTGAACTAGTAATTGAGGTCGAAACTCATACAGTTTAGGACGAGCCAGCTCTGTGTGCTCTGTGTGACGCATTTAGTTGGTTCGGTTACTTGATACGCTATCGATTGCACAAAATTTGAACATTGCTAAAATATATGTAGTATATGTAGGTATCTATTCAGACATGGAAGGGTGGCTCTGACCTTTGGCGCCTTCGATGACTAATATAGCCTTGGAGAGATATGACCTATGGCTCTTATATAATATACAGAGGGCAGTCTGATGTCATACCATACCATAACACTAAGCAAAGTGATAAAGTACTTATAGAAATTTGCGACATCA